ATTTCGTTGGTCACGCCTATTGGAAGCTCTTTAGAAGACATTGCATCGATCAATAAAGATACGAGGGGGAGAAGGCAGACACTTGGGACAATGTCTGCGGAAGTCGACAAGGCGGAGGCGGGCTACATAAACCCGCGGAGAGTGTCCTGGCCATGGTTCGACCTCTGGACCTGCATCGTCCCAGGCTCAGCCGGTGTGAAACTTCTTCGGCTCACTGGACCTCCAAGTCATCAAGGCTTAAAGTTGCCGAAATAACAATTCCCGAGCATTCAATCTAGAAACGTCAAACTTCCCCACACATGCGGAGCTACCCCGGATTTGACCTTCGAGTCACGCTATAGCAGCGGCCATCTATACTGACCAACCCCATCTCTAATAATGCCGAAGACCCGAGAGGGAGATTCTATCAGTGGGAGGTAGGAAGAGGAAGTACCAACCACCCTCTCCGCCGGTTGCAGCCCGTTCGGCTTGTATTCTGTGAAGTACCTAGAAGATATCAGCCGAACCAGGCAGTATGATTGTTTGGACTGGTCGCCGTTCTTTCGTTGATCAAAAGCATAGTGTAATATATAGTTGACCAGAGCACGGAATTAGACTGTATGTTCGAGATCCGAATTTCCATAGTATCAAGCAATTAACCAGTGGTTCAAGTGAGTACTACCTTAGGGACCTCCCATGACTTGGAGGACTCTTCACTGTCCAAATCTCTCTCTGCAGATTCCAGTGTTCTTTGCACTTAGTTACTCACTGCCCGTAGGCGAAAAGGAGACAAGGGCTAATGCCGTGGTGATCTTAGGTAGATATCCATTCCGCCTTCAAATCGATCCGGACAAGGCGAAGACGTCTGCAACTCAAGCAAAAACGCAGGGCTCAATCCTGAACTTGGGCATGAGGATTGCTTTAGTCTTGTCATTCACTCTGGTCGGAGTGTATTCGCGACCGCCTTCACCACCTTTTTCAGTGGAGAATGGACCAGCTTGTACATCTTTAACGATTGGATTCAATACCACAGCCACCAACTACAATGTGATCGTCGACGGTAGCTTGGAGAATGGCACCTTCATAAACCAGTTGCTTGCCACCGCCCCTAATGTCACCAAGAACGCCCCGAACTCGACCGTGTCCGGGTACTTCAACATCAGTGCGAGGTATTGCGAACCCGAAGTCAAGATGCCGCAGCGAGCACAATCGATCCAGTTCCTGGTCCATGGCGCAACGTACACCAAAGACTATTGGTCAGCACTGGGTTTTCCTGGCTTCGAACCAGACACATATTCCTGGATTGCCTTCGCTTCGAAGCAGGGCTGGCCGACGCTGTCCGTTGATCGACTCGGGGTTGGACAGTCCTCTCATCCTGATCCCGTCCATGCCGTCCAGTTTGGACTCGAGACTGAAGTCCTCGCCAACATTATTCTGGCCCTGAAGTCGGGAGTCATTGGCGGCCGCCCGTTCAAAAACATCATTTACGTCGGCCACTCTTATGGCTCCGAGCTGGGAAACCATCTGGCGGCGAGCCACCCCGATGCGATCGATGCCTTGATCCTGACCGGCTTTTCCAGCACTCGTGCCAATATTTCAATCGAATTCAGCGCTGCCAACAGCGAATTTGTCAGGCTCGAGGATCTCGCTTCCGGCTACCTCGTTCTGCCCACAGCGGGACAGCGATCGGTGTTTTACGGCGCGAACGGCACGTTTGATCCTCGCCTCCTCGACATCGACACCGACACACAACAAACAGCGACAGTGGGCGAATTCATCAGCCGCAAGCTCCCTCCTCCGGTGGCCAACGGCTTCACAGCCCCAGTGTTCATCATGACCGGGGATCAGGATCAACCTTTCTGCCCCGGCGGCCACTGCGACTCCGGCGTCAACTCCTCCCTCGCGCCCACGGGCCAGCTGTTTCCCAAGTCCCGTAGCTTCTCCTTCTATGTGCCGCAGGACACTGGCCACGACATCAACATCCACTATAGTGCTCCAGTGTCTTTTGCCCGTGCTCATTCGTGGATGCAAGAACAAGGGTTCTAGATCAAATTGAGCATTTGCGAGGCTCTGGAAAGTGGAGATGAAATGGTGACTCTTTCGACCGTGGGCGCCATCAATTTGGGAGAGTTGACCAGGATGTTTGAGTCTTTATCGTAGTGTAGGATGAGGGTGCCTACTGAAAGTACTGTGGACAATTTACGACTGGGTCCTTCAATATGATAGTCGCTTAGACGGTGACTTGCCACCCAAGGTCTACATAGTCTTCGTTGCAGACCTCGTTGCAGTGAATGTAGGCATAGGTATCAACACGCTCGGAGGAGCTTGTCATATGGTGCAGATGCTTTGAGGTCGCCCGTTCTTTTTACGGAGAAACTCTTTCTGACAAGACAATAACAAATAGATACTGGTATTTCATTTGATATTTAATGAGGTTTGAGCATTCGTGAGTACGTGGAACTTTGATACGAGACTCGTGTGCGATTGTAGAACTAAAGCAGCCAAACCACCAGACATTCAATGCCTTGGAAACCTTGCAATCACTGCGTGAAGCGTTTGATCCAAAAGCCACCCCCATATGTGCAGGAGTAGCAGAGCTGTCGAGAGGCTGCCTATAGCACAAAGCGGAATCTGGGGCCTTCATTCTCTTCTCCAATCTCAGGCAACTTTTTCTGGTCTTCTAGGGATGTCTCGGACATCTCTACAACGGTCGGTGCTGCCGTAACCGGCCCGTATTTGACGTCCAATTTCCGATTCTCGAACAGCAGCAAGGTGCGCAGCGTGAGCGCCAGGAGCACAGTGAAAAACATGAAAGCCGCGCAAACGGCCATTCCTTTGCGGTAGTAAGGCCCGTCTTCTTCGGGGAAAAGACGAGTCGAGACCAGGGAGGCGGTTTGGGCGATTAGATTGAGGATAGTCAGGCCCATGCCTCGCTTGGTGTCCGTGCCTTGGTTGTCTATTCCACGAGGGAAAAATCAAATTGTCAGTAAATTGCGCACTTCCGCAGAGTCATGGGTCGTGAACTTACTCAGAACCCATGGCAAGATGTTTGCCATTGTAGGGAAGATGGCTCCTGCTGCTAGAAAGACTCCAAAGTATCTCGTCGCGGTGGGCTTCGTAGCGGCGAGCAAAATATACCCGACCGTTCCGATCGTCGCCAGGGTCATGATGGTCACGCCGCGCTGCCGGGTCCTATCTGTAATGTAGGTTGAGGCAAGGGTGGTGAAGAAGGCCAGAAGGTACGGCGGCGCTGTGAGACCCTGTGCATGGATACCGCTAAATCCAATTTCAACCAGAATAGTTGGCAGGAACACCGGTAGAGACGTAAAGGAAAGGTTTGTAGAGAAGTACATCAGCTAAATGTAATCAAACACCAGGTCAGTATGCCGAGATCGGACAAGCAATGCTCAAGGGGTAAGAGATATGGGGACAAGGTACATACCGCAGTCAAGTAATTCTTGTAATCAAAGAGGCCCTCTCCAACATCCTTCCACCTCAGGTGGCCGATTCTTTGCTCCGAGGCCACGCCAACCTGTCGTAGGCTTCTTGCCTTTGCTACAGCTCGTTCCTCTTCCGTGAGTACCCGGAGACTCTCGGGGGTGTCTGGGAGGAAGAACCAGGTAATCAAGCCAGCGACGACACTGGGCAGACCCTCGGCTACGAACAACACTCTCCAGCTTGCAAAAGCAGCATGGCCAGAGGTAATGCCGTATGCGAGGACACCTGCAAAACAAGTGGCGAGAGGGCTACAGCAGAACTGGATGCCAATGCGGAAGCCAAGTTCGCTGCGATTATAGAAGAACGACAGGTAGTAGACGATGCCCAATGCAGAGCCAGCCTCGGCCATACCCAAGAGGAAGCGACAGGCCATCAAGCCTTGCCAGCTGGAGACTGAGGCTTGGAGGGTTGCAACGAGTCCCCTAAATGTGACCGAGTAATGTCAGATCAGAGGTCGCCTTGACAATAGTAGGGTGGCAATGCTTCGACATACCATGTAGTCACGGCGGCCGTGGCACACATGTGTGGCGGAAATCTCTTCCAGCAGAGGATAAACGGCTCGAACACGATGAAACTGATATAGAATATCTGCAGGAGCCATGCGTAGCGGTTCGAATCCAAATCCAGATCCTCTTGCATGCCAGCGATTTTGGCGTTCCTGACAAAAGTGAGCTTTCAGCCTCGTTTCGTTCTCTTGTAGAAAGAGATCAATTCAATAAGGCCATGGAAGCATACCCGATATTAGAGCGATCAAGGAAAGACAGCAGGTCTAGGCAAGCTCGGTCAGCAGTCGTCCAGCCGTAGATGGTTCGGTCAAGTGTGCGGTGGGAGACCTACACATCATGCAGATAATAGGGAGTACATGAAAGTCGAACTTTCGTACAACTCTCTTCTCCAGCTGACGAGCATATTCAGCCGACGCAGCACCATCCTCCATCGCACTGATCCCGACATGCGGAGACTTCACATCTTCCACGCGGAGTTCGTTCATGCCGCCTTCGGTCTTGTGCACGGGACTAGTGATCGTGTCGCTGGTGGCCGGACTCAGCTGCGGAGTCATGTTGGTTGAGTCGGAGGAAACGTTGGAAGAAAAGAACGATAAGGATTCTGTAGGTGGCCAGAGAGATCCGGGGGATAATCTGGGGAAGGTGGAATTGGGCTGGGATGTGTGGTATGATATGCCTCTGCAGCAGGGATTCAACCTCAGAGCATTGCGATCAATTTGGTCCTTCGCAAGCGAGGTGGCCTCGTATTCGGCTGGTCTATGCTCGGAAGCTAAAGCCATTGCTCGGCTGAAGGCTATCATCTCAACGCAAACTGATTTCCCGAGCGTGACTGGGGTACGAGGTTCGGCAAATGTGGAGATGGCGAGCTTTCCATCCTCAAGACATGCCGTATCAATTGACCCAAGCCCTTCTCAGCAGATTTTTAGTTCGACGGTATGTAGTACCAGGGGGCTATGTCTAATGTCCTTCTTCTTCACTCTTCGCACCTGAATCTCTTGCTGGCAAAAGGCTTAGGAGATGGACAATGACTTGGACATCGACCGAACGGGCCTGGTTCCGAATCACTGCGGCCCAAACGTCTTGCCCGCCTTCGCCCTCTTCTCGAGGCTCCTCAGGTTCGCCAGTCGGCACAACAATATCGCCATCACGGATTGGACCACGGGATATCATGCTTCACACATTCAATTACTGACTGACATCCTCCATCTCCGTAATGTGCTTGAAGAATCACTTCATCCACAGGTGTTGTCGAGGCTCCAGATCCAGCATGAAGGACCAGGACAGGAGGTTTTTGTGAACATCATTGCGTCTGGAGGTTATGAATTTGCGGTGTGCATTCTCGCGGTTATCGCGGCTGGTGCCGTCCCAGTCCCACTATGTGAGCAAGCATCTTCTTCATCGTTGCTATTTGCCTCGTTCCCAAACAGTCCGATCGTTGACCATGAAGCGCCTGTCTCCTTCTAGCCGCTGGTGTTCCCCTTCAAGAAGCCTGCTACTTTGCCAACAAGTCACGGGCCGATGCTGTACTAGCATCGTCGACTTCGCTTGAGATTGGGAGAGCCTTGGAGGAAGCGATCAATCAAACGACCAATTCGAACTTCAAATGCATCGAGATCGAACCGCACATTTATCAGAAGCCACTGCAACCAAGTGATATCGTTATTTCCTCAAACCTAGCTCTCGACCACAACGGTGCAGGTCTCGTCATCTTCACCTCCGGGACGACTGGCCCTCCAAAAGGAGTGGTGATGCGTCGGTCCAATTTCGTCGAGTCCGCCGAGGAAATCGCTGATCATTACAATCTGGGCCTTGATGATGCTGTGCTACATCTAATGCCTGTGCACCATGCGGCCGGGATTGGGTTCTCCTTCTCTCCGTTTCTGTTTGCCGGGGCACGCGTGGAATTTCGGTCTGGTAGTTTCAACCCGGCAGAGTTGTGGGACCGCTGGAGAGAAGGAGGGCTGACCTTCTTCTCCGGTGTTCCGACCATGTACGCGCGACTGATGCAACACTTCGAAATTCACCTGAGCAAGCTCCCAGGAGAGGAGCTAGATCAGTATCTGGCCGGATTGCGGAGTATGAGAGGACTTCTTTGTGGCACCTCAGCCTTACCATTGCCACTGCAGGACAAATGGGTCCGACTGACGGGTGGCATGAGGCTGCTGACAAGATATGGAGCCACGGAGTTTGGACCTGTCTTCAAGATGCCCTGCACGGCATCAGATGCTCCAATGGTAAGGTTTGATATGATCGCCTTTTGACCACATTTGAGGCTGTCGACTCACTCCTTAAACTACCTTTAGGACTCTGTCGGTACACTAACACCTGGTGTCGAGGTGAAACTCTCTGAAGGTGATGAAGGAGAGATTCTTGCTAGAACTCCATTCATGTTCTCGAGGTAAGCGTCTGCTTTTACTGCCGAGACCGAACGATCTAATTGGCATCCAGATACCTTTTCGACCCAGTCGCAACGGCAAACGCACACGACGCAGATGGCTTTTTCAAAACGGGTGACATTGCTCGGAAGGTCGGACGTTACTACTTTATTCTTGGGCGACAGTCAGTGGACAGTAAGTTACATTCAAATCTCTCTGAAGGCTCTATCCAAAGTTTCCTCTATCCAAAGTTTCGGGATTCATTCCTGACGAAATTGCAGTCATCAAATCCGGCGGCTACAAGATCTCGACCTTGGACGTGGAACGCGAATTACTCACTTTAGATTACATCGGCGAGGCTATGGTGGTAGGCGTCGATGATGAGGAGTTCGGACAGCGAACCGCAGCTGTCGTGACACTGAACCAGAATGTATGTCTCCTAGCATCAGCGATCGGGATTCGAGGCTGCGCTAACACATATCTACCAGTGGCCGGATCCTTCCAAACGGCTTACGCTAGAGAGGATTCGTCGCGACTTACGGGATCGTCTATCATCCTACAAACTCCCAACCCTGCTGCGAATTGTTCAAGACCTCCCCAAAACAGCAACCGGCAAGGTATCCAAGAAGATTTTGGGTCCGCAGTTGTTTCCTAAGGATGGGCACAGAGACATACAAGCCTGGAGCAATACAAAGGCAGCGATTGTTTCTAAACTATAGAATCACTCCTATCTCTGGAGGCAACATAGAGTAGATTAGAGGCAAAGGGGCCTTTTTGATTTACAAGCCTAGGTAGTAATTATGAGATTCCTTCGAGGCATTTCCCATGAATAGTAGGTTCAATTGATAGTATGCTACAACTCAAGGCAGAAGGCATTGTAACAAGACTTCTCCAGACAACATTTGTGGAGGACGGTGTGTGTCACATTCATCTACGATTTCTGTGAGCCTTTGGATCAACTTGCGTGGTATAGATCTGTTTCGGGACTTGCATTGATATGTTGGTTTTTCCTTCGGCTCGGTAATTTTGACCAACTTCTACATTTGCCGAAGCCTTGCTTTAGTCAACGCCACACCCAGTTTGCACTCAAGCCGGCGTTGGCTTTCGAGTCTGGCCTACTCCTTTTCCCCTCCTCGACCTAAATGCGGCTTGGTGATCGTGGTATTCCCGAAGTGGCCTGTTCATTTCGTGTAACTCCGAGCTCTGTGTGAGTCAATTCCCTCCACGAGAAACAGATTTAGCTTACAGCTGGAGACAATTCATTGACCTTCATCTCTCCAGGTCTAACATGCTCTGTAGAGAAAAGACAGACAATTGGGGAGAAAATCTGAAGAGTCATTGTCGTACAATTCCACTGTTATTATGCCTTCCTTCCCAGACAACCTCAAGCCGGCGGGTCCTCAGGGTCCAGACTGTCTAGCACGAGAGAGAGCAAGCTCTTCGTTACCAGTCCAAGAGCTAGCAAACCATCTTTTTGGGCGCGATGGGTTTCTCGAACGTCAGGAACGCATTCTGCAGGAGCTGCAAAAGGAGCCTGTCTTCTCCAAAGAATCACAGCAACACTTATCACGAAAGGAACGCTTTGAGTTAGGCTTGACGCGGGCAAAGTGTCTACGGCGTATGGCTGACAAGCATCGATGGGACCAAGACGATTACCTGATGTAGGCGCTCCAGCAATCGGCTTCCTTTTAGACGTCACGATTGCTCACTCATTGGCCTACTAGGGCTTTGTACTTGGTGGACGACGTTAATCCGTTCTACGCCCACACGAAACTGTTCACCAATACTATTCGAGAGCAAGCAAGCGACGAGCAATTGGCCTACTGGATGCCCAAGATCGAAAGCTGGGAAGTAACTGGGGGCTACGCACAGGTGAGTAGGCATCCTGATCTTCACGCCTTTCCCACCACAAGTGTGTTGATGCGACGATGTGATAAACAGACAGAGCTTGGACACGGTAGCAATGTGAGAGGGCTTGAACTGGAGGCGAAGTGGGATCCTGCGACCAAGGAATTCATCCTTAACAGCCCGACTTTAACCTCCAGCAAATGGTGGAATGGGTCTATCGGCATCACAGGCAACCATGCAATCGTGGTGGCACAACTCATGCTTCCCACTAAATCCGACGAAAGTAAGACTACCAGCTACACCTCATACGGCCCGCACACATTTGTGGTGCAAGTACGGGCTTTCAAAACACACAAGCCAATGAAAGGCGTCGTCATTGGAGATATAGGTCCGAAATACGGATACATCACCATGGACAATGCATATATTTTGTTCGACAATTACAGAATACCTCATTCGGCCTTCTTAAGCCGCCACGCAAAGGTCGACCCTGATACGGGAGCATATAGCAAGCCAAAGGTAAGGGCACTCATTTACGGCAGCATGACTTTCTCCCGATCCGTCATTGTTATGCAAGCTCGAATGGTTCTGGCTCGTGCCGTGACCATCGCCATTCGCTACTCGGCGATCAGACATCAATTCTCAGACCGCGACGAAGGTCCGAACAGTGCAGAGGTCCCTGTTCTCGATTACCAAACGGTCCAGATCAGAGTGCTTCCCTTGCTCGCCACCATGTTCGCCCTTCACTACAGCGGCCAAGCGATGGGAGACCTTTTCTATCGGACCCGGACGAGCATAAACTCCGGTGACTTCAGTGAGCTGGCAGATCTCCACAACATGTCGACCGGACTCAAGAGCCTGTGCACTGGCCTTGCTGCTGATGGGATTGAAACTTGTCGCCGAGTTCTCGGTGGTCATGGCTTCGGAGGGGGAAGCGGGATGATCCAATTGAACAATGACTACTTGTCGAAGCCGACGGTGGAAGGAGACAACTGGATGATCACGCAGCAAGTGGCTGCTTACTTGATCAAGAAGATGACAGCGGTGGTCAAGAATCCCGATGGGAAGTCAGCGGACAGTACCGAGAATAATCTTCGAAACTTTGTCAAGGCTCGAGCTCTCCTTCAACATCTACCGCAGAGTGCTTCTACTTTCGACGTGCTCAAAAGCGACCAGGCGCTGGTAGATGCTTTCCAATGGCGAGCTGCAGCACTTGTAAGTCATCTGTTTCCCCCTTCAGGATTGTATTTCTCGTTGGCAAACTAATCAAAGTTGTCCACTCCCACTAGACTTTCCGAGCATACGAAGCCAGGGTTGTTCGATACGAAAAGTGGAATAGTATTTTGATTCAGCTACACAAGCTTGGACTAGGTGAGCCAGCGTCCCGGCTACTCAAGAGATTAATCATCGTCTCAAGCTCATGTTCATTTTAGCACAATCACAAGCGAGAGTCGTGGGGCTTTTCTATTCTGCCGTGGAAAAGGCCGGGGATATGTCTTCGGAGTTGCGAGACGTATTGCGCGACCTGTTTCGCCTCTTCTGCCTCTACACCATGGACAATGAAGCGCGGGAGTGTGAGTTTGCCTAATTCTCCTGCTCTGCCATCTTTCCTAGAGATGTATTTACCACCTCACTTGCTTGAACCACTGAACTAAGTCTTCTTTCTGCTCCCAGTCCTCAGCACAGGCGCCATCAGCACCGAACACATGGAAGCCATTCCAGAGAGGATCAAGAGTCTACTGATCCGAATCCGTCCTCATGCCGTGAACCTGGTGGACGCTTGGATGATACCTGATTATCTTCTCGACAGTGCGCTGGGGAGATCCGATGGCAAGGTGTACGAGGACTTATTCAATCGAGCGCACCGTTTGAACCCATTGAACAAAATCACTTACAACCCGCGGTACTGGGACGACGAGCTTGTCATGGGAGCCGAAGACTACGATCGGGGGAAGCGACTAAGCAAGCTCTAGACGGCTGGACATCGATCTGGGAGAGCGTTGTGGAATACCGGCTCTCAACCCTACAAATGTCAACCTCGGAAATACCATCAAATAGTTACCTAGGTATTCCACTCAGTCACAACTTTCCGTCTCATCATTGTCTGACTGTCTTTGAACGTATAGGAAATCATTTAGCAGAGGATAAGGATGAGCAGAGCTTCATGTCCATCATCATGGAGCTCATACAAAGAAGTATCTGGTTAGATTTGCACCAACATATATACCCCAATATCGTACCACAAGGTACATGGGTCAAAAAACCAATATTCTTGCGAATATAGCACGACTGCTTTCACTCCTTCTTGAGCTCATTCCAAGAGACAAAGGAAGAGGCATAATGACGCCATCGTATGCCTAGTCGATCGACCTGAGGCCATAGTTGCTCCTGAAAAGCTCGACACCTTAGAAACTAACCTAAACGAGCGAATAGACGAGAAACAGGTATAAATCATTCATTGATGTCTGTACCCCATACTCCTGGAGGAATCCGCCAAGGCACTAGATATAGAGGTGGAAGCGGATTTTCCCCGATAATGTTGAGAAGGCAGGCTCTTGGATTCGAAATTTTACTGCCAGGATGCTGCTCATCGCTGTCACCCGGATAAATTGGTCCCAGAAGGGATGGGGGCTGAGTGTGCGCACAGGGGGATGGCCCGCTCATGATGCTACTACCACTAGATGCTGTCAAGCATTGGCGGCTGAAGTATTTGTTTGAAGGATCTAGGCGAGGCGTCGATGGTCGGTGACGCCCAGGGTTGTTGTATTCATCCAATTTAACCAGAGAGCGCCAGTCTCAGATGGGCTAAGCGACTCCTCCCGGCAATATCTGCTCATCGCAAGCTGGAAGTGTCTCTCCACCTCACAAAACATCGTCCACTGGATACTGTACTTCTTACTCGCTTGACAAGTATGCCAAGGCTGAGTGCTGTCGTTCCCCCGATATTGTGAGGGTTCTATGCATGGCTAGCTGTCGGGAACATACCTAGGTGCACGCGGTATTCCGAGCAGCTGACTCTCTTGTCCCACCGTCGCTGCTCCATGAACCACTGCCCCTTCATCTGCCGGCTTCGACTTTTGTAACGAGTGCAACAAAAAGCACACAATGTGAAGCTTTCTCCCACTTGGCGTCTCCGCATTCTTGTTCCTGGGAGATGATCTGCACGATCCGCGCCTCTGATGCCGATTGGAGCCACCGAGCTCGAGGTACTTGGGCTGAAGCAGCTCGAAATGCACTCAAACATGAGTTTAGCCTTGACGAAATGGACTTCGCATACTTCCGAGAAGCTACTGCCAAGAATTTTGCATTGCTCAAATGCCGTGCTTCGGTCGACGAACGTATAAAGGTGGCGGGTCGTTCTGTTTTTCAAGATTCAGAGGCAAATCGTGGTCCGTGCCAGAGGTTCTACGTCTAACAAAGGAACCTCCTTACAAGATGTCTTCTCTCGTTACAGCGACATTCGTTCTCTCCATTCTCGCACCTGTTGGCGGCCAATATCTCTTCCCCGACTGCAGCAATGGACCGCTCAAGTCCAATGCTGTCTGTGACACGTCCATGTCATCGGTTGACCGTGCTACAGCTCTCGTCAACGAAATGACTCTAGAAGAGAAGTTGAACAGCACTGGCAATGTGAATCCTGGAGTACCTCGTTTGGGTTTGCCCGCCTATGATGTTCGTTTCCCCCACTCCCTCAGTATCATTCAACAGCTAAGTAGTGCTATAGTGGTGGCAAGAAGCCTTGTAGGTCGTGCCACCCCACAGATGGTCGTCTTCTCATGCCAGGATAGACACGGGGTGGCCACTCGACACGGTGCCAACTACACTCCCGAAGGAGATTATAGTCACGCCACCTCGTTTCCACAGCCGCTTCTCATGGGCGCCGCATTTGATGACGAGTTGATATTCGATGTTGCAACCGTCATCAGCACCGAAGCCAGAGCCTTTAGCAACGCGAACCGCCTGGGCCTAGATTTATGGACCCCTAATATCAATCCGTATCGCGACCCGCGGTGGGGACGTGGACAGGGTAGGCCATGGACTCCGTCGAAAGGAATACTGAGGCTAACAACTGAATTGTTGCAGAGGTTCCTGGAGAAGATCCATATCACTTACAGTCATATGTCAAAGCCTTGATTAAAGGTTTACAGGGTGGTATAGACCCAGACGTATATCGCGTCGTGGCAACTTGCAAGGTTAGAACTGACCCAACGACATCGAAAACCCTCACACCATTACGTAGAGTCCCTTCCGGTATTGCCTGACGAAGGTTCATTATTGAGCTTGCCAATCCCCTCGGATATTGCTAACACGATGACAGCACTTCGCTGCTTACGATCTAGAGAACTGGAACGGAATCCGCCGATATGACTTCGATGCTCAAGTCAGTACTCAAGATTTAAGAGAGTATTACATGCCTCCGTTTCAGACCTGCGCGCGAGATGCTAAGGTCGGTGCTTTTATGTAAGTACAAGTACCGTGATCAAGCCACCCAGACCCATAGGAAAACTAATGCGATCGACCCAAGGTGCTCTTACAACGCTCTCAATGGTGTCCCAGCATGTGCAAACGAATACCTGATGCAGACAATTTTGCGCGAGCACTGGGGTTGGAATGCCAGTGATCACTGGGTGGTGTCGGATTGTGATGCAGTCCAGCAGGTGTTCAGCTCAGGCACACACGACCACGCATACGCGGCGACGAGGGAGCAGACTGTTGCCGACACTCTCTCCGCAGGAACGGACCTAAACTGTGGCACGTACTATCCAAGCCATCTAGGCGCCGCCATCGCTCAGGGACTGATCCAAGAGTCCGCGCTGGACCAATCGTTGGTTCGCCTCTATTCTGCTCTTGTGAGACTGGGCTACTTCGACACCGGCTCTTCACATGCCTACCGTTCTCTGGATTGGTCAAACGTGTCCACTCCTGCATCGGAGCGGTTGGCCTACAACGCTGCGGCGGAGAGCATCGTTCTGCTTAAGAACGACGGCACGCTCCCCTACGCCATCACGCCCTCGACCTCGGTTGCGCTGATTGGAGAATGGGCCAATGCAACCGTCTCTATGCAGGGGAACTATGCAGGCACCGCGCCCTACCTCCATAGCCCCCTATACGCCCTTCAACAGCTCAATGTGACCGTCAACTACGCAACCGGACCTGGACAAAGCAATCCGTTGACAGACTTTATCCCAGCTGCCATCAACGCAGCCAACAGCTCAGACGTCATCATCTACATTGGCGGCATGGATCAAGAAGATGCCGACGAAGGCGACGATCGGTAGGGACCCATGTCCAGCCTTGGTGCTTCGGAATGCTGACATTGAGCATTCAGGTACTGGATAGATTGGACACAGACTCAGAGAGACCTGATCTCGCAAGTGGCCGCGTTGGGAAAGCCGTGCATTCTCGTTCAGATGGGGATGATGCTGGATTCGTCTCAATTTTTCGCCAACCCCAATATCAGCGCCGTCCTCTGGGCTGGGTACCCCGGACAAGACGGAGGGACGGCGATAATCGATATCATCACCGGCACGGTCGCGCCAGCCGGTCGGCTGCCGGTAACCCAGTATCCAGCGCACTACGTCAACGACGTTCCAATGACAGACATGTCCCTCAGGCCGGGGCCAAACAATCCGGGACGGACGTACAGGTGGTACAACGACGCAGTCGTCCCGTTTGGGTTCGGACTTCACTACACCAACTTCTCCGCGTCGTTTATATCGACTACGTCGACCTACTCCATCGCCTCTCTCATGAGCAATTGCACGGATGTCTATTCCGACCGCTGCCCCTTCCAAGCATTCCCCGTCAACGTCACAAATACCGGCGGCACCACGTCGGACTTTGTGACTCTGGGGTTCCTGTCGGGACAGTTCGGCCCGCAGCCATATCCGATAAAGACGCTGGTCGCATACGACCGACTGCATGATGTCCAGCCTGGAAGCTCGCGGGTTACCATGCTGAACCTTACGTTGGGCTCTTTGGCGCGGGTCGACGAGCTAGGAAACACCGTCCTCTACCCAGGCGACTACGCTCTGCTAGTAGACCAGCCGACCCAGGTGAGTTTCCTCTGTCTGACCGCGACCGTATCTACAGACTCAACGCTAACCATGGCGCAGGCAATACTCAATTTCACTCTGACTGGCGACGAGGTCGTCCTAGACGAATGGCCTCAGCCGCCCCAGCAGGACATGCGATATAGACCGTAAGCATGCAGTGTATCGTCGTCGTCATTCCAAACCGCAGTGGTAGGGTAGGCCAACAAACACTACATTGCGACATCAGGGGAGGTGTAAATAAACATAAACCCAATAACGAACGAGGTGGCACGCCAGGATAACTATCTGGTCCAGTGCCTAAATGTCTCGCAATACGAGTCCGATACTCGATGATCTTGACCTCTTATAATAACCGTATCGGTACATCCAGCACTCCGTCTTAAACAACTGTGGTGGTCAGGTTCCTCGGCCGTTCGATTACCACAGTGCAGACGGTCATCTAGTGTTGTATTCGTCATCCTACGAGGTCAAGCCAAAGTTCGAAAGTCGGCGTATTTGCCGTAGTTTTCTTTGCTTTGCTATAGGATAGCCACGGGCCTGGTACAAGCAAAGTTCTACCTCCGCATTCATTATCACATGGACAGAGTTCAGGTAAACTGCCCCGACCCAGAGCTTTTCTGCTCCACGGGATCTCGGCTGAGGGCAGGTCGGCGCCCTCTCAGGGATCCCCTACCGAAGTTCCCGAAAGTTGCTACTTGGCCGCAGGTTTCGGGAAAACTGGACCTGGTCAACTGGTCCCGTCCGGCACAACTATCCCGACAGAATCCCCTAGCTAGATCCCGCTTTCTTCGTCGTTGGGTCTATTTTGATGGGTCCCGGCCATTGCCCGGGGTGGTGGCGGGTGATGGGGGACAGAAAGACCCATGGTGCCTCTCAAGGAGTCGTAGCCTTGCCGTTTCCCCCGCATTGATTTCCCCAGTCTGTCTGGCACAGCGGCACATTGGGCGCTGATTGGCGAATCATGGCCGGTCTCGTGGTTGGACGACTGGCCTCTCCTCCTCGATTCTGTCCCTGCCGCCACAATCTGGACTGGCCCATATCAAGGAATTCAGAGTCGGTTGAAAGAGTCGCTGGTGTTTCTCGCCACCCTTCGGCATCGTCTGGCAGTCAGTCGGCAGTCAGGAGTGATTTCAGGGCAGGTGTAATGAAAGAGGCGGCATCCGAGCTGGACGCCCTCTCCTCTACTTGAGCATCTGTCTTGCGTGAAGGATTCTCGGGTGAAGAGCTCTCGGGTGATCCAGCGAGCATCCTAACAAGTAGCCAGGACACCCGAAGCAATGTCGACCGCAAAGGGTCCATCTGGGCGTCTTGGCCAGGCGCGGCGACCACGAGGCCGGAACGCATGCGTTATCTGCAACAGGAGAAAGGTTCGCAAAATTGATGAAACATGTCTCTTTGGCGTTTGGGATACTGACTGGCGATACTCGTTTTTCCCGTTCAGGTTCGATGTGATCTCGCTGAACAAGGATCTGGGCCCTGTACCAACTGTCAGTCCCAGGGTTTGAAGTGCTTGTATGTAACTGTTCCCTACAGAAATCCCCTCCTCTTCCGCATTCCACGAAATCCTTCACCAACACACACTCTTTCATTCATACAGTAATCTGCTTGACGTGGGGTTACATATGTCTGACTCGAGATACCCGCACTTCACAGGCCGCATCAACGAAGGGCATGGCGCACAGCTTCTAAGGATAGGCCGGCTGCCCAAATCAACACCAGTCGACCTTCTCCAACTCACACGCAGTCATATGGCCACCCACACTGTCTGGAGGATGGTGATGACGATACGAATGCCGAAACTCAGGGCATTCGCAACCTGGGTAACCTGGAGATCGAGGCTCAGAATAAACTTGACAATGCCAACGCTGAACCATTGACTCGTTTACATACAACATGTGGAGATTCAGACGAACAGGCAATTCCAAGCTTGTCCAACGCGACGACATGGCCTCACATAGCAAGACGCAAGTCTACCGCGTCGATCGCCGCCGCTGCATCAACTCCGCAGCCTATGCTCACGCCCAAAGGAGGAGTTGTAGGCCGACCGGTATATCTGGAGAACGAGATTGAATTCCTGGAAAGGGAAACAGAGCTGATGGAGTCCTCGGCGCCAACATCACCTCCCACCAACTCGCATCCGGAAGTTGACCTCGCTTTTCTACGCCTCTACAGGGCCTTCGATCTCCCGACTCGAGCCATCAGAGATAGCCTCGTGAACAGCTTCAAAGTGTATTGCAGTCCTTGGATGCCTGTGATCGAGCGGGAAGAACTTCAAAGTCTGGGGTTGAGAGCCTGCGAGATCCAGAGCCGCCACAGGAATGAAGGAGAAAACACCCCGTCCCTCCTGCTAACTCAAGCGCTCTTTGTGGCCGGAAGCCGCGTTCAATCCTCTCGCTTCTCGTTCAATAGCTGCAGCGAATTCTACAACCGAGCCAAAGCACTCTATTTTGCGGAACACGAGCTCAATCCGCTCACCGTCATCCGTGCACTCTGTCTGCTCCAGTGGTACAACCCCAATGGACCCGAGTTTGTCTCTATCCATTCCAGTGTCTCCTGGCTCAGACTGGCGGTTGGGTTGGCCTTCCAAATCGGCCTCCATCGAGAGCCAGATCCCAGAAACCCAGATTATAAATTACGCCGAAGACTGTTTTGGACACTTGTTGTGAGTACTTGTCCGTAGTTGCTCACTCTGGCACAAGAGTGCTCTGCGGCATCTTCGTCAACTAACACTGCAGCAGGCACGCGATGCACTTCTATCAGCCTCCCAAGGTCGACCACGCTCTATCAACCTCAACGACTGTACTGTACGTTGGCCAACACTTCATGATTTCCCCGAGGACAATAAGCATGCCCGCCTTTTCCTGAGTTACGTCGACATATGCTGCATTCTCGGCCGCCTGGGGCAAGCTGCCCTGCCCGGTGGCCATATTGGATCGCTCTGTGTTGGGGTCGGCCGCGACTTGTACAGATGGAGAAGTCAGCTGCCTCCGGAACTCCAGCTAGACAGCTCAAGCGACTTCGATTTCGAAAGCCGACAACTGCATATCCCATACTTCACTGCCATCTCCATATTGTACGGTCCAGGTCCTGCTGTGCAAAACTGTTCGGTTGCCGCCATATTGGCCTCATCTTGCGTGGCACGGATTTTCGAGGATTTCCTGGCCCGCGATATGCTTAGGTATCTCAGCCCGATTTATATCTTCTATCTTTTCACGGCGGGGCTGCCCCAGATATCTGGTCACAAGATCCCAATACTGAGAGAAGCATCCAAGAGGGAATTCAAGATGATCCGCTACTCCCTCCTGGAGATGAGCAAAACCTGGCATTCCGCTCACCGTCACTTGGGATCCCTGAACAAGTTGTTGGCCGCAATCAACCGTAGCAATGCTACAGAGTCACGCACATTCAAGCGAAACATCGCCTTGATCGGGCAGAGCCACAAGGACTCCAGCCTCACTGATCAGTTATCCCTCTTCGAGAGACTGGGGCCGGAGTTGTGTCCAAAGTGTGATCTGGTCATTGGGTCGACGTCCCCAAGCCGCACCCTCCCGTCACAGAATTTCGTGAACAGCGAGGGGCGCGAACTCCCACTTCACAGCAACGCCGCGACCACCCCTTCTTCGTCTACTGCTGACGACCTAGGCGCCGCTGAGAGTATCACTTCGATTGAAAGAGCGGCCGATCGCGCGAACCAGGTGTGTTTCCGAACGTACAACCCCGGCGAATGCTTTCAGTTGTCACCTTCGGCCATGCCAAATTGGGAAGACTGTAACGACATACGTACCCTCGATATAGACGAAGAGAGGCGCGAAACAGAGCAAGAACCGGAGGCGGTGGATCTCGGAAGCAGCGCATTGACTCTTCTGGCACCTACAGACTCGCCACCGGCCTTGGAAATGGCCAGCAGATACGATCTTGATCCTTCATCTTACAGAAAGTCCGTCACGAAACAACGTGAGAGTCACGCCTTGTCCGACCATATGGGACAGAACCCCACGGCATATCTACACTCCCACAGCGACATAACTGCAGCCGCCGTGGCAGACAGGGAGACGCAGAAGAGAATAAGCACTAACATGGGTGGGCCGCCGCGTAGCCAGAGGTCCTCAGTCCGTCCAGCTCAAGCAGATATAGCCCAAGAATCGCATGGCGGACTTTCATCAGCCGGTCACAGTGCCCCTGGTGCTATGAGTACCAGGAGTCACAGTGAAATTCGACGCCCTCAGCAGCAACGGCAGCACCCCCACTTCCACAACCATACCGATCTTTCAGGATCCGCCCTGGAGAACTATGGTCTCGGTACGAGGATCTTGTTCGAACCGACAGAGACCATGCTTGATCGCAGCACCGCGTATAACTCCGACGGTGGGATTCTCGCGATGGGGATAGGCAACACCAGTTTCAGAGGGGACGAGATGACCCTTGATGATATCCTCGAGTCCGACCGAAGCTGGGTGATGCAAGATTGGGATAGTGGTTATTTCTAGTCACCCATGTGTACAGGGATTTTGCAATGGTACTGTCTCTTGTAACCCCAAGGACTACACTACCACGAAGACGTCATGCAACTCCGGCAGGCAGACAGCCACGTTGTCGGTCATCCTTGCAAGACATATCCGAATGCACTAGAACGAGCTATAGAAGGCCGAGGGAATAGGAAATAAGGAGGAAGCGAAGGTCTTGGACACAACTAGGACTCTATTCTCTCCGTGAACCAATTGCTTAATTCTTGCTTCAGGACTATCAAAATCACTCCTGGCGCTGTCATGCCTAGGTAGTAAAGTGTCCTGCACAGTCACGTAACTGTGCCAACTTGGCCATCACGCCAGCCCCATTACTATAAAGTATAGAGTCATCGTGGATGTCGATTTCGGAGTATACGACTGGTAAAGTCCGCCTTACTTCCGACCCCAAATAACGAAGTACTGGCCAGCTCCCACCGAACGACCCAACCATGCAGACGCATCAGGTGTGGATCCTGCTGTGTCACTTAAATACAGAGGTCCCTGCCCGGACGACGGTACCATCACAGGTGAAGGAGATTCGCAACGGTCTCTCCCTCATCTTGCCTTGCGTCCTTTGGAACACACCGGACGGAGCCGAATATGGCCCTCATTGCTCCATACGCGAATGACCACCGCAATCCGAACGGGCCCGCAGACGCTCGACCCAATGCACTCAAGATCATTCGCGATCAAGCTCTCGACGGCGCGTTGGCTGGCAAGGTGTTCTTCATCACCGGCTGTACGTCTGGATTGGGACTGGAAACAGCACGAGCGATTCATGCCACGGGGGCAGATATCTATTTCACCGGCCGCGAAACGGAGAAAGGTCGAGAGATTCGGGATGCTCTGCTACGGGACGGAAAGCCTGGCAAAGCCGAGTACATTGAAATGCATCTGGACTCACTGGAGAGTGTGAGGACCGCCGCTGCAGAATTCCTGAAGAGATCGGACAAGTTGAACGTGTTGATCTGCAATGCAGGTGAGTGCATCACCCTTCGTGTCCGGCCATCTCGAAGCCGAACTCTTGCCCAATTCTAAAACGTCTCTTTGTGTACCAGGGGTTCGTGGCTATCCCAAGGGCAAGACCAAGGACGGATTTGAGCTGCATTTTGGCATCAACCATCTGGGCCACTTTGTTTTGTTCCAGGCCCTCAAGGCGCTCTTGATTAGCTCGTCCACGCCGTCCTCCCACTCCCGCGTGATCTCTCTCTCCGCGTCTGGACACCGGCAATCGGGGATCCGATTCGACGACTTTCACTTTGATCGAAACGAAGCCGAGTACCAGCCTCTCCTTGCCTACGCACAGTCGAAGACGGCCAACATCCTCACGGCCGTCGAGATTGAGCGGAGATACCGTGCCCAGGGCCTGCACGGATTGGCCGTGCATCCGGGCGGCATAGCAAACACGGGCCTGAACCGCCTCACCCCGGCGGACGTGCTCACGGCGCAAATCACGCAGCCCCAAGTGCAAATGAGGATGAAGAGTGCTGCGCAAGGGGCTGCAACGACCGTGTGGGCCGCCGTGGCGAGGGAGCTGGAAGGGACAGGCGGGAGGTTCCTCGAAGATTGCCAGGAAAGCGAGCCTTGGGATGGAGATCAGACCGCTTTGGCTCCCGGCTATGCACCTCACGTATGCGACCGGGAAGCTGCATCGAGACTGTGGTCAGAAAGTCTACGCATGGTTGGTTTGCCCACGGAAGGAGCTGATGAGAGGTAAAACAATGATTGTTGCGTGGCAGGCATATGGTTGTTTCTCTCACCTTGCCGTCCACTCTCTCTTCTCCTGCGCTTGACTCCTCCGCGAGAGGTTCACTGGCTATTAGCGTAAAGTACCCTATATAGTTAGCACTTGGCCACCACTCCAGCCTGTTACACTATGGACCCCATATTGCCCCGCTGCGTGTACAGTGTACTGCCCGCCCGCGCCAGGTCTTGCAGGGTGTCGAACGTAAAGACGGTGTGGTCCAGGCCGCTCGACGCCGCGTCCTTTGGGTGGTCTGTCGGGATCTGCGCGATGACGATGCGATGATGCTTAGTCGTCGTAGGTCAGGAAGGAGAGGACGGCTGGAGTTGTACCGAGTACAGGCGGTCTGCCGTTCCGCGCAAGGCTGCGATCTGGAGGCAGATTTTGCTTGTTTGAACAACGAGGCTGCGATCCGATGTCAACGCATTGACGCCCACCTGACAATTATAATCGCAGCAGCAAGTCGTGAAAGAATATTCGGGTCCAACGGCACCGACCCAGCGAAGGTGTGCTTCAGAATTGAATTTGTTCTCTAAAGCGAGGTAATAGCCGCCGAGACCATTCCCTGCAGTCTGCCTTGAATGGTATAAATAAGCTTAAAACGAGATGCACAGAGCTGTACACGCCTACATTTTTGGATTTTCTTGGTCGTCCAGCCATCTGGCACCACATTCCATCAGCTTCTACTTACAGCATAAGTTATATCATGCTGGAAGATCCAAAAACTGATTCAAAAGCCATATTTCGTGCGTCGCTTCGATACCTGTTTAGGCAAATCCTGGCACAGGCTCTCCAATCTCGAGTGTTTCATAACCAACCATGATGAAAGCGTCCTCGCGAGTCATGAACTGTTGTTCGTCGGCTGCAGAGATCCAGCATTAGCACAAGAAGCTGGCCTGACAGAGACAGAGGGAGGGCATTCTTCACCAGCAAGCGCCTTCACAATGTCTTCCTGGCTGACGTGCCGTACATACTTGTCGACACTTTCTATCCATATCTCAACGATGCCATCGAACGGGAGGACAGGGAGCCCCATGACTTTCTCCTGGTCTTGGTATTCGGGCAGGGCGTGGAACTGTTTGGTCCACCAACAGTCAGCCAGCGCATCCTCTCCATTTTGGAGCGGTGGTGAATCTTGCCTGGGTGTATCGTTTGCAGAGGTGGAGATAGCCAGGAAGGCTTCGAACCACGTCGGCATGCACACCGGACCAGTGGGTGTGAAATTCTTCACTCGACGTGCCGGGCTTCCTTTTGATGAAGATTGAGATCCGTATGTATGGCTGCCGCCCTGCCGACATCGTGACGATAAGCTCCTCGTTGACGGATGGTTGAACAGAAATCGAATAGAATCGGGCCCGAGTCTTATTCTCCTTAGTAACAAGCACAATCTGGTCCTTTTTGATGCGTTTCGGCGGGATATACTAGTAGAGGTCGCTCATTACTGCAGAGACGCCGGGCTTGAACTTGAATATAAACTACCGTCGCTCAGCTTCTCCAGTAATTATCTCCTGTTCCTCCATACGGGGTAAGTCGTGCCACCCGCGGTCCGGGGTTCGGCATACAGAGGACCACAAGTGTTCGCGGAGTACGCCTGTTGCCTTACCATCTATTGCAGGCGCATGTTGAGAGAGTGTCGGCAGATCAATCTCGGGGTGTTTTCGGTTCGACCCGACCAACGTATCAAGGTGTCGTCGGTGTAGCTTCGGGGATCGACGGTGTTAGTTGGTTTGGAATGCTGTGTAGGGTACACCATTTCACAGCCATGCTAGGCTGTTCACTGAAGTTATCTTCCCATCGAGACAACATCCTCTGTGGCGTAGCTCCATATTGTGATTCAAGGGCGGTTTTGAGGGTCTTCGGTGAAAGGCTGAAAAAACGACGATGACAGTCCAATTCCAGGCCCTTCAATCGAGGCTTCTTTGCCCTAATTCACCATGTGTCTGTGGCGCTCGAGCATCCAGAGCACAGTGCCATAAAGTAGGGCGATGATTTGTGCTGATGTCTGTGTCGTCCCAAGTGGCTCAGGGCGGCGCCGCCTCCTGCCCCATTTGGGTGTTCGAGTAAATTTTTTGGTCACTTCCGAACTTCAGCCGGCAAGATACGCATCCACTGGACGCATCGCGACATCAAAGGAGATTGTCTCCCAGAAAACCAATTTGTTGACCACTGCACGCTCCCTCCGCCCAATGCGCTCTTTAATCGACTGAAATCGCCTTCGTTCGAGAATTACCAGTGGCCAGCTGAAGATTCGTCTCTCATGTATCCTATCTCAGATTCCCGAGCCCGCGGGGACATCCTTCAACTCTTTTCATAGCCCGGCGCAGTGATCAACATGTCCGCCGCAGCTGGCACTGTTCGAGCAGCACCGGCCTTCCTCACTCGTTCTCTGATATTTACTCCCTCTCACCTAAGTCACCGTGCGGGCAAATCCTCTCGTCACGATCCAGCCCTTGCTTACCGTGTCTTTCTAGACCTCCACCAAAATATCCGACGAAGCCTCGATCCTTACAGATTCAACGCCAGGAACCTGCACTCGTCGCCGCGTCGCGCAGCCACCGTCCCGGCTCCCTCCGCGGGCATGTCCAACTCCGCCATCCCTCACATTTCACTCCACATCGCGGCGTCTTCGAGCGGGAAAGGCCGAAAATTCCGTCCAGAACTGAGCACGTACGAGTACGTCCCCAGCGACGACGACGGGCTGGGCCTCCAACGCGGCTCGTCCCTCGAAGAGAAAAGGATCCGGCGCCCCGATAGCGGACAAGATGCATACTTTGTTGCCCGTGTTGGAAAGGACCCGAACACGACAGCATTCGCGATAGCGGACGGCGTCGGCGGCTGGTCCGAGCATGGAATCGACCCGGCAGACTTCTCGCATGGCTTGTGTAGCTACATGGCGGAGACCACTCTGTCTTGGTCGTCAAATGAGCGGCTGGGTCCGAAACAACTTCTCGAGATAGGGTACGAGAAAACCATCAGTGATCCGACCATCCACGCGGGAGGCACAACTGCCTGTGTTGCGGTGACCGAAGGAGACGGCCGCATGCGCATCGCCAACCTGGGCGATTCAGGGTTCCTGCAGTTGCGACTGGGGACCGTCCATCATTACTCCAATCCGCAAACCCACGCCTTCAACACCCCCTACCAGATGAGCCTGACCCCGCCCGAGATCCTGGCGCAAGCCATGATCTTCGGCGGCCTGCCCCTGAACGACAAGGCCGAGCGCGCCGACTTGGCGGACCACATGCTCCGGCACGGCGACGTCCTGGTGCTGGCGACGGACGGGGTTTGGGACAACCTCAACTCCCAGGACATACTGTCCATCGTGTCTCTGCACATGCGCGCGACCGGCGCGTGGCTGAGGTCCAAGGACCAAGGGTACACGGTCTCGCCCGTCCTCGCCGAGCTCGTGGACCAGGGCCTCGGCCCTCGCAAGCACAAGCTCCGGATCTCGGACACGGTCGACGGTTCTGTCCAACAGCTACCTCTCGCCACGGGCACCTTGCAGAGCGTGCTGGCGGCGGCGATTGTCGGGGAGGCCAAGAACGCCAGCCTCAACGCGAAGCGCGACGGCCCGTTCGCCAAGGAGATGCAGAAGCAGTTCCCCTACGACCCGTGGCACGGCGGCAAGGTCGACGACATCGCCGTCCTGGTGGTCGTGGCCGTCGATGCGAACAAGGCCGGCGACGACACCCAGAGGCTGAAGGCCAAGCTGTGAACAAAGGCCTTCCTCCAGTAGGCGTGTGCGCGGTCCCGAACGCGCGCAGACTTCGACATGCCCGGTCCTCCCGCCTCGGCCAAGCAGCCGCCCAGCATCACCACCACCCAGTGAACTGCCGGGCGGTTTATCCTCCTTTGCTGTCGACAGCATGCCTCAGATTACAACATCCACCTTGGACAAATTCGACCTCGAATAGCCCCAGTCGCCCCGTTACCTGGATGGCCTGACATGGTGGGGTGGTGTAAAATGGGAGACGCCTTTCGACGAAGGAGAACCCCCTTCGATATCACCATTTTGCATTCTTCACCTGTTATCCTCATACATTTTATTTGGCATGGCTTTCATAGAGAGACGGTTGGGACTCAGCAGTTCAGCATCTGATATGCACATGTCTTCTTAGATAGAGATAGAGAAAATGATACCCGCATGTATAAGTAGATGGAAGGTTTGATGTTCAAGGTCAATTCCCATTTCAAGGCTTTTGAGCCCCTTATAGACTCGATCACTTATCGAAAAACTCGGCACGACAAGGAAGTGTGCGCCGACCTAGCCAACGATGCAGGTGGACAATCTGATCCGAATTCCCAGAGCTGATGCAATCCAGCTTGCATCACCAATATGTAGTAGAAATCTCCACCCCTCATATCTCAATCCAATGTGTACCGGTTCGTGCTTCATCAAATTGTCGTCATCACAGTCTTCCTCGTGACAAGGAGCCGGGTGGAAGTTGGCCTCCTATTTCCCCCCGCCAGCTCGACCAGCTCAGTGTTTCCAAGAGAAAGAAAAATGGGCAATGCAACCCACGGACACCCCAAAATAATGTAGAAAGGCCAACATTGAATCCACTCTCCAAACACTCAAATCGGGCATCACATCACGCCCACCTTTCGCTCTCGTCCATTATGAGACAGTTTGGGCATCACTCCTTCAAGCATTAGCTCTTACCCGAATGCCAACATTATATCCCAATGGCTTTCTGAGGAAGCCCTCCCTTGTCTGCAGGGGGCCGTCATGCTCATCTCGGAACTCGAAGTTCCTGAATACCGTCGCGACCATGCATTTCAGTTCCATTTCGGCGACATTTCGGCCGACACAGGCCCTGGGGCCAACAGAGAATGGGATGAAGGCCTCCTTTTGTCGCGGCGTAAGTCTCTTTTCAGACCAGCGCTCGGGGACGAAGTCGTCGGCGTCAGAGCCCCAAATTTCCTTGGAGTGGTGAATCGTGTATGAGGGGACAGACAGGGCGGTCCCGGGAGGAAAGGTGTAGCCAAGGATTTCGACAGGTTTGGGATTTGGGTTGTCAGGTGTCGGCATGGGAGTGAGACGGGGAAGGCCAAGTGAGGAGGTGGAGTGGATGCGCATGGTCTCGTTGATCACCCATTGCACGTACTCGAGGTCTCTAACTTGCTCGTACTGGGGGACGCCCGGGCCAATGTTTGCATCAAGTTCTTTTTGCAAATTCTCGAGGACACCCGGGGTGCGTACAACGTAGTACAAGATGGCGCAGGCGGTGTTGGAAGTGGTATCGGATCCGGCAATGAGTTGCGTGAGGGCCTCGGCGGTCAGTTCTTCGCGCCCGAGTTTTTCGCCGTTGGCGTCTTTGCCTTCCATGAGACGGGCAAGGAGGTCCACTCGGTCAGTGTTGGGGTTCTCCAGTCGCTGCTTGACTCGAGCAATGGCGATACCCGCCAGGTTCTCCACGGCCTCAACGCCTTGGCTAAAGAAGGGGTCGGGCAGATATTTGGCGTAGGGTTTCAATTGTGGCAGGCAGCCCAATGTGCCTGACACCTCACCTCGACGGTTCAAGACTTCAATTGCCGGGGCAGTGGTTGGCGGAGCGTCCGGGGACTTACGGATCTCGGCAATATCCTTCTCTTTCTCCAGCATGCCGAAGGGCTGTCCGAATGCAAGGTCGCCAATGATGTCGAAGGCGAGGTAGTTGAACCAGTGCAAGGAATCAATGGACGCGTAGCCGGTTTGCGGGTTCTTCTTGTTGTTGGCGAGGTTTCTCCACTTTTGCGCGAACAGCTCCAAGTTGGCGTGAATGTACTGTTCGAATTGGCCGATGGACTTGGCCGAGAAGGTGTGAGAGACGACTTTGCGCTTGCGAGTGTGCTCTGCCCTGTCGCGGGTGTTGAACAGGCCGCGGCGGATGGAGACGAAGGCGTCATAGTATTCACTTTAAATTGGTCTGTCAGAATGTATTCGAGGCAAAGAGCTGAAGGCGAGTGAGACTTCGAGCGGAGACGCTGTTACCGACTTACCTCTTAAGGAATCCATTACCATGGCCGTAGATGGTGTTGATGGCGCTGTCATCCGCGATCGAGACATGATTCGGCTGAATACGCACGACCTTGCCGTATTTCTTGTGCAGGTCGTCGACAACCTTGTACCTTCGTCCCCGCCGGCATTGATACATCAACCATAGGTTTGAGAGAGCGGCCGGCAGGGGGCCAGGAACCTTCAAGAGAGACCAGTTCCGGAGATATGGAAGGAGGAAGTAGAGGACTGGCAGCAGAAGGAGCGCCCACGGCGAGATGAACGAGGCCACAAACATTCTGACGAGTCTGTCCGAGTGTTTTTAACAGTGCCAAATGGGGTCTGAGAGAGAATACCAGTTCAAACAATACGGGAGGGTGACTGATGTTGGTCTGGTAGCCAGCAGCGGAGAGAGCTCAAGGTTATATAACCTAGGGTTGTGACGTTGCGAGATCGAAGAGTCTAGAGGCAGAGACCGAGAGCGAGGGCGAGATGCATACTGCAAGCAGGATCAGTCAGGTCAAGGGAGGGTATTGGTGCCCACACAAAGTAGCGAGTCGGCGACCAGTCTGGATAGCGGCGATGGCAGACGGGTCAAAGTTGTAGAGGACGGAAGTTGAAGTCGGGAAGTGAGAGCTGTGATTTGCACGCAGCTGATTGGCTCACGCCGCGTGGCTCATCTTAAGTAAGGTCTCATAGTGCTTAGCAGGCACTCAGCAGGTCCCCAGCGCCGCCCAGCAGTGCCCAGCAAGCCCCCCCAGCAGCCTAGCAGCCTGTACCCCGCCATTCTTCCACCTTACCGCGGAGGGCAGGTAACCCCCCACTCTTGTTGGCTTCCCGAATCTTGGGCGCCTCGGACTCTTCGAGGAGCGCAGGACGGCAATGGCAGCGCACACCCTTCCAGGGCCCGTTTAGGAGAATTACTGCAACAATTCATTACTGCGATTCGTTCTTCTGGCCGACCCTGCGGTTCCCTGCAAAAGTCCTCATCCGATGGCTAACACCCCGTCCATCCACTCCACGAATGGCTGCCTCTGTTCAACTTCATCTTTGCCCCGATATTTCGGATGGAGATCCCACGGGTGATGCGGCCATGGGGCGAGCTCGTGGCGTCATGTTCGTCCAGAGGGTTCTCCCGCTCATGCCTCGATCGCCATCATGTGCATACCGTGTTTCGTATCCTTCGACTTTTGTTGATGGACTCTGTCAAGCGTCTCGATCTCCTCGGCACCAGCAAACCCGTCGGAGCCGCGAATCCCATCAAGCCGGCCTCAGCCGATAGCCAACAATGTCCGGCTTATTATTGTACTGTAGAGCCTTGCGAGAGACATTGTTACGGCATGTGCGTTCAAAGTGTCGTGTGCCTGACTTAGAACAGTGGGCGTAAGGTGTCAGATGGGAATTATCAGTGCACCATGCGTTCTGCCGCGAGCTCCTGCATCATATCAGTCAGCCTGCTGTTTTCGGCAAGTGAATCATCTGTTAAACGTGTTCCGAGTCTGCTTACCGGGAAGCTCTCACTAATTCCTGCGGCGCATCGCTCCACATCTTCAACCAGACCTTGCACTCCCTGATCCCATTCTCGAAGATCACGCAGCGGTCCTCTCAGCGCAACACCAGGAACAGTCTCGAAATGGATGATGCCAGCTATCTGATCGATTTCGCCCCTCAGCCTACCCTGCTCCATCATTTTGGCGGCGTAATCTTCGGCTTTTTCAGCGGCAGTGTCTTCCTTGCCATCCTTGAGACCAAGCAACTGCGCAAGCGCTCCCGTTGTGATATTGTTGTAGAGCCGGCTGGTAGCAAGGAGATTGTGCTCAATGACAGCCTTGCTCAAAACCGTGCTCCCGTCGGCCGTTTTGGCGAGCTGGTGAGGTGATAGTGTTGCCGCGAATGCCTCCACTTCAGTCGCCGACAACAACCGATCCAAATACATGTTCTCGAGTATGCCGTACTCCCCTGTTTCTCCCGATCTCTCATCCTTGTACAACTTGGCAAGAGTCCGACTTCTCTGGGGTCCGGCGGGGGCCAGAATGGCTGTTTTGATTGCTGCGGACAGAGCTCGTCGTTTTTCTTCGTCGTCGATCATGGTGTTGAAAGACACATTGAGATACTCGGCGGAGGCATTGAGGAAATCTCGGCGAGAATCCAAGATCCGGGCCTGGGACAACTGGTAGTGCAGTCTCAGGTCCGGGGCATCCTTCAAAACTTGAGCAGCAGCGGCCGAGTTCTTGATCTTGTTCAAGGCCGTTTCCGCTGCCACAGTGTCATCATCTTCTAGATAATACCGTACAATGCGGATCCATATCTCGACCTTGGCTCGGTCAGAGACCTGACGCTGGGTAGTGTCGAGGTGAACACCTTGGAGTGCTTTTGCAGCCGCGGTGTACTCCTCTTCTGCTTCATATCCGTCTGCGAGTATCTCTCTGACTCTTGCATCCTGCTCTTCATAGGAAGCCAACTGGAGCTGTAAGGCTTCGGTGACGTGTGACCCAACCTTGATCTTGACCTCGGGCGGCGCAGACGCGAGTCGGTCGATGAGCGTGGCCACGAGAGGGCGAATCGAGATGATTCCGAGGGAAGAAGAGAGCAGTGCGTCGAAGTAGGCATTCAAGTCCGCACCGTATTCTTCAGGCGATGCGGATGGTGCGCTCGTCAGTTGGGTGAGAAGGTCATTGTACTTTTGGTGTCTGGAGGTAGCAGGACTTGCCGCAATCGACTGCAGAGCGGCAGTGAGGGCGGTCGAGACCATCTTTGTGGGGACCAATCGCTCTGTGAAGCGAACGACACTACTACTCAACTACCTGATAGGAAAGCGAAAGCATGCAGAGACTGTACTGTGTACATGGTACAGACGAAGGAGCAGCGGCCGGCGCAGGCCCTCCATTCACGACTTCTCACGTGGTCCTTATCGATAAGCTATATTGGAGATTCCGCCAGGCTTGGCGGCTGAAGATACAAGGTACTCCGTAGTGTCCGTATTACAAGGACACCCACCTAGCCTATGCCGCTTTAAACACTACTCAGCTCCGACTCACCTCTCTTGCGCAGGCTCCCCTGCCTCCCTTCGAAGATGGATCCTTGCGCTTGCACTAGACAGGGATCCTGTGTCGACGGTTGACTAGAATCTCGACATTCAGAGTCTTGATCTTGAGTAGATGGGAGAGGATCGTAAAGCGGCTTGGGGGTATATTGCTGGGACTGTCTTAAAGCTGTAGGTGATGGGGACAGAGCTGGAAGCGGTGCGAAGCAGAGTCTCGATCGTAGAGGAGCTCAAGGAAAACAGTGATGTTCCGATCAGCGTGCATATTGAAGCAGAGGTTGGAGAAAGGTATTAGAGCACACTCAAGGGAGATTGAGGGGAGCTTTATTCGGCGAACCATTGATGCTGTCGAGAGTGGTCCTGATTTGATGGCAGACTTTCGACATGATTTATGAGCGACTAGAGCATCTGATCAGCTTCTACGGCTGCTATGAGCAAACGCTTTGAGATTGGAACATTAGATTATTGGAGTGTGGCTAAGACAGTTCACGTCGCCACGGATTGGGGTTTCAGGAGATAAAAGACTGAGAAACTGGATAGTTGCTCTCCTCGCTTATCACACGATCTTCTTCCTCCTCTCCCCCTCCTCCTCTTCCGCCTTCCTTACCAATTCCTCTACCTTTTTGTCCACCTCTTCAGATAATTTCCGATTCGAATCCAGCAATCGATCTGGCAGATATCCGCCCATCTTCAATCCGGCGAGTTCCTCGATCCTACTCTTCTTCGCGCCGCGCCTTGACCAAAAGAAGTACAGCAAGCCCGTCAAGCCTAGGCCAACCCAAACGCCCGCTGACGCACCGAATATGGTCCCGTTGTGCTTGTCGGCCAGGGCGAAGTAGGAGGCGAGGAACGAAAGTGGCGTGAAGACGATGGTGACGATGGTGAATATGAACAGGATTTGATTCTGAGCATCGGTCGCGTCGGCTTGTTCCTGAGCAGATATTGCCTGTTTGGCGGCAAACAGGGCTTGTTGATTCAGGCTCCTTGTTTCTTGGATGTTCTCCTCTCTTTGCTGGATGTCCAGGAATACCAAGATGTCTTTCTGCGCCCGTTCGCCGTCTTCAATCATGCTTTTAGCCCGAAATAAATAGTCTTCGACCTTACCTAACAGCTCTCGTAGTGTCTTGCCGAATGATTCGAGCCACGGAGCGTGCTCAATTCCCGGTCCGGCTCTCACTTCGTCAACTTGTATGCTGGCTCGTTGGAGAACTTCAATCTGTTCTACAAACAACTTCCTGAGCATGTTCAGCTCATCGATGATGTCGGCGACCTCAAGACTAAGACGAATTTCCTCCATCTTGCCTGTCTGAACCATCACCTTGAATTTTATCTCCTCCTGCTCGCTGCATTTCCCCCGGCTGCCGATGGAAGTAGTATATTGACGGAAATTTTTGCTGTGCTGCTCTGTGATTTGGCCGAGAGCTTCACGGAATAGTTCCATGAAATCTAATGACCAGTCTTTCCGATAAGAAAGCATGCCCAGGAGTGCAGTCCGCAGGACTTCGACTGCACAATCTGCAGCCGGAACCTCGTCCGACGTCGGCCCGCGTATTGCTCCGTCCTCTATTGCTTTGAAAACCTGCTGCCGAATGTCAACAGCGCAATACTTCTCGCGAGGTGGATCATCGTCTCTCGCATAGGCCGTGTCAGGAAATGAAGTCAAAATAATGGCTCTGTCCTTCCGAAAATTCAACTGCGCAGGCGACCGCAGAGCTGGGTGCTGCGCGGAAACCCATAAACCAAGCCAGAGCTGATCCACCATTATCATTTTTGCTCCTGTGGGAGAGGCTTTGGTCTGTTTCGAAACCACCTGATCATTGTCCCGCTCATCAGTGTGTTCGAGGCGTGAATAGTAGAATTGATCCAAGGTTCGGCGCGGGTGGTAAGATTTGAAGGGCTCCGGCAGAGAAGCGAATACTGGGAATGGATTTGAGTCCAAGCTGTTCGGGTTCTGTTTCCATTTCAGCCACTTCTTATACCTGCTCGCCCCAGCCATTGTATCCCAGTGAAGATATGGAAGCTAAAAAAAGTGTTACTTGAGCTCGAGTGAAGCTTGAGAAGATACTGACAACGAGCCGGAAGAAAATCGTATCTGCATCTGCCCCCCACGACTCCATTGAGACGCATGTGCTTGGTAGGACGTAACGCGCATGCGGAAGATCCTTCCGCGCTCGCGGGACGTCACCGAGACCTAGAGGCAGCCCTAAAGCTATTGCTCCCGCACCCTAAAAAGCGCCCAGGTACTATTAGCGTAAGTAGATTGACAATGCTTGCCATTTGACTGACCGTCACTTCTGATTCGTGGTTTGTCGGAAAATGAAACCATTTATCACGGTAATGGACCCCAGATCGTTTAATCGTGTTGATCCACCGTTGGGAATAGTTGTCTGAATTTCCCTCGAAAGGAATGGAATCATAGCATCCTGGCTGGCGAGCTGTGAGAGGAATGAACTGCATGTCCCAAGTAGTGTCCTGATCAATCAAGTCTCCGAAGATGGTTCTCAACCACGTGCACAGATCGAGGAAAGATTGCTCCGTATCAGATCCAAATGTCGCTATCTCGATGTGATTTTTTGGCATTTTCTGAACGGTTTCGAATTTTGGCGAGTTGACGGTGATCTCTGATTCTGTGAAAAGTATATCACCGCCCTTGTCAAGTGGGAATTGCTCAACGATTGAGAATAGCTTTGTTTTTTGGGCCTCGACAATGGTTCTGAATGAATCTAACGTGCGAGCAGACTTTCGGTTTGCTATGTGGTCCTGGAGCTGGCTATTGTCGAGGAAGACTCGAGAGTAATGTTTAGCGGGACGGTTAAAGCGATGCGGTGTGGCTGATGCCAGAGTAAGTGCCAGGTTCATATATAGCGCGGTACGGATTGTTAGAGAACAAACCGAGAAAAATTATGCCTTTCAACTGGTCAAGCTCGGGAGTGCAAGTGTTGATTTCAAGGTAGGACGGCTTATACAGCAAATTAATGGCCTGGAAAGGATAAGCAGCCTTGAAGCACTCCAAAGATGGGTAACTTAAGACATACCTCTTCGAAAATCCCCAGGCTGTGGACGATGTACACAATTGGGCTCCGCCTATCCAAAGGCGTGTCGCGCATATAGGACCTGATGGTGTGCGCTATGGATTTCGCCAGCTCACCGAGCGAGGTGCGGTTCGAGTCATCCCTTTCATCGACGTTGGACGGATCAAAATCCTTGCCTTCCCAACCAATGCTGCATATCTCGCAGTGAGGGAACTTTTTGGGGAGCAGGTCTTGCAGCCAGAAGACCCCGTCTCGAGTCCAGGTTTCTTTCCACGAGCCAGTAAACCCGTGAAAGGCAAAAATGCTATGTTTCTGATCAGATATGGATCAATGATATTGAACGTTGTACTCACCGGCCTCGAGCTCGCCCCGCCGGCCTGTAAATCGGGATCACACCTATTTGGTCCTCAGGAGTTTCGCTGTTGTCAATCAATTCTGCCATTGCTCACGTACTGAATGGTCGGAGAAGATGAAGAACAGAGGTCGGTTCCGGAAATCCATCAGGCTGAGGGCGTCGAATATAAGTCCTTCAGGTTGCAGGGGAAGCTGGAGGCTGGCCCCTGCCACAAATGCAGCTGCGACCTTGGGCACCATCTGTTCAGCCTATGAAAGTCGATGGCGCGAGCGGCAAGCATGCAGTCTTTCGTGATGAGGTGGCCGACGTCAAGGGCCGTGCAGTGGTTGAAGCCAACCAACACACGCAGTTTTCCTTTGCCCATCTGTTGCCAACATGTTATTTGCAACTCGCCTGATTTCAGCATCTCAAGGGTAACGCGCAATGAATCTGGTCGGAAACTCATGCGGAGCACTCAACATTTGTAAATAGGATCCAAAGGCTGAGGCTGGGAAACGGGTGCATGGACATGAGGGCGCGAACTTGGCAGGGCGCAATGTAGTGGTGGGCGTCGTGCCGGTTACATGCAATTAGAATCTAGGGGCCACGCTCCGAGAGGGATTGGCTACTTGCTTGCATGCCACCCCCGGCTTCTGCCCCCAATGAATTGTGGGACACGACGTGTTCTCTGGCCAACTCGCTAACCAACTACCTATTCCGTTGCCTAGCTGGGCATGCATACGTCCAATTTGCGTTTATCAAGTTGCTCGGATTGGGTTGCCATCTCTGCGCCAGTCGCACGGTCAACTGTACAATGTGAGACCGCGATGGTTGCAAACCCAGAGCCTTCGAGTTGGTAAACAGTATTCGAAGGCCAGACCCAAGGCAGGATGTCAAGAGGCTGGCGGAGGAAGAATTGAAAGGGCTCCCTTCGCAAATTGTGGGCTCTTGAATGTTTCCTTTCGCTCCTTTCCACCATCCAGTCTCCGGGATAACCATCGTCCCGCTCGCCGTGGCATCTTGCGGCCGAGTCTACGAATTTCCTCGTTTGGATTGCTTATGATCGACCTAGACACACCCATTTCGTGGCATCGGTAGACGCCACCCAATCAAAGCCTCAAAGCTGACAATGATTACAAAACCGTGCGTAGAGCGCACTGGCCTGAGAAGGGTTTCGCATTTCCTCGTTGAGCGGCATGACATTGTTACGTCTGCGCAGATCCGGTACACGACAGCGAGCTCATCTTATGCCGACGCGGTAATGCAATCGATTGGATGCGAAAGAACCGCCGGTGTCAGCTGGCAGCATGGGGTTGAGAATGTTGAGCCACATCTGGGACGCCTGCAGCCCTTGAGCAGGGCCACTGAGACACGCAATGGGGGTTCCCTTCCCAAACCAGACAATCGCGGAATTACTACCTCCAGCCTGTAGCCAAAGTGGCCATTGTGTTACAGTTTTGCAAATGCCCTGCCAGCTCAGAGCGCTCCAGCCCTAGGTATGTATTAGCTGCACCCGGCTAAGCTCGGGTCTGGTGGAGCCCCTCCATTATCAGGCTGCGTATGGCCAGGGACATCGAGGGCATGGCCCCCGAGAAAACCCCTCTTCTTTTTTTGATCGATGACAATTCACGGGAGCCACGTTCTCCATGGAGAAAGAGGAGCGCCGCGGACGAATCGTCAAAGTGTTTTGCTGGTGAATGTTCTAGTGCTGACGGCTGGAATAGCCGTTTTGACCTTCAATGGTCTGGTTCATGCCACTGAGTGTTGCTTGTCTCGGTAGACGTAGGGTCCTAGTAGCGAAAGATATAAAGTAGACCAGTTGCCAGCGAGGAGCTCTTAAAGCACTGACACAGGCCTCCTAGATCTTCTTGACACATAACAGCCTCGGACAGCTCCTCCATCCAAAATGGTTCTCTCTTCCGACGAATACAACGGCAAACTCTACATCAACGGCGCATTCATCCCGTCGACAGGCTCGGACCGCCTGGCCCTCACCAACCCTTGGGATGAAACCGTCGTTGCAGAGGACGTCCATGTCGCCAACAGCGCGGACATCGACGCCGCAGTCGCCGCCTCGGTCGCGGCCGTGAAGAAGGGACCGTGGAAGGGCTTCACGGGCGCCCAACGTGCAGCGTGTATGCTCAAGTTCGCGGACCTGGTGGAGCAAAACGTCGACAAACTCGCTCGGCTGGAGTCTCTGCCTACGGGTCGCCCGTTCTCCATGATCAAGCACTTTGATCTCCCTCACATGGTTTCCGTGTATCGCTACTATGCAGGCTGGGCAGACAAGATCCCCGGCAAGACATTCTCCGAGGACAACGGCATGTATAAGATCGTCCGCTACGAGCCTGTGGGTGTGTGCGCGGGGATTGCATCCTGGAACGCCACTTTCCTCTACGTCGGCTGGAAGATAGCACCGGCCCTAGCCGCTGGTTGCTCGTTCATCTTCAAGGCATCCGAAAAGTCACCATTGGGTGTCCTTGGTCTCGCCCCTCTGTACAAAGAAGCAGGCTTTCCAGATGGGGTTGTTCAGTTCGTGACGGGAGAGCGAAACACTGGCGCCCTGCTGGCCTCGCACATGGACATCTCCAAGATCAGCTTCACCGGCTCGGTCGGGGGTGGCAAGGCGGTGCAACAAGCCGCACTCAAGTCGAATATGAAGCGGGTGACCCTGGAACTGGGAGGCAAGTCGCCGGCCATTGTTTTCAGTGACGCGCCCATCGAAGCTGCGGTCGGAGGCGTGGGACAGGGCTTCCTCATCAACTCGGGGCAGATCTGCGTTGCGGCATCCCGCGTCCTCGTCCAGGAGGACATTGCGCCCAAGTTTGAAGCCGCTCTCAAGCAGCAGTTTGAGGCCGTTTCCGCCGGCATGGGGGCCAACCCGCTGGAGCCGGCGACAACGCATGGTCCCGTGGTCGACCAGGCCCAGTATGACCGCGTGATGAGCTACATTGACATCGGCAAGGGCGACGCGCAGCTCCTCACGGGCGGGTCCCGTAAAGGCCAGAAGGGGTGCCTGATCGAGCCGACGATCTTTGTGAATCCCAAGTCGGGCAGTCGCATCTGGGACGAGGAGATCTTTGGACCCGTCATGAGCATCAAAACGTTCAAGACGGAGGAGGAGGCCATTGCGTTGGCAAACGAGTCGACGTACGGGTTGGCATGTAAGTCCTTACGTTCTGTTTCTCGCTCTCTTCCCGTCCCGGGTCGTAGTGTTGTCACACTTCCAGCGATAAAACTGACGCTTCATCAACAGCGGCCATCTACACCACTTCCCTCACCCGCGGCCTCCGCGTCGCATCCGCGCTCGAAACCGGCGGCGTCTCGATCAACAGCCCCTTCATCCCAGAGATCCAGTCCCCCTTTGGCGGCGTCAAGCAATCCGGCAGCGGCCGGGAGCTGGGCGAGGAAGGGCTCAAGGCGTACCTGGAGCCCAAGCAGATTAACATCAAGTAAGTTTTCTCCCTTCTCCGCCCTCTCTGCCCTTGAGGAAACGAAACGACGACAATGTCACATCTCGGCTTGCTGGTGTTGAACGGCCTTTCTCTTTTCTCGTTTTTGGTGCATGGTTTCGCTAATGTCTGGCTTGCCTCATCTAGTATGAAAGTATAAGCGGAGCCGGTGTCAGATGAGGGATATTGGCATGTGCACGGTGCTGTATGGATCTGGGCGCCACAACGGGGTCGTTCAGCTGGAGTGGGAGTGGGTACATATACGGATCGCTAAAATTACGATGCGTGGCGGTGATTAGCAAATGCAAAGTAGTACGCGTTCGCCTCAAAGCCCTATCCCTATCCGTGACACAATGCTTATTCGCTTTTGCGGTCGATGTCTTCGAGTTCCTTTCTATCCTGCCGTCTCCAGTCAGGCGGTTATGACAACTTCACACGTACTAGACATGACATGCTCGCAGCGACGAACTGTCCTGGGGTTCTCCATATGATAGAGGCCTAGTCACCCCTCGCCTTTCCTCCAACAACAGACTAGATGGTGAAAACGAGCACAGATTAGGGCCGGGGAGGGACAGCCTGTCGCGTCTAACATACTGAAAAAATCATCATCTCTGAGCCATATGCTGCTGGGGCCACTCAATCTGGAGTTGGCCCGGATGGCTTTGCGCAGATGGCGGGGCGGCTGCTGCTGCTGTAGGGGGTTGTGGTTTTTGCAGCTTTCCGTCGACCTTGCGTTTGAGCCAACATATTCCGATCCCAATGAGGTCGAAAAAAAGCGGCCTCCCTTTGAAATGGGGCCTCAGGTCATCATCGAAGTCGCCCCAAGGAGACTCACAGCCCAAGAAGACGACCAGCGCAATGCTGAAGCAAATCCAGAAGTTCGGCCAGAAATTGATGTTCGCATACCCTTGCGGCAACTGGACTTTGTACATGCCGCACATTTTCTCGTTTCGCGCCCAGCGAGGGGTGATGTCAGTGTAGTACTCGGCGTCGTGTCCGGCGCCCACAGCAACGTCGAACGCGTCCCACTGGATCCGTGCGAGTGAAGTTTGGAACAGCGCTTCGCTCTCTTCCACCCATTGATCCCGTGGCAATCGGAACGACTCATAGTCTGCCAGTCGTTCGTTCGCAATCAGAGCGTTCCCAAGGCGGGCCTTGATTGACCTGTACACCGTTGCCTCCCGCAGAGCTGATCTTGTGAACTCATAGGCGACAGTGTACCCCGGGTTTTCCTTTGGAGGATATTCGTCCTCGACCGTGTGGCATAGGTCGTCTCGAAGGCACACCTCATTCCAGTCAATGCAGACCAGCGGACGAGCTCGGACATCTCCATTGCGATAGCGACCCGAGTTTTCCGGGTGCGGGAGGGTAGCTGGAAAAATGGGGTCGTCGGAATGGCCCCTGTAGATGATATGACAGCTCGATATAAACAAGATGGTCATGAACCTGTCGCCGCGCTGCGTCACAACGGCCTGATCAAGATCCAAGTCTGCACTTGGATCCCAGTAGTCATAGTCCGGCCCATATGGCGTCGACTCATAAGTACTGTGAAGTCAGTCTTGGTCCTACCGCACGCTTCATGCGAACACTCACCTGACTGAGTAGGCAGGTATCCTGGTATAAAAAGGATCGCCCACTGTTCGGAACGTGAAATTGGCCTGTCCGCCGTCCACTGGGCCAAGGTAATATTGGTAGATGTCGTCGTCTTGGGGATCGGCAGGCGTGACTTTTCGAACGAAGCCTTGGTCGATATTCAGGGGTGCACAGATGGTTGTATGCTTGAACTTTGGTCTTTGGTCAACGTTGACTCCGATAATGCTTGCATCGACTGGATCGGTCCAGAAGCGTATGGCATCGTCAAGTCCGTTCCCAGCACACATGGACTTTTTGACAAAGGGACAAGGTATACGTTTCGAATGATACCCGATGGTTTGATTGCTAAACAATGAGCACTGTGACGGGCTGTTCACACTGCGATTGCCGTAACAAGCACGGGCGTAGTCGCCGGCTCTTCTTTCCTTCCGGGATCGAATCAATGCATCATCAGCTCTTGCGGCTTCGCCAGCGCCTGCCTTCAAGCTCCACACTCCACAATACTTTGAGGATAAAATGCCGACGCTGTCAGTAGGCAGCTGAGTTGCAAACGAGCCCCAAACGGACCAGCCGATAGAAGCGAGGATGATGGTGACTGTCAACACATTCGACGTCCATGACTGTGATATCTTCTCTCTTTCTGCAACTGTGCCATCGAGGGCCGCATCACTATGAGACGCACCGACAGGAGCCATTGGCCGCGAACTATCATCCCTAGGTGTCGGTGGTTGTGGCACGGGATGTCCGTTAACACCTTGAAAGTTGTTCTGTTCCGCGCCATGGCCAAGTAAAGGGGAACGTTCGTCTGGTCCCCTGCTTGCACGAGGGCTCTTGCAACAGCATAACGCATCTATACACGATTTGACGATGCGAGTCTGACGCAGAAATGGCCACAATACACCAGAAGACCATTCGGCTATGCGAGTCAAGAGATGACTTAGGTATGGCAACAGGGCACCAAGGACCAAGCCCAAAACCAGAGACAGGGCTGTGCTCCACCCTGCCGACCTTGTGAATTGCCACTCTGAGAGAGGGTGTAAGTCTCCAGCACATCTATGAAGAGCCTCGACTTACTGTTTGTCTGCCGGGCGAAGTCGCACCACCCTAACCACGACCTTTCAACGTTGACATTGGGCTGCATGTTGGGCCAAAGACAGATCCAGCCAAGCTCCCATCGCAGTATACTTAGCCCTGAGCAGAGATGCCCGAGTCAGAGAGACAGAAGGGTATACCGAATTGTCATTCTTCGAAATTCCTATGCGGGCTTCCTCAGGCGCTGCAGCCTGAGTATGAAATGCAAACATGCCAAGACGAAGTAATTTGACACCTAGCTCACTGTTAGAAACGGCCTTTCATGCGACCAGAGGGCGGGATGCCCAGGGGAAGGTCTGCCGGCTGTGGCAGCCTGGCAGGTAGGACATGAACTGCGAGTAAGGCTAGGTCACGTGCAGCACGTGACTAGCGGGAAAGGAAACATACAGTATATCGATATGTTGATATGCTTGCCCTGCCCACAAAGCGGAACTCAACTTCAGCGACTTGACATATATAATCGCGCTATCAACAACATCACCACCAATAGCTCAGAACATATCTTCACGACTCTAACACATACCGCCACTTTGCATAGCTGGCCCACATCCTAGCATACTACTAATGCAAAGGAGGCACTGGCGACGTCCAGCTGCTTTTGGTATCGAAGTTGTCGAGAGCCAGCACTGGTTTGGAAAAACATCAATGAGTAAGCCCTGGGCAATACAAGTACTTCCAACAAGGTCAAATATGCGCTTCATGTAGCGCACCCAGTCAAGCAACTATTGTAATGGGAAGCAAAACGCTCGGCAGCCCAGCGATAGCAGTACAGACAGACAGAACAAGAATTGGATGGAGAACAGTGCGTCTCAAACCCGCCAAAGAAAGAAAGGATCAGTCTTACTGGGGGGTTTCTCTGCTCAAATGTAACTCTCTCGAGTCCCTTTCTCGTTGCTGCGGTATATTGCATCGATCATCTTGTGCCTCACAAGAGCTTCCTCAAAAGTTGTCACAGTCCCTTCGCCCTGCTCAGCGAAAGAATCCCAGGCCTTTCCAACGTTATATGCGAAGTTTTCGGCTTTTTCGACGTCTACCTCCTCCAGCTGCGCACCTTGATGAGCTTTGACAAACCTGAGCTTGGGTTGGTACATCTGAAGATGGCCCACTGGGCCCTCGAGAACCAAACTACCCTTGGTCCCATTGATCTCCCAATAGAAGTTCTTTTCGGTTCGCGAGAAACCCCCCTGGTAGACAACCGTCGCAACTCCCCCTCGCACCAGATTTCCCTGTACAGACACGTAATCGTGCGAGGTCTTTTCCGCAGTTCGCACGACTTGCCCTGATCCATCCACAAGAGGCATTTTCGGTCGATTGTTTGCTAATGTGGCTTGTAGGTCCTTAAACTCGCCTAGTACATAGCAGAGCGCATCCATAGCGTGGCCAGCAGGTATAGTGATCAAGTTCGCACCGCGTTCAATCTGACATCCATACTCGAAGTCAAAGGGTGTCGTAGGCCCGAAGATAATCCCTGAGCCTAACATGGTTGTACCCAGAATCTCCCCTAGATCGTCGTTCTGAATCATTTCTCTGGCCTTTCTCACACTTGGACTCTGGCGCGCCTGGAGGCCGACCATAGTTTTCACCTTATGTAAGGTCGCGAGTGCAGCAAGCTCCTCTGCTTCCTTTAGATTTGCACCAAGTGGCCATTCTACAAAGACATCTTTCCCAGCTTGTAGCGCTGGTTTCGCGAGTTTATAGTGGTCGGGGGCTTTAACAGACACGACCACGACGTCGACATTTGGATCGTGGACAAGAGAATCAATATCGCTATGGCATGAGACGTCTTCAGCCAGACCGTACGCTCTCGCGGCCTTTACAGCAGATTCTGTACTGCTGTTCAAGAGTGCGTTGATGTGGTAGAGCTTGGTCTTTTGAAGGTATGGCAAGTGTGCCTGCGAAGCCCACGAGCTGCGTGTAGGAAATTTAGCTTTGGGACACCGAGATGAATTATGGCTCACCCTTGTGCTGACAGTCCAATGAGTCCCAATTTAATAGGAGCCATTCTTGCTCACGATACACCTTTGGTGAAGATATCAGAAAGATGAAGTGCTAGAAATTTGGCGCTGTCACCCAGTTGGTACCCCGAGTGCGCGAAATTCCCTATACAAAGATATCTTAACACGAGATTGTACTTTACTGTTGGAGGCCCCGCCCCCCGCATTGGAAGCACGGAATTGTGGATCGCAGCATTATCGACTGCGGCTCAGCCTTTTCCAACTCTGCATTAGGGAGGGTTTACAAATTAGGTATTTGCATAATTATGTGCACGGTGAACTCGGAAATGTTTTCTTGTGACTACCCGACGAACTCTCGCGTACTCGTATAGAATGACCGGAGTTTGCTGAATTGAGTTTACCCTAGTAGAACATCAGCATGGGCTGTTGATAGACACACGCCAGGCTCTGACCACTCAGCTAGTTACGAAGAGAGTAACAAAACCAAATGCTTTGTTGTCTGAACCAAATTTGCTCTGAAACTCGCCAAAGACAGAGTGACTGACTCTATGATAGTCGTCGAGAACATATTTTCATGGCCGGCATCACAAGCTCGATTTTTGGTTCGCATATCCGATTTCATGGAGAGCGGAGTATTGGATGACTAGTCGAGCAGGTGTTCAATGCAAATTAAAGGAGTCCGTTGGTTTCCAAATTATCATCGAATTTCACATAATACCTAATGCTTTTTCTCTGTTATACGTGTGTGCTCATATACAGGGTCAACACGACGCGATTAGCTGGAGTTTGCCTGGTCCTTTGCAAGCTCGGGGTCGTTCAACCCGTAAGCCTGCGTGCCTGAATCCATGACACACGTCCTTCTCATGTCCCTGACATGCTTGCCCTCGTACGCACCCGAGGTTGCACGATGCAGAACGGCCGTGTTGTCCCAGATAACCACGTCTCCTGGTGAATCCCAATGGTGCTCAAAGACATACCTGGGTTGTTTGGCGTGGTCCACCAATTCTTTCAGGAGCTTTTGCCCTTCCTCGAGTGGCATATCCTCGATCGAGTAAGAATAGGATGTGACATATAGCATCGGTCGCCCAGTCGGCTCGTGGATGGTGACCAGTTTGTGGCGAGCAACAGGCATACTCATGATGTTGACGTCTTTGAACAGCGGAGAGTCTGGATTTGCGGTCTTGCGATTATGATAGAAAGAGTGCACGACCACCAAGTCCTTGATCTTGTCTTTGGTTGCTTGTGGGAGATCATCGTAAGCCTGGCGCGCGTCGGCATACTCAGTGTGTCCACCCATGGACTTGGGCGGGATTTCCACGGCCCGAAGAATAGAGACGTATGTCCGCCGCGGATTGAATGAGCCGTCGGCATGCCATAGAGCATTGCCCCGAATAGCAGTAATCCTTTTTTCATTGCTATGGGTCACGACCTGACCTTTCTCGTCTAGGTTGGATATGTCGAAGATCTCGGGCTCGTCGAGCTTCCTCATGTGTGGGCTGCGGTACTTGCTCTTCTCGACTTCGCCAAACAGGCGAGAAAAGGCGACGTGGGCTGTATCATCAGGTAAGTTTGCTTTCCTGATAACTACCACACCATACTTGTGGACTGCATCGCGAAGCTGATCAAACTGCGCATCGCTAATCGGGTTGGAGAGATTTAGCCCTTCAATCCTAGCAGCGAAGGTGGGATGGATTTGCTTGATAGAGATTGGCTTTGCAATGCTTCCCATGGTTACTCAAGTTTCTCCAGATAACAATAAAATTCAGGTGTTGATCTCGGCGATGTTATGTCCATGCTCGTTATTGTTGACAAAAGATGCAGGGTTAATTTCTATCACTTCGCGGAGGCTTCATTTTTGTCCGAATTCCGGGAATTCCGCCCAGCCTCGCCACCCTTTTCCTAACATGGAGTTCAAACTGATGGAGGTTCTTAGATATCGTGGACCGGGCCCTCTGAACCTTTGCTCAGGCCATCTTGACCTTCGACCAGGACTGCAGAACTTTGTCTGCTCTTCTTGGACTCTCGACCACATTACCCGATTCGCCACCATGCTCACTGCCGATCAGGTGGCCCAACATTGCACTTGGTAGTCACGCTGGCTTAGCGTTGAAGGAGAGGTGTACGATGTGATAGAATTCTTAGACGAACATTCATGGGGGGCAAGCATCATATTGCGGTATGCCCCTGGTGAAAATGTATTCCGAAAATATCCTTGTCATTGGCATGGGTGAAGACCAGGCTGTGGTATCAGAGAAGCATACTGTTCAGAACAAAGAAGTGGGGAGTTATTAAGGGGTTAAACCAGAACACTAGTAACATTGTGGTACTTTGCATCGAGCAGTAGCGCCGCAAGGACAGGCTTTATCGAATGTTTCCAGGCTGAAACACGAATCCGCCATCTTTGAACCCTTATTTGGAGCCTTCATGCGTAGGTAGATAGACAGAGAGAAAGAATAATCGAGATACCTTTGGCGTAGGATGTGCAATTTAACAAGAGGACGGAATCTCTCACAAAAATTTTACTATTGCCGGCCCTTTCGTCCGTTCTGATCAACGTGTATCCATTTCAAGAGATCATGGCACAATCACGGCTTTTGCGGGGATTCCTTGAGCCACTGACTGAATGGCGTCCTCGATTGAAGAAAGAGGGAAGCGGTGGGTTATCAAGCGATCCATGTCTCGAAGTTTTCCATGCACTGTTGCCAGCTCAACCGTCTTTAGATAGTTCTCTGTTTCAATGCCCAAGCTTCCAATGATGTGTAGATTGTAGTTGTTGATGCGTACAGGATCGATCACTGCTTCGGCCTTTCCAGAGTACAGTCCGAGGATGAGGTATTTCCCGTTCATTCCAAGTAAGTTGAAACCTTCAGGAAAAGCTGCCTTGGACCCTGAGGCCTCTATCACCATAGACGCCCCACGACCGTTTGTGAATGCTTTGATCTTTTCATGTCTCTGTTCTACTCCACTCTCGCTAATCGACAGAGTCTGCGTAGCTCCGAGTGAGCGAGCGATCTCCAATCGATGTGCAGGGTCGCCGATGACAGTGATGGTTCGAGCACCTGCGAGGCTCACAAGAAAAGTCACTGCCAGTCCCACAGGACCCGCACCCTGAACCACAACATCTGTCTGAGAATTAATGGGGCCGAGTTTGCCAATCCCTCTTAACGCTGTGGGCATTGCGCAGCCAAAGGCGATGACAGACTCGGGACTTGTACCAGAGGGGATGCGAATATAGGTACATCTGGGACCGAGCGTCGCGTATTCGCGAAATCCTGCTGCATTTGGTCCACCTGCAGCAACTGGCCAGTTCAGACTTTTGCAATGCAATGGATTGGATATGCTGCATTCCCAACAACTTCCACACGGCATGGAGGGAAGCCAGTAGAGGAGATCACCAACAGCGATGGGCCTGCCTGCACGATCACACCTGATTCCATTACCAAGTGCGACTATTTTCCCAACAACCTCATGTCCGAAACATATAGGCTTCAGCGGTTCTGGAATATCTCCTGAAAGTCGATGAACATCACTTCCGCAAATGCCTGCCATTACCATCTGTACCACTATCTGCTCCGGACCTGGTTCTGCAGTATTCTCCTCTCTGATTTGTATAGGCTCACCAGGCTTCGTGAAAACCGCCACTTTGCCCGTCCACATTCTTCGTAGGTCTTCCAAAGTCGTTTCAAAATGGAGCTTTCTTTTGAGGTGTTGTCGGTATACAACACACACACACACACACACACACACACACAAATTCCCCCTCAATTTAGGCTGTTCAACCAGAAATGTACAAACAGAGTCTACCCCTCTTTGTATATGTCGGGTACAGATATATGCTTCAAATATGGAAACTCTTAGACAGATTCCACGATTTTCCCTATTGACAACCTTTCAGAAGATATCCACAAGGCTCGATGGGCTCCGACAAGAGGCTTGTTTGCACCCCGGAATCAAGAATGTATACGGCCGGACGGTCGGAATGCATCAGTGTAGACACGAAGATTCGGAAACAAGGGGACTCGGCGCTGTAGAATTCGATCGATAACAGCCCCGTCGATTGGTTGGCCAAGGTGAAATCATCGATGGTCGTACGCGTCGTCCGGAACTTCTCACCCGAGCCTTATCACATTCCCCATAATTCCGTTCTCTCTCTCTCTCCCTCTCTCTGCAGAAAGTATCGTGCGAGTGGTCTCAAATTGCACAAAAGCTACCTAGGTAGAAACTCTGGTCCCATTCAACGTGAAACAAATTAATTTTAATTTGTAAAACGAGTTTTGGGCGACGAGCCTCTTATTGTGGATATCAAGTATACAACGCTCAGATTAAACCCTTCTGGCCGTAGTCTATTCAAATGGTATCAAGACCGGTTTAGTAACGGTGAGAGACCCTCTATCGTGACTGGTACAGTTACCAAGCGATATAATAGTGACGCTTCGATAATTACTCGAGGCTGTATAGTCAGACGGTCCCAAGGACCTAATAGAATCCACCATGTTCCTGAACCAATAAAATCGCTTGATATTCTTGCCAATCCCTTGGCAGTCATGACCACAATAAAGGCGAGGTCCTGACTGCAATCCTGGCAACACTGGAACTTGCTGCTACACTGATCTCTGTGTGCATCAAAAACCAACACGAAATTGGTGCTGCGGGAGATGAAGATGCTAACGGCACGGTTGGGGGAAAGGCCGCAGCACGTTGGGAGCACACACGTGGAACGTGTCGAGGATTGTAACAGATACCGCGGTTTTAGCCACGGGGAGATGGCACCCAGATCGATTAATGTTGCCGATCATTGTCAACCATTTTTCATGTACCGAGTGGTAGACGTAGTTAGAGAGCGGTGAGTTTTGATACTTTCGAGGCAATAATGTACTTCGGATCGTACATGAACACCGTTTGTCTGCCTGCCCCAACTACCGACACGCGAAAGGAACGAAATCCAGTCTTGTCAATTGTCCCATATTTAAGGACTGATTGACAAAGAGTAGTCACAGTCCAGTCGTCCTCCTAAGCATAACACTACCATCATCAAAGGCTTTGCGCTTCAGCTCCGCCCACAAAGCCAGTTATTCTAGGCGCTTCGCTCGTTCTGCTGGATAATATGACCCTCGCCAGTGTCTGTGTGAGAATGGATGATGGCGCCCTCCTGAAGCTTAATGTCGACTTTCTGAGTCAAAAGGTGATCAATGTCTTTGACGAAATAGACCGCGATCAGACCAATCGTTCCAAAGGCGATCGTCACGAGATAGACAACGCGGAAAGCGGCGGCATTGGCCCTCTTCAGTCCTTCTGTTGCGATCAAGAGTTGACTCGGAGTTAAACTTTTGAGTGGGCCGGATATTCCGGTGAGAAGGGCCTCGACGATCGTAGGAAGTGTGCTTGGTGGAACTCCTGCGGAGACCAAGGGAGCAGCCACATCAGTTGCCACATTGGAGACCAGTTTGTTGTGCAAGATTGTCGTGTAGATGACCTGGGCAATCGATCCACCCACAGATCGAGAACAACAGACAATTCCAGTCGCAATACCGATAAACTCGTGCTTGACCGTTGTCTGGACTACTGTGATCGTTGCGATATTGACACCGGCAACTACAGCAAAGAGGAAGACCACCAGAATAGTCGATCCGATGTTGCTCGTCGGCGTAACCGTGGCTTGACAAGCACTGAAGAGGAGGACTCCGAATACATAGAAAATCAGCTGTAGGCGAACATGTCGGAACTTCGACAGGATAATGCCAGCGGTTATACTCCAGACTAGACCGGCAAAACCACTTGCACCGGAGTACCATCCGATCTTATAAGGCTCGTCGGGTGTAGTGTAGAGTGCTTGAACCTGGGCAGGCCATAAGACCGCAGTGGCGTAGAAGGACATTCCGTAGAGGAATACTGCAACCTGAACCAAGGTAAAGCCCCTGACATCACGGAAGATTGAAGGTGGAAATATGGGCCACTTGGTCTTACTGTACGCCTCGTAGAACGCACAGATCACAAGTACCACGAATCCGAGGACGATCGGTGCTAGTGTGCCTGCCGAACGCCTAGAAATGTCAGTAGAGAATTGGTGAGCGGAAAGAACGGCGTACCATGGAAATTCACTGCCCCCAAAAGAGAGCCCCAAGAGAAAGACGACGAGGCCCGCGATAAAGGTAAAACAGCCGATGAAGTCGGTTTCAAGGATCTGGCGCCATGTCGAGGTGCCCATTTCATGGATATATTGGTTCATTGGATGGTACCAGAGGATGGTCATAACTAGGGAAATTCCATCTAGGATGAATGGGAACCAATAGATCCATCTCCAGGTGCTCGTTGCGATAAAGGAAAATGCTATAACGTAGAACAACCACTGGGTTAGCTCTGGTCCTATCTGGACCTTGCGTCATCTAACTTACCGACAACGGGACCGAAGGATGAGGTGATTGAAAGTGTGCTGGAGAGCGCCCCAAAGGCGAACGAGCGCCAGGCCTTTGGAACAAGTTCCCCTAAGCTACTCCAGCAGATTTGGCGAAACGCTCCGGAGATGCCAATCAGAACCGAGCCGACGATGATAGTGTTGATGTCCTTCGCAGTGGCTGCAACGGCTGTTCCGATCATTGCTATTACATTACCTAGGATGATAAAGTTTCGACGTCCATAGATATCTCCAAATCGGCCAGCGATGGGAGTTAAAGCAGCTGTTCCAGTGGTCTGCCCCAGAGCCATCCAGACATAGCTCGGGCTTGGACCTAGAATAGAAGATTATGGGTTAGTCACTGCGCCATGACTATCAGATGCGAAGGTAACTTATATGCTCACCGATATCACGATTGACAACCCCTAAGGTTGCCCCGGTGAACTGGGTGACAAAGTTATCGGACACGTAACCAAGGGAAAATGCCTGAGGACTGTTAGCGGGAGGTCACGATATGGGACCCCGGATTTCAGGCTCACCAGCATGGCCATAAATTTTCCAAAGGTAAATTCGAAATCCTCATCCTCTGGGGCGCCCGTCACGTTGCTGCCACCTTTTTCCGTGTCCATGATATCGATGTCCTGGTCCGTGTCCGCGGCCATGACCTCCAATTCTTGGTGTTGGGCCTTGATGTCTTCTGAATCTCGACGTTCCATAGCTATCGTGGCAAGTGTAGCAGAAAGAAGTCGCTCTTGATGAGTCGAGTTGGTGTTGGTGAGCTCAAAGCTTTATGATAACATTGGGTCTGGACTTGGCGGTGGCCTGGACGCGTGTAGGCCCCGCCAGAGTTGTTGCTCGGAAATTCATCAGTTAGTCTGGGGAAAGAATATACTTTTGCGGGGGTGGGGGGAAGGCATATCCAAGCTCCCGACGGGCTCCCGTGCAACAAACTTGTCCAGTCGGCTTTGTGGATGCTCATCAAGGGGGGGAATCAATTTGTCTGAAGCCTGAAAATCTATCTCTTCAGAGGCTGTCAAGACTTTCCTATAGCTCTGAAACTCCTACACCGTGATCACCAGGCATGTTCATCCAGCTCGCAGTTTAACCCATCCGGCTGCAAAACCAGCGCTTAATACTTCAATCACGTTTCCCCATGGATCCTGGACATAGAGTGCACTATCAGGGGGAGACCGACAGACAGTTTTACCGATTTTCTTGCCGCCAGCTGCGATAATTCGTTCGCATAATTCGTCCGGATATGGGTGAGTGATTGCAAAGTGGAACATCCCTCCCCGGGTGATATCGAATGTAGCCGGGTGCTCCATCTTCGGGTCAATGAACTCAAAGATCTCAAAGGCAATATTGTTTCCCATATTCAAAACCATTATCTTAACCTCCCGAAGGTGCGCTGGGTATATATCAAACACCGGATGGTCAGGCTCATCGTCACGATTGATATATATAGGGAGCGCCGTCACCACCCGAAATCCGAGATTCTCTGCATACCATTTGGCCGCTTCGCCGCAGTCCGGTACCGCAATGCCTAGATGGTTAAAGTTGAGATTTAATGGTGTGCTTCCGGCCTGGCGTATGGTCAGCGATATTATCTGGTCTAACCTTTCTAAAGCTGGGAAAGCTACCTGAGACATGATTTGAGGGTGCTGTTCGTCTTACTCCACAGAGTCTTGGACTCTCATCTGTCTTTTTAATTCCAGCTGTTCCTGACGTTTATGAATGTCTCAGGCTCTCCGAGTTCAAAGACATCCGGAAGGGAATTCTGGAGTCTCGGAATTCAATTAATCCGGGGGAGGGGCCAACGTAGGACCGGCGTCAAGCTTTCTCAAGCGGAGGCGATTTCTATCCTACCGGAAAAATGTCTTTAATCAATGTGAATGCAGGTGCGGGTAGAAGGCTCTTAGCAATAGCATATATAGTACATGCTGAAAGCATATTCTGACTTGTTGGACTGACGCGGCTGTGGGTTCCATTCTTTTCCATAGCAAAATGCCTGAGATTATTCCGCTTTCAATTCCGACCACCTGTGGATTTCATTTCCATTCTTAACTTCCACACCGCCCAGAAAATACATAATTAGTGACATCTATTTGACAAATCGTGAACAGAGCTGAGGCAAAACTCTTCTCGGCGCCAACACTTTGTCCCTTTATATTGTTTAACTCCAGAGTTTCAATGGCTACTTACGATTTTCCTGGTGTCGCTTTAGTGACCGGTGCGGGACATGGTAATGCCACTCATCCAAGGACGAGGCGACAGGGCTTTCGCTAAATCATCCTAGGTATGGGCCGGGCAACAGCAATTCTCTTTGCAAAGGAAGGCTGCAAGCGTATCTGCATAGCTGATATCAATGCCCAAGGCCTGGAAGAGACCAAGAAAATGATAGAAGTGGTGTCCGATGGAGTCACTGTTCGCACGGCCGTGTGTGACAATACCGATGAGAAACAGGTACAAAGCATGGTAGACGGGTGTGTTCAGCAATTTGGGAGAGTTGACTACGCAACCAACATTGCTGGTATCACGATCCTCGGCCCGACGACAGCAGATATGCCAACCGAGCTGTGGGAAAAGGATAACCATACGAATTTGCGAGGGCTCTTTTTCTGTGAAAGGTCCGAATTGAAGGCCATGCTGAACCAAGAGCCACTGAAGTCAAGGTCTGAGTGTCGATTTCATACTCGTCAAAGTACTCGTCTCACGAGTGAGCGAACAGTGATTCCAACTACCCTCTGAGAGGCAGCATTGTCAATGTTGGGTCCATGGCAGGCCTCACTGGACGCAAAGAGCTTCCTCACTATTGCGCAAGCAAGCACGGTGTTGTGGGGCTCTCAAAGGCGGTATGTACTTGTGCCGGCTCGTTGGTCGGTCCTCAGTCAGGGCTAACGGAATGAAAGGATGGTCTATTCTACGGCAAATTTGGGATCAGGGTCAATTGTGTCTGCCCAGGGTAGGTTTGTCCCCGTCTATCCATGTAATGTGGGATGCGCAAGAAAGTTTTGACTGAAGACGGCAACGGCAGTCCAACCAAAACCGGCATTCTATCCAATAATGGAATAAGCGATATGTCGAAAGCGGACGAACTCAGAGCTTCAGCGTCTCAAAATGCGCTTGGAAGATGGGCCGACCCGGAAGAGTTGGCCCAGGCTTTGGTTTGGGTTTCAAGTGGTCGTGCCAGTTACATGACTGCCTCTGTCCTCGCCGTGAATGGCGGCCAGTACTTGTGAAAAATCTTAGAATACGTAGTATCCTCAGCTGAAACAAATTGCTCCAAAATGTGTTCTGGATCAAGGGTCATAAAAGATCATTCAAATTTTGCTATAATACGTCATGTTCCACTCTCCTGTGGAATTGTCTTCTTTTCCATCTATTCATTCTCTAACCTCAACCGGGCACGTCTTGTAGGTTGCCATATTGAGAAATTGAAGACAATCACTCTGGATCTTAGTCTTGTTGTCTCCAGCTGCTAGCGAAGCCTGCCAAGATCTGTACGTTGGCTCATCCGCAAAAATAAGCACCGTCATAGCATCAAAGTCAGGGTGCATAGAGGGCCCATCCGGGCGAGCGGTATAGTGTCGTCGATAGACAAGCGGCTTATAGCGTGCGTCGCATAGTGAATTGACGAGTGGAGCATGTTTTGTTTCATAGTGTTCCTTGAACTGTTCCGCTGACAGGTGCGCCGCTTTACTGGCTGTGATGATAACGGTAAACACCATGGTCGAAAAGGGGGCCTGTTGTTATAAGTGTCGAAGAATAGTGTCTGTCGTGCCAATCAACCAGAACGGTGAGTGAAGGGGGCCCTCTTATATAGATGCATTAGAATGTCTCTTTGCAGATCGATTCCAGACGAGGGTCATTTAGAGACGAGATGAAATGGTCCGGAATTTCGGTATTGTGTGAAGTTTACATTCATCAAGGAAGCAATTCCGCCCCTTCTTTTGTCCGACTACAACGAAATAGACGCAACAGTTGCATACATCTTTGCTAAATCAATTTTTGAAGTATGTAGCGACATTGAGTTCGCGAGTGAAAGCCGAGGCTCGTTTGAACACTTGTAAGAGAGGATCGGCCAGTAGAGGATACTCTATTTTCAGAGGTCTCCTTGCCAGTACGCGGCATGAAAAGGGGTCGAACGAAATCACTCATGGAATATATCTCGAATTCCAGTCAACCATGACCCCTGGCGACGGATCGAGAGGCCAATACGCCGAGGCCTTCCAACTGCAGCCCATAGCCGAGGTCGTCGTGCAGGCGTCTCTTGATATGTTGAGCCAAGGCGATCCGCGTATAGCGCAGTACGAGTGGATGATTCTTGGCAAGTGTACGAGCAAGCTCCCAGGCACGGTCCAAGAGGCGATCCGGGGGTAGAACCTCTGCGACAAAGCCCAGAGCTTTGCCCTCTTGAGCGCTAATCTCTTCGCCTAGCATCAGGAACGTTCGTCCACGATTCGGTCCCAGAAGCATGGGCCACCAGATGTGCACACCATCCCCAGGAACAGTGCCGGTACCTGACAGGTGCCCTTTGTCTGCAAAGGATGCTGTTTCTGAGGCCAAGACGATGTCGCACATAGTCGGGAGCTCCGGGTGGATGAAACAATTCCCGTTGACAGCAGCAATCATAGGGACTTCAACATCACACAAGTTCATCAGGAGCTCTTTACCCTCCTTGTAGATCCGGTGCCATGTTGCGGCGTTGAGCTGGGATGGGTCAAGCCGGTTCTCCAGGTCCCATTGGGCGAGAAAAGAGTCACCCATTCCAGTCAAGATGACGACCTTGTTTTCCGGGTCATGATTGATGCAGAAGAAGGCCTCGGGTAGTTCGGTGTGGAGGCCTCCTTCTGCTGCGCCAAACCTCGCCTCCCTGCCCCTGTCGTGCAGCGTCAACTGTAATATGCCATCTTCGCGCTCGAGCTTGATGTATTTAAAGCGGCTCTCATATTCACTTAGTTTCATAACTCCAACGTCAAAAGTGTGAGACTGGAGTCAACGAGAAAGGTATCAGTAATTGCGGTAGTGCCCCAGCCCGCAACTCTGAGTGTATCAACACATCTTAAGAACGCGGCTCTTTGGTCGGCTTCCCTTTTAGTTCGGAAATGTCGACATTTCCGGCGGGGGTCCCACCTCGCCAAAATCACAACAATTGTATCCATTGAGTCTGCGTACAGCCTGTTGATTCTTCGAATAATCTATAGGAGTTTGAATCTCAAAGATGCTACTCTCAGTAGCAAGCTGTTGAGACTATATGGTCTGACGTCCCTTGGCGCCCTTCGAGATCCATCATGTGCCTCTTTCACTTTCATGACTAACATCAGTGATCTGTGCGACTCAATGGAGGAATAGGATGCATTCTACAGAGGGTCCTGGGGACCGTCTGACCATACAAGTAATCCTATCAACAATGGGGTTACTAGCGCGAGTCTGGGGCATTCAGCGGAGGTTCTCCCGGAATCAGTTGATTAATACCTTGCCGTATATGGGAGTTAAACTTTGAACACCCCATCTCCTCTTGAATCAAGGTTTCAAGCTCCGGAATGATAGGAATTTGGAGGAAAAGCCGGTTTTTGGGGGTAAAGGAAGCACGAACATGAGTCCTCTCTGACCCATGAAAACAATGACAATAACGACAGGAAACACATGACTGCGTCAAACTTCACAGAATCTTTCGACCTGAAGCTCCATACCGCAAGTCCGGCAGCAGTAACCTGCTCTGCGTTCAACTAAACCAAGTATCACTTTTCTTGCCTTTTTTGACACAAACTTTTGAAAAAGCCAGAAGCCATGAAGTCAGTGGTGGTGGTAGAAGTGTGTGGGTTCCAGTTGCACGACGAAGAACTTGTATGTTGATAAAATATGTGGCTAGTACAACAAACCTCTTGAGATCCAAGATGAGCTCCCAGTTCCGACACCGAAAGCCACCGAGTTACTCGTGAAAGTATCAGCCTGCTCCCTTTGCATGAGCGATGTCATGGGGTTTATGGGTCATATAGACACTGCCAAAATTCCTTACTGTCCTGGGCATGAGCGTAGGTGACTACCCTTCCTTACCATGGCATAAATAGGTTGCCCGTGTCATGGACATAATTTGGCTGACTTCATGGATGTTCTACGCAGCTGTGGGTGTTGTCGATAAAGTCGGGAGCGCCGTCATAGGTTTCAAAGTCGGTGATAGAGTTGGTTGGATGCCAGCATCGCGCTCCTGTCGTGAGACACCCCTGGACATCTTTCACGGCACATGAGTTGACGCTTCACCTCCAGAGGAATGTATGAACTGCTTAAGCGGAAGCCATCGCTATTGTGAGCAGCGCATCAATGTCGGCTTTGACAGCACAGCTGGCTGCGGAGGATTCTCCGAGTATTGTATTTGCGATCCGATGTCAACAGTAAAAATTCCGGATATTTTGGGGGATGAGGAGTGAGTGGATGCAGATTTTTGCCCTATACTTCACGAAGAGACACTTTAAACTCCTCTAACAGCTGTGAGTTCTGCAGAGCGGCTCCACTTCTCTGTGCTGGGATCACGGCGTACGGAGCAGTGAAGAAGGCTTTTCAATATTTACCAGGTGGCTCATGGCTCAATGTTGTTGGTTGCGGAGGCGTTGGTACAGACTCTTTCCTTTTGCTTCGAGTCGATTATTTGTCTTCCTGAAAACTAACGCCTCTGTTTAGGCCACCTTGTGATTCAGTACGCTACCAAGATGGGCTACCGTGTCATTGCAAGTAACTCACCCCTTCCTGGTAGCCTTCATGGTTGATAGGGCTTTATTAATATCTGGCGCAGGTGACATTGCACAAGACAAGCTCGACCTTGCACTAAGATGTGGTGCTGTCAAGACAGTAAACTCGAAGGATTCTTCCAAAGTCGAAATCGTTCAAACAGGATGCACAATTGTGGTGACTGGCGTCGCAGCAGCTTATGACTTTGGCATCAAAGCCACTGCAACTGGCGGGAAGGTTATCATAATTGGAGTTCCGCACGGCCCAGTCCCAATCGATAGTAAGTTCGCGAGCCTAGACGTCCTTGTGTATATTTGGTGTGCACGTATCGCGGATACGAATGCGCTGACACGACTTCATTTGAAAAGTCCTCGGAATGGTTTTGAGGGAAATTAGTATCATTAGTAAGTCGATTCTCATGTTGATCTTCAGTCCTCCTGTCACTGCTCGCTTACACTATCGGAGCTACAAACCAAGGGAACAAGAAAGAGTTGGTGGAGGCCCTTCAAGTTGCTGCGGATCTGGGCATCAAGCCGATATACGAGGTAACATTCTTTTGACCAAATTCTATTCGAACTTACTGACCTGGATTCCCGTCAAGGTCAAGCAAGTGAGCGCAATAAATCAGGGTGTCTCCGATGTAACTGCTGGTAAGACGGTCGGGCGAATTGTATACCGTTGGGATATATAAGACCGACATTGATTTAATCCCGGCTTGAGGCAAACCCAGAGACCAAACTTATGGACAAATGTCATGTAGGCGCCCTTGTATCCTCCCAAGAGAGAATATCTAACCTCTAGAAAGGCAGAGGATAAGACTCTTGCCTGAACCCTCATAGTAAGACTGTATATCAGACATAGCCAGGACGGAAGGATTCATAGGAGCTTCTTTTTGCTACTGCTGCTCAGCGCAGTAAAAGAATTTAGAGTATACATTCGTAATATGGACATCTTTTTCCAACTGCAATGCTCGAGGGGACAAAAAGGAATGCCAATGGTCCCTGTAATTCCCCGTAGCCCCGAGTCAGACTTGGGACGGAATTTGAGCTCTCTCTTTCCAAGTCGATTTCCGCACCACTTCGTCGCTTGTCGCTAGGGACCAGGTGGTGACGGGGCATTAGTGCATACCATAGGGTACAAAAAGTAGCTCAACTCCATCAACAATACACTGCCAGCGTGTATCGAGTCCTCGGCTGCAACCACACGATGGCGTGTAAGCTGTTTACTCAGAAGGACATACCTGAGAGACCTTTCGTCAATAATCAAGTCTTCCTACCTGATTCCTCGGGTTATGTAGAAATGCTAACGATTAAATAGTGGACTGGTGGATCCGGGGAGAAGCTGAAATTCTTAAATCCCAAAAATGAACTCGATTTGGAAGTATCTCTATGCTCAGCTAGTGAGGAAGACCTCGAACAGGCCGTGGCATGTGCGACAGAGGCTTTCGAGTCCGGTCCTTGGTCCAGTTTCACAAGTGCGAAAAGGGGGCAATGCATCCGAAAACTAGCGGACTTGATGAATGACCACGTTGTGGAGATCGCGTATTTCGAGAGTGTGGTATCGGGAAAACCAATCACTGATGTTGAACGAGACGTGAGAATGAGCGCAGAGGTTCTTCAATGTAGGTCCTTGTCTCTTTTCTTTGACTCTTTTTCCTTCTTCTTAGGAGGATGTCAAAATAACGAATGTCTCCTTTGCATAAAGACTATGCAGGTTGGGCGGACAAAATCAAGGGAGACGTATATCCTGCCGACGATGGTTTCTACAAGATCATTACCCAGGAGCCTCTGGGAGTGTGTGCGGGCATCACGGCCTGGAACGGATCCCTTCATTTTCTCGCCTGGAAAGCCGGGCCCGCCCTGGCCTGCGGGAACACATGCATTATCAAACCGTCAGAGAAATCACCATTTGGTACTCTTGCTGTTGGCTACTTGGTAGAGGCAGCGGGATTTCCTGCCGGCGTGCTCCAGATACTCCCTGGTCGGTAGTCATTGCCAAAAGCCCTACGCACAACTTCTCGCTGACGAACGCAGGCGATGGAAAAATCGGCGCATGTCTGGCGAGCCATATGAAAGTCGCTAAGGTGTCCTTCACTGGCTCTACGATAACTGGACGGAAAATTCAGGAAGCAGCAACAAAGAGCAACATGAAACGCGTGACCCTAGAGCTTGGGGGGAAAAGCCCAATGATTATCTTCGATGACTGTGACTTGGAAAAGGCCATGTTCTGGGCTGTTGCGGGCATCACTGTAGGAACTGGTCAGGTTTGTGCCGCAACATCTCGAATTTTGATCCAGGACTCAATCAGAGACGAGTTCATATCTAAACTTAAGGCAAGATTCGAGTCCATCACTCTCGGACAGGATCCACAGGACGGACGGTCCAGTTATGGACCCATCATTGACAAGTTCCAATATGATAGGGTCAGAGGGTACATTGAGGCTGGAAAGCAGAGCGGAGCAACTGTGCTCGCTGGCAGTGAAGATTACCCAGGGAAGGGGTATTACGTTCCTCCAACAATCTTCCTCAACCCCCCTGAGGATGCTGTTATCTACCGGGAAGAAATCTTTGGACCAGTTCTTTGCGTGACTACTTTTGGGACAGAGCAGGAGGCTCTGCAGAAGGCCAACGATACTCACTACGGATTGTCCGGTTAGCCGATGATTCCATGCCCTGAACCGTGATCTCACTGACGCTTTCGCTAGGAGCCGTTTTCACGAAAGACCTAAATAGAGCTCTTCGTGTGAGTTCCAAGGTCAAGGCTGGGACTGTTTGTGTCAACTGTGCCATCATGATTGGGCCGCAAGCTCCCAATGGGGGTTTCAAGCAAAGTGGGTACGGTCGAGAGCTCGGAGAGTATGCATTGAGACACTACACCGAGCCCAAAACTACGTTTATTAGGTGAGTTATTGTGCCGGATTTACATTCTATTTTGCGACCTGACGCTAATTTCAAGCACATAGTTCTACTTGATAACACAATGTGATGCTGCAACAACTGTATAGTTTTCAAATGAGCATTGAAATTTGCCTTTACCATTCATTTTTTGTTATTTCCTTCACTCCATGTGTTAATGCTCACTAGGCAGTGAGATTGTGTCCGGAATTGACGCTGTCACTGCTTGTAAACCCCAAGGATAGGACTTTGCACCGGGAGGTAGGCTTAGCAGCGGAAGTGCTATCTGTGAATTGCAAAGGGGGTTTAGAGGGAGGGTAACTTGGGCGATTGGTGGCGTGAGGGATACAGGTTTTCGCTGAACATTCCCGAATTCCGCCATGCAGTTTCCGAGTTTGTCCATGGCTTGATTTGACACTGGCTGAGTCTGGGAAGGCTCCTAAATGACCCTTTTAAGTCAAAAAGCAGGGGGCTCTCTCGATAAGTTGAAATTAACCTCGAGACACCTCGAGACAATCGCCTTTGGGAAAGAGAACTTCCTGGATATCAATAAGCGAGTTGATCATGGGGTCAATATCGCTGCCAGAATGTGCTGAGGACGTACCTACTCCAAAGTGGGCAGTCACCGAAGATTTCATAAGGGACGCCGTCAAAGAGGCTAATGCCAATGCTTTGCGCCTGGCACTCTATCAACTGACTTCAGATGAATCGTTGGCACAGATGAACGTCGAAAAGGAGCTCATACGCGGTGGGGCGATGATGGACTACAACCTGTCCAAAGATGATGAATCTGTTGTGAGAGAAAAGGTGTTATCATGGCTTCTGAATCAAAAACGAAATGTCTCTGCCGTTCAAAGTCACCAACCTCCCTTCGAGGAGGCTGTCACTCTGATGAAGCTTTTTTGTGGAAAGAAAAACCCCCCAAACGATGCTGAATTAGCTCTGGGGTTCGAAGAACTTGCATTTCAAGATTTTCCACGGGCGGTAGAGTGGTCCAAGCCGCCGCCACCTGAGAAACTTTCAACATATCATGTTGTCATTGTCGGTGCCGGGATCTGTGGGATATCCACCGCCGTGTCTCTGGATCATCTCGGGATTCCGTACACCGTCATCGAACGCCAATCTGCCGTAGGTGGCACTTGGTTACTCAATACGTACCCAGAGGCACGTGTTGATACGTTGGGATTCACCTTTCAGTACAAGTTTGAAAAGGGTTACCGTTGGAAACACATGTTCCCTACGGCGTCGGAGCTACGGGATTACCTTCAACATGTCGCCACCAAGTACAACGTTACTGGGAAATGTGTCTTCAACCGCGAGCTTGTGGCTGCCACATGGGATGAAGAAAGAAAAGTATGGAAGATGACTTTGAGGGCGACAAATACCACTTCTGACGCCGAAGATATGTCGTTAGAAGCGAACTACATCATCAGTGCAGGTGGTCTCTTTGCCACTGCGAACCTCCCAGATATTCCTGGAATCACGGATTTCAAGGGCCACATGTTCCACACCACAGCATGGGACCATAGCGTCCCTTACAAGGGCCAACGTGTGGCTGTGATAGGTAACGGTTCGAGTGGTGCCCAGCTTATCCCCGAGATGGCGCGAGAGGCGAAGCAATTGTCCGTCTACATGCGAACGCCTAACTGGATTGCCCCATATGAAGGCTACCGGGACACAGTGCCACCTACACTTTCATGGATCTTGGAGAACATGCCATATTACGGTAACTGGCACGGATATGCGGGCTACCTCCGAGGTATGCAGCTACCACCTCTCCAGGTGGATGATCCGGAGTGGCGAGCACAAGGAGGTTTGATCAATGCTCGGAATGACCAGATGCGAAAGGGTTTGTCGCAGTACATTCGGACTAAAGTCAACAACAACGAACAACTCGTCCAATCACTGACTCCGAAGCAAGCCCCTTTGGTACGTCGACTGGTGGTGGACAACGGTTTCTATGATGCCCTTATGCGTGATAATACGGAACTTGTCACCGAGCACATTAAATGTTTCACGCCGAAGGGTATTCGCACGGCAGACTCAGTGGAGCGGGAGTTTGACCTTGTTGTGCTGGGATGTGGATTTAAACCCACTGAATATCTCTTCCCTTGCAAATACCATGGCCGCGACGGCATGACCCTGGAAAAATTATGGGCAAAGGATGGAGCACGTTCATACTTAGGACTGGCACTTCCCGGCTTCCCAAACCTGTTCACCCTCTACGGACCTAATCACCAGCCACGTGGAGGTCCTAGTCTTCATTCATGGTCGGAGATTTGGGGCCGCTATGCAATTGCAATGATTGTCTCGATGATTGAGAACGGCGTCAGGTCAGCCGAAGTCAAGCTAGAAGTCTATGAAGATTACAATGCAAAGCTCGACATTGCTAACAGCAAGCTTATTTGGGAATTGGATCCCACGAGCTACTTTGTCAATAAATACGGAAGACAGGGAGTCAATATGCCCTGGACAAGCGATGAATATCACTCTTGGGTTCGGAAGCCAAATATGGACGATTATACTCTGTCGTTCTAGGCCATTGCTTGCGGAAATCCTAGGATAGCATCAATAGAGAATCCTTGAAATATAAGTTGTGAAGGCTAAGGAGGTATTTTTCGCTTTTCTATTGTCCGTAAAGGGGGACTGGCTGTTCTAAATTATTTTGTCTAGATGAAGCTGGCACTGTGTTCAAAAGTATCCACCGTCAACATTCACAACCTGATTTGCCCTTAGTGCTCTATTCGAAACGAGGTCATACAACTTACCGATGCGGTAATAAAACTGGACTGATCACTCAAAAGGAATAGGATTGTCCTCGACACTTCTTCAGGCTGACCCATACGACCCAAAGCTGTGGCAGCGAGGGCAGCCGCTCGGGCTGGGTTAGCTGGTGCTGTAAGAGGGGTCTGGATAATGCCTCTGCTTACACGTTAGCCATTGTTGCCCTCCATTGATTTCGACAAAGTAAATACGTACGGGGCGACCGCATTCACTCGAATTCCCCGCTTGCCCGCTTCTTTGGCTGCCGTCTTCGTGATGCCTATAACACCCCATTTGCTACAGATGTAGGGCGAACAGCCAGAGGCTCCCATTTGACCGGCAATGCTTGCGGCGTTCACAATTGATCCGGCTCCTTTCATTTCCCGCAGCTGTGCGCGGAGGCAGTTCTTTACTCCGTCTAGATTGGTTTTCATGATCATATCCCAATCGTCATCATCCAGGGTTTCCAGCGGAAATTGCGCAATGCTCGTTTTTTTGGTGAAAGCGATACCAGCCATATTAGCCGCACCTGACATCGATCAGCACAGGTGACGAAGTGAACCCGAGATGCCATCGGGAGGATACCATGCAAATCGCCAAAATGATCGACCACGGCTTTGGTCGCATCATTGACAGACTGAGCATTCTGCACGTTGCATGCCAAAGTCAAAGCACGACCACCAGCAGCTTCGACCGCCTCCGCAACGGCCTCGGATGGTTGGAGGTCCAACAAGGCCACATTTGCACCTTGCTCGGCAAGCAACAGCGAGAGCGCTTTGCCCATGCCCGAAGCAGCACCAGTGACGATAAAAGTTCGCCCCGCAAGTTCGTTGTAAGACATGATGTATTGAGTTTCATCAGCTACTCCAGAGATCTCATGTAAATTTTTGATTGTACAAGGCTATGGCCAATTCATCGAGAGGCTCGACGTCCTACACCGACACCTGAATCCTTTTGAGGCTAATGAGGCCGAGAAAACCCCTCCCCCTTCTGCCCCTTCTCTCCCTACACTCCCTTCCCGCCACCCCCGCCGCCACAATCCAGGAGGTATTCCGATATTGCATTCTCATCTCCGGAATCAAGAAAACAAATGGATTAGATCATTCTAAGCTAGCGTCGGAACTATCTCCGAGCCACTGTTTTTGTGCAGAGGCTCCCTATTCCGCACCGATTACACTACCGTAATGCCTGGCTCAGTTATATACTGATTTTCGGGACGCTCAGGCATATTCCAGCCTTTCTGGTCCGTCTAAAACGAGAATCGCACTACTTTATGGCGCAAGCATGGATATGAAATTCATTCGAGCAAGTGACCTGGCCGCCATGTCGTCATCTAGCTCCGAGCTCATTATGGCCTCTGTGGCCTTTGTGGTCGGCCTTCTGTCACACCAGATCTTCAAGCGCAATGAGCCCAGTGCTTAGTATGTAGATCTAATAGATTATACCCCCTTTTTGAACCTGATGCTAACAACCAACCAGTGGATGTTTCGGTTATATCGTTGGCACCAACGTGGCAATGGCCATTCTCTCTAAAGCATTAGGGATTCGCACTACAACTGGCCTAGTTCAAGTGGCGATCATCGATTTAGGGATCTACATCGCCACCATCCTGTGAGCAATTCTCGGACAGATTCAGAGGGTTTGGCGCCAGCCGTATGCTGACAAGTTGGAAAGGACCAGTATGACTTTGTACCGGGTCTTTTTCCATCCTCTAAACCGCTTCCCCGGCCCTCTGTTTTGCAAGATCACTCGATTTGTGGCGACTTACCATGCGTTGCAAAGAGACACCCACGTTTGGTTACACGATCTTCATGAAAAGGTACGGGACCACACCAGATATGGTTGCTTGCTCGCTGCTGACTATGCGCAGTATGGTGATGTAGTGCGAGTATCCCCGAACGAGTTGTCCTACAAATCCGTCACCGCTGTGGACGCAGTCCATGGCTCAAAGGCGGGAAATGTGGCTCGAGGTCCTTTCTACGGGGGCGACCCCAATCGGCCTGCCAATTCCATGCTTTCAACGCAAAGCCTCGACGAACACCGATGGCGGCGCAAAATTTGGGAGCGAGGATTTGGAACACTCCAGCTGAAAGCGTACGAATCCAGGGTGGTTCGTCACCTTGATGTCCTTGTATCGCAGTTGAGGAAACGCGAGGGAGGTAAGAAACATACCACGGGAGAATGAATTTCGTTCTTCTTTGGCTGCAGGACTGACGACTCCAGCCATTGTGAACATGACGGAGTGGTGCGAGTTCTTTGCGTACGATGTGATGAGCGATCTTGGCTTCAGTGAAGAATTTGGCATGTTGAAAGCCGGCAAACCGCATCGGTACGTCAGCGCTTTGCACGGTAACGCCAGGATCATCTTCACTGTGGCACAAACGCCATGGATGCGGCCACTCCTATGGCTTTTCCCAGTAGACGCGCAATCGAAGAAAGACGGCCGAGACTTCAGGAAGATTGGAATAGAAACTTATCACCGCCGAAAAGCTAGGGGAGACGTCAAACAGCAGGATATGTTCGAAACGATCGCAAATAATCCGGACAGCATAGGACCACGGCCATTGACTGAAGCAGAGATCATGGCAGATGCGTCATGTAAGCCATACTTACACTAGATTCAATGTGATGAAGCTAACCAGAAGCTTCAGTGATAATCATGGCTGGATCGACGTCCACGGCTCTGTGCATTACATTTGTTTTTTGGTATCTTTGTCAACATCGGGCCATATATGGAAAGCTTCAGAGAGAGATCGACCGAAACTGGGATGGAGTTTCACCGTTAGCGGTGTCACAGATTGGTAAGAGAGGAAAAAAACCCCCTCATTATCAATAATCAAGGAAAAATCAATTCCTGACTATTCAATAGGCCCTGGTCCTGCGCCGTACCTCAACGCTGTCATTGAAGAGACTCTGCGTATTTGGCCTCCTGCGCCGGGAGGCACACAAAGACGGAGCCCTGATGGTGGCATGGTAGTAGATGGGGAATATGTGCCTAAGGGTACGCAGGTCAGCGTCTGCCCCATAGCAATCCAGAGAGACGAGAGGTACTTCTCGAATCCTCTTGAATTCATCCCCGAGCGGTGGGTAGATGACATGCGGCCACCGGATTTTGTTCATCAGCCAAGGGCTTTTATCCCCTTTACTGTGGGACAATACACCTGCTTGGGGAAGAACCTGGCGTACCAAGAGATCAGACTGTTCGTGGCCAAGGTCATGCGCAACTTGGATTTCCATTTTCCTCCGGGTTACAACCCGGCGGAGTTTGAGAAGACGGTCGCGTTCAAAGGAACATTGCTGATCGGTGAGCTCCCTGTTATTTTCACATCGCGAAAAGATTAAACCAGCAGTGGTTTCGACAAGGGGATGATCTAGCATGCATGATTTGATGCAGCCTGAGCCTCTGTCCCTATCTAAAAAATTGATACAATAGAAAGAATTGTGCCAAATTCCTTTACCTCAACAAGACGCAAAGAAATTCTTGCATGGTCATAGCATCGACGACTTTCCAAGTGATTTCTGCGGGCTTCCTGTGAGGCAACGTTCTATGCAGCATAACCCCCGTCTACAGACAATAACTGGCCACTTACATAGCTAGCAGCGTCTGACACAAGGAAAGCTGCCACATTTGCTATCTCAGCTCCTGAACCCATGCGACCTCGCGGGGTACACACTTCCCTAACCACCGAGTTGACGTACGGGTCCTCCAGATTGAGTCGGCCTTCCTCTCCCATTCCAGAAGCAATGCCCCCGGTACCTATGCCGTTCAACCTGATTCCTTCATGGCCGTAGTCGCGGACCATTTGTTTGTATAGTCCAGTAACCGCCATTTTCGGAATATAGCTCATGCCATCATATCTCAATGACCTTTGCACAGCCGTGGAAAGGATGAATAAGACCGATTTGTCCCTTTCGGGCTGCTGGCGAAGCACCTTCACCCCTTCTTTGACCACGTTGAAGGCTCCGATAATCTCCGTGCGCAATATTCTCTCAAATACCTCGTTTGGAACGTCCAAGAGCGGACAGACAGGCATCGGTGGCCCAGTCGCCACCACAATCGAGTCGAGCCGACCCCAAGCTGCTGCGGCTTCGTGAAGGAATATTCTCACGGACTCGGCGTCCGTGAGATCGATGTGACCAACAGCGGCTCGTCCTCCCTGGCTCACAATTTCATGCTCCAATTTGCGAGCTGCATCCGCGTTCTTGTTATAACCCAGGCTCACTACCACTCCATCTCCCGCTAGACGTCGGGCGATGGCCGCACCGATCCCCCCACTAGCGCCAATTATTGCGGCGGCTTTCGTTTCATTAGACTTCGCTGGAAGTTCTTGAGAGTGGTCCATCATAAATATCCTTTCTGTCTTGCGAATAACTAGACCGTTGGAAGGCAACGTATTGCTGATGGGTTTTGTCTCACAGAAGAAGAAAATTTAGGAGACTCTTTGATTTACCGCGAGCTGTGATTTCGCGGAGGACTTGGTTAGCTATCGAATGGCTATGGGGCTGTTGAATTGATCTGTGTCTTGGAGATCGTACCGTCAGTGCTAGGGGTCATTTCTAGGGGTCTTTATATCATCGAAAGACTTGACACGCTCGTAATCTCGTCTTGAATATCTGTCATGGAACTGTCCTTTTCGGAAATACGCCGGAAATGAAGACTTGAAAGAGATACGCGCAGCATAAGGAACTAAATCAAAGGGTCCTAGAGATGGATCGTCTAGATGGAGGAATTTTTTCCAATTCTGGGTCCTTCGGCAAAGCCAGATACTGATGAAGTGAGTAACCGCTGGCATGCGCTATCATTCTTGATATCACCAGCATATATAAGCAAATGCTGTCGCCGTCACATCGGAAATGGGAGGGTATCTGAACTTTCTGGGCTTCTCCCGGGTCGCTGTGGTTGCCGTCGTTGATGCCGTGACGGTTGTTGTTCGGGGGCACGCAATTCCGTCCCGGGCACCAGGCTGTATCAACAGCCGCTCAGTACTTTCAGTTCGAAAAATTTGCTCGCCAAAGCATTGCCTTTTAGTTTTTCCGGGACACAAGCTTGCCCGGGCCAGCCCTGAATACAACCTAGCTCCCGTAGTGTTCTTCCGGCCCATATTGCTGTGTTCAGACTTTCTAGACCTGCCTGACCGGGTTCTTCTTGCGTCTGGTATGCATGTAAAGTATTCTCGGGCTGAGTCCTTTTCGCCCTTGCACACTGCTTCAGGAATGACGCCTGTCGCTGCCAATTTGATAAGATTTAAAGCGAAAAATAGTCGGAGGATCAGGGAGCAGGGCCGAGTTGGTAGAAATCTCTGTTCGGCATTCGAGGTTCTCGACGCTTGCACATATGCACCCAGGTGGCCGAGAGGCTGGGGAATGCCTAGGAACGAGCTCTTGTCCGACGAAACAGACTGCAAGTTAACTCGGAAAGTCTTTAAAGATTTCCGCCCTCCCCATTCCCCCACCCGGATCTTGAATGGCGAGACGCAAGGATAATCCAACCCCCCGCACGAAGCGCAGATGTGGAAAATGAGAGCGTTCCACCCGGAGAAAATAAGGGGGAGAAAACCGTTCCCAAATTTGACAAAAAATTTCTTCAAACTCATCTAGCGGGAGTTTCAATTGTGAGAGCCTTGTTACTGTGTTTGAGCAACCCTAAAAGAAGCTGGATCTTCAACGCCCACCTTACGAAACATAATATTTCCAATACTAAAGGCTACTCTGGACGCTGGTATCTGCGGGAGCTCCTTGATCAACAAACGTCAAAGGTACATGGGGGTGTGACAAATCGAGACCAATCTCTCCTTAAACCATGGACCTCCCCGAGATTATTAGATACCGCGACCTGGAGCCGAAATGGCATGTTCCTGGAGCCAAAGAACCCGGGTTTATACGATACCTCATCAATTGGATTGGAGGCCCGGACGGACATATCAACCCCAACAAGGAAGTTGCTCGAGTGAGCGAAAAGACGGTTGTTGGCCTCATGAATCTTCCTGTGGGCCAGATGCAAAAGGGCCTACACTATCACAGTGTCACGGAAATCTACATAATCCTCCGAGGGGAACTGGAGTCTTATGACGGCAAAGGGCAGACTCATCGGGCCAAGGCTTTGGACTGTATCTATATTCCTAAAGGCGTACCTCACGGTGTCCGGAACTGTGGTACAGAAGATTGTGACCTGATTTGGGTGCACGACGGGATCGAGAAGATTGGGACCTCCGTGTATTTCATGGATGGCGTGGTCCCCGCTTCATACGAACAGCCAGACGACATTTACTTCGTAAGCTTTACGGACCTCAAGCCATTCTATGGGCTTTACCGGGGCCAGGAGCCCGAATTCCAGCGATGGGCCATCAGTTGGGTTGGTGGAGGCGATGGTTTCGAGAATTATAATCGCGATGTAGCTTTGGCGAGCGATAAGGTCACCATCGGCATGACTGTGCTGGGACCTGGGCAAAAGTCAGTCCCGCACAGGCACGAAGATGGCGAACTATACGTGGTGATCAAGGGTAAGGTCGTGGCGAACGTTGGAAATGGGAACGAGGAATGTGCTAAGCTGGACGGGGTATATTTCCCAGAACGAGTTCTCCACGGGATTAGAAATCATGGGGATGAACCTGCATGTCTTCTGTGGGTGCAAGAACGGCCTCAGAGGCAAACTCAGTGCACGTAAGCTGTCTTGCTTGTCTCGATATTCTATCAACCTCTTGGACATAAAATATGATTGTCCCGGTGGCCGCAGCCTTGTCTTTTATGGGAGCCTCTCTGGACAGCATCATGTTCCTCCATGGAGCCACATCAAAGGCGGGGTGGTTCGTCATACTGGCTGTGCTTAGCAGAGACGGACGCGAGCCAAAATAGGCGGGGTCAGTTTCTGCCATGTATAATTAAGCGAGGCGTCTGTTGTACAAAGTTACTATCCGGAGAGGCTCCGTCTTTTATCATTGAACTTGTTTTTTATCCTAGATGGGCTATTTCAGATTCTGTTCATGGATACAAATGTTCGGGACCTCCAGGGTTCTGCAGGTTAGAGATCTGCCGATAGAAGGTCCGCATATGCTCGATGCTGACAACTTGCTTCGCAGAGACGGTTCGGCCATCAGGGAAGCGGAATTCGGTCTCGGCGTCAGCACAGTATTGATTGACGACCAAATTTCCGCCGCGGCGAGTCCAAGTATAGTACTGCCTGCCGTAGGCGTTGATACGTGACTCCAGAGTTCCTTGGGGGGTTCTCACCCAGGCACGCCACCGGTAGGGACTGAGGATCTTACTCAACGGATCAATCCAGAATGCCACCTCTTCGACACCGGAGCTCGTTGGATCCTCGAGAAGAATTTGCTCGTCTCCGATGTTGATCATGGCGGTTCCCATGCCCTTGCCGATATCTCCGCGCATCAAATACCAACTTAAGCCCTCACTCCAACCGTGCATCCAGCTTAGTCCCCGGCCAGCCATGTGTCCGGTACGATCAGGGACGTGACCTCGGTGTTGAATGCGTTCATGAAGGCCAAACTGGTCTTTGAGGGTCAGCACCTTTCCATCAACCTCGATAGTTCCTGAAACACGACAGTGCGTGATGTAACCCGCCATTCCGACGGGCTTCTGCGCATCAAAGGTGCCCAAATGCCAGAATGCCGGGTTTGTTTGCTTGAACTTGAGGTCGACTTTGACACCGGCGTACTCGCCGATGGCATGCCATTCAGGAGGGGCGCAGTGGTGTTCCATCTTGTCTAGCTTCCAAACGACCTTATCCTTGCCCTCGATAACCTTGATGGAGCCGGGTTTGTAGTAATCATCAATCAGCTGGCCCTTGTTGACACCGAGAGCGTCTGGATTCATGTACTGCTTTTGCTCGTCGGAGAATTTGCCATAAACTAGCAACAACTGGGCCACGTCACCGTCGACGACAACCTCGCGGCCCTGCTGCTGATAGATAAAATTCCAGAGATGGATGTCCTCGCCGGTTTCTGCCTTGCCCCGAAGGACCAGGCCACTGTCGTTGAAGACGTCGCCTTTGAAGTCCAGAGGCAGCCTCCTCTTCATGTGGTCAAGTGTGACTTCTGCGGCAACATTGTTATAGATGCCCTGCTCCTCATCGTCGTCTAAAACAGTCTTCATATTTGGTGAATAGGGCAGAAATAATGTGACAGTGATGCTCAGGAATTTTCTCAGCTCATCAACTTCGACTTTTGTCAACCTTTGACCAAGATATCTCTCGTGGACAAAAGTTCACTCAATCTCAGTCTGATATTCCGGGAGAGTTTGGTCGAAAAGCGGGTTTCGGAATTCGGAAACCGGAAGGACTGGGGAATGGTTTCCTGGGGGCGCTTTTGGAGGTGATCATTGGGGAAAGAGAAAGGCTGTCATCAACCAGTGAATCGGTCCTGGTTATCTTGAGGCTCGCTCACGTTGTCTAGACGTTACACGATACAGTGCACAGCACCTCCAAAATGATACAATCTGTTCTTGTGGTAACTGGGGCTGGGGGGATGGGAGTAGCTAGTGCGAGGAGGATGGGAAGCGGTCGGCTGGTGATTCTTGCCGACTATTCCGACAAGGCCTTGGAGGTTGGTGTCGCTCAGCTCAAGAGCGAAGGTTTTACCGTCGAAAGCCACAAGCTGAATGTGGCCGACTACGACTCCGTCAAGAAACTAGCAGAGCACGCTGCCGCGGCTGGGAGAGTTGATGCAATCGTCCATACTGCTGGCGTCTCACCTGCAAGTTCAACCAAGCATCTAATATTCGATATCAATCTCGTCGGGACCGCCAACGTCATCGACGCGTTTCTGCCCATTGTCACCGTTGGCAGCAGCGTTGTGTGCATAGCAAGCTCTGCTGGTCATGGGTACAAGTATTCCGACTCCTTGGAGCAGCACCTCGCAACGGCGGAGCGCACAAAGCTACTTCAACATCCTGAAGTCACCAGTGATACAGAACTATCAGCTTATTCATTGGCGAAACGAGGAAACATTTTGCGCGTTCAGACTGCATCTCGAGAGTATGGAAAGAAAGGTGCTCGAATAAACTCAATCAGTCCCGGAGTGATCTACACGCCCATGAGTATATCCGAACTTGAGGGCCCATCAGGCGACTACATCAGGGACATTATCGCAGCTGGTGCGATCAACCGCCTGGGGACAAGCCAAGAAATTGCAGCAGCGGCCGCCTTTCTATGCAGCGCCGATGCGTCCTTCATCACCGGTATCGATCTTCTCGTCGACGGCGGGCTGGTTGCCGGGAGACGCTGGGTGTTTCCAGGTGGGACATAGGAGGCCTATCCTTCAACTTTTCCTGAAATTATAGTCTTTTACTTTTCGTAGCTTGGGATTCAAATTCAAGAAGCTGCATTGATCTCCAAAACCTTTTAGGAAATCACGCTAAGCAATTGATAGAGCGGATGATCCCAAAAAGATTGTGTATTTCAGATGTGACATAGATGTATGCATAGATATTTCTCGATACCCCACAAGAACATCTCTCTTTCAAAGAGGCAGTGTTGCCAGGACTATAGTAATGACTATATGTTACGAGCTGCTTTGCACACGTGAGGTGTCACTAGGTAAAGCCGAAGTGGTTTACTTGGTGATATAGTAGTAGGGCGATATAGCTAAGACTAGAAACTAAGAGTATACCATATAGACCTATATATAAAGTAGATAGTTAAGAGGAACTTAATTTATTTATTAAATAAAATTGACTACGAAGGAAACCTAGAGACGTATTCTAACTATATATGTCCATTAGTCTCATTATCCAGAAAATCGCTGAGATTGCCGTTGCCGTTGGCCGATACATGGGTAACACCGTTTGCCACATCACGCATAGCTGTGTTTTGCGTAGCGCTCTTCTGACTCTTGAGATGACCGGCGAGGATTGGTGCTGTTTCGAGGACTCCATGGATGCCAATGAGACTCGTGATTTCGAGCATCTCCATAATCTCCTCGGGAGTAGCCCCGAGCTTCAGAGCATTCCTCATGTGGATTTTCGTGCCCCGGTGGTAAAGATGAGTGGTGGCCGCATCAAATGCACACGTAATAATCTCTCTAATTTTGGGCTCCAGCACCTGTGTTTTCGCAGGGAGCGAAGAGAATTCGGTGTAAGCTTCAAGGTAGATGGGGTCGAGCTGGAGGATCGGCCGAAACGACTCTGGGAAGAAACCGCGGTGTTTAATGAATTCTTCCTCGACTTGTTTCCACTCGTTCGTAGATGTTTTCTTGTCGCTCTCAATGCCCAACTCTTCCATAACCTCCAGTAAGATCTGTGACCCATTACTAACAGAATGGATTCCAAGAAGATAAGTGAGTCCGACGACTTCGATGATCTCCTCAATGGTCGCCCCGGCCGCAAGGGCGGCATGGGTGTGAGCACGCACGCCAGGAATGTACATATGCGTGCACGATGCTGCGACGGCTATGTGAATGAATTCTTGCACTTTCGCCGAGAGACGGTTCTTCCTCTCGGAAGCCTCACGCATGTTGAGGTATGCTGCAAAATAGTCCTGGTTTATGACCAGAAGTGCGTGCCAGTCATCAGTCCAATAGCCTCTGCTCTCGAGAAATCGTTGCTTTAGCTGAAGCTGTTTCTGAGTAAGAACCATGGCTAATGGCTAATTGTGAATGGATGATGGATTAAAATTGAGGTAAAGGACAAGTGTTTGGTTGGAATGGGCAAAAGGAGAAGCTTTTTAGGGCCTGCGCTGCTCTTGAGATTTGATATCTAATGCGCCGTGTTATCTAGGTTCGTACGGAAATCTTGGTCAGAAAAGGTGTAACAATTGACTGCAGTAAGCCCAACCATACATATGCTTTTTGACTTTTATCAAGGTATTTTGCAATGGACGAATTCCGGGTGTACTTTTGAGTTGAATTCCGACGTCCAGGAGGAATCTCTATCAAATTGCTAGATCACTATAGGACATAACAGAACAAAATAGCCTGGAGAATGATTCAAATGTGTCTTTCGACAAGCCATATTAGCTTAGAGAGATGTGTATGATGGCTCCCTCAATCCCGTCAAAACGCGCTCAGTAGTCAAATTCTTTGGCCTGAGCGCCTGGGAGTACAAACGGAATGCGGAGGTGGCGCAAAAAGAGCCATTGGATTACCTGTGAATGAGCTGGCATCTCTGACTGAGCCACAGCTGCCGGCTTGTTGCTAGGCGTGGAGGCGACGGTTTCGGAAATCGCCCCTGCATTTCGCTCAAAATTTCCCTGCATCACCTCCTTTTCGCAATCAAGGACTGTCTATTTGACAAGTGATGTGCGTCAACTGGGCGGCCTTCGACATTCCCATCCACTGTACGAAGGGATGGCGGACTTTCCTCTTTCGCAGCCTGACGGCAGGACAGCCCTGGGCTGTACCCTCGGGTTCGGCTCGACTTTCAGCTCCCAGATCCTCTCTCGTGTAGGCTATGACTTTGTCATGATCGATATGGAACATCATCCTCTGTCCGCCCGTGAAGCTGGCGTCCTGGTTCATGTTGTGATGGCTGCATCGGCAGGCAAATGCCAACCGCTTGTGCGAATTCCATCTCACGGGCCCGAATGGATCAAGTGGGCGCTCGACGCCGGTGCAGTAGGGATTATTGTGCCCATGGTGGAATCCCGGGCACAGATGGAGAATATTGTCCAGAGCGCGCTCTATCCGCCAAGAGGAGCACGCAGCTTTGGTCCGGCATTGGCTCTTTTTGCGGACCTGGATCCTGCAGCAACAACGGACAAATATCTGAATCATACCAGCAACCGGATTGCGCTCATCCCCATGATTGAGTCAGTTCAAGGCCTCAACAACATCGAGAAGATAGCATCAGTTGACGGTGTCACGTCTGTCTTTGTTGGGCCAGTCGATTTAAGATTATCCATGGGCCTGCCAGGAAGCGATGGCACCGAAAGTGTCTACCTTGAAGCCTTGCAAAAGATCCTAGCGACTTGCAGCCGGCTCGGAAAGCCAGTCGGAATATTTGCGAGGGATGGTGAATCCTGCAAATGCCGAACGCTGGAGGGGTTCAATTTTCTTTTGGTACGTTCGAGGGACTCTACAACCCCTAATCACGCCCCCTGTGTGCTTATACTTTTTAGCTCCCTGGGGAGGCAACCTTGCTGGCTCAAGGGGCCAAGGCTAACTTGGAAGACTGTAAGAATGGCACAATGGCCGCGCAGCAGACACAAACGCAGACCTCATCGTAGATTTATGAGAATTAATTCCCGCTGGCTGGGTAGAGAGTCATGTTCGGCACCCCTGGGAAGACCATTCACAGACCCATTGAAATGAACGTGGAGGACAACAATTGGATTGTGTTAAGCAAATATACATGGCCGAAATTCTCTTCGAACCTGATTTAGGAACAAATCGGTGACAATGTCGAAGGAAATGCCTGTCCACTAACCATCTATCTCTGTCGGCTGGAGAGCTCCGAGCAATTGCGAAATCCACTCAACGACATTCCGATAATATTCTGCGGTCTGTGGAAGAGTGAGGATCATAATGAAACCATGGGGAAGTCCTGGGAAAATCTTGAGGGTGGTCGGAACACTAAGATATCTTAGGATGTTGAAGCGTGCCTCGGATGATTCATAAGCTCACTCTGCAACTTCCAAAGCACTCGCATATGCCATTCCTTCGTCCCGCAAAGGATCCATGCCAGCGACTTGGATGACTATGGCAAAAGGGCGGTAAGCTTCGATCCATGCAGGGATGGGAAGTTAGACCTACGGCAAGGAGGAAGCCCAGAATGGGAGGACGCAAGAAGGGGGTTCGCGTAGGCATGTGTATTTTGATCTGGAAGATATTGATCTGAAAGAAAAAGTAATCATAATGCACACATCAGCCATGGCAATCTGGAGCGTACCATTACCTTGAAAGACGAAATCAGAGAAGGATAAGCTTGCCATACCCCAAAACCATTGCATGCGTTCTGAGTTGGTGGTGGGAGAGTCTTTGTTTTGGGCAAAACTTAGAAGCTCATACTTTGAGGTCGGGAAATGTTTAGGGTGACAAAGTGCAGGAATATTCAAAACCTGACCGATGATACCTTGCAGGCCCGAATCTCTCGCACGTAGGGCCACTGCGGCCGCCTGATGATCTGATTGTTAGCACAGAGGCTCTGTTGTGGACGGCGTGCGCACAAGGTTGGCACCAGAACTGCTCCCTCCAACAATCACCTTGGACGGGTCAACTTGTAAGGAGGCAGCATTGTCCAGGACCTAAATGATAATAAGCTACCAAACGACAGCGAAATGCAGGTTCACAATACCCAGAGGAGACCTTCAAAGGCGTCATTCATCGGCGTTGGGAAAGGATGCTCGGGAGCCCTTGATAGACGAATTTTTCTTAATTGATGCCATCGAGGCGAAAATCCCAAGCATACCTTCGATAATCAACACTTATTACGGTGATCCCTGCTTGAACACAGGAAGTGAGATTCATGATCGCCTCAGAATCGTGACCACCGACTGTCCAACCTATGACACGATGAGCCCTCTTCAAAGCCTCCATGATATGATCAAGTTTGGCAATACAAACCTCCTCCGTGGCACACATAGAACATGGGGAGACGTCCCTTTTTGTTTTCAGGCCTGTAGACTCGGATCTCCATGTCGGTGCCATCCGAAAGCGGTGCTCTTTCGTGACTGATAACATAGCCCTGTGTAGGAGCAAAGGAGGGATAGTTGACCCTTGCTCCTGAAAAGTTCTTCCGCAGCTCGTTGACAGTTTGAAAGGTCCATATTTTATCAAAGGCAACATTGACATCCTGCACATGGCCTACGAAAGATGGGTGAATTTGCGAAAGGTGTGAGTGGCTTGGAGCAACCATGGTTCCTGCCGTGACCATTGTAACCTCGTTTGAAGGAGGCTCTAGGAAAGAGCTTTTTTCTCAATTAGTTGACCTGCGAGCTAGCACGAGGAACGTAGCCACACGGAATGCAGTGGAGTTACAGGAGTGGGTGAAAGTTGCCACCGTCCGAACGGAGATTGATTCAGCTCACACCACCTTGTCTTCCGAAGAACACACATTAACAGTCTTCCGGGAGCACACAATTGCCGGGGTGGTCGTAAACAGTTTTTTGTGCACAACAACGCCGCACGCACGCTGGCACTAGATGGGGCTGTGGGAGAAAAAGGTTAGAGTCAAGAGCTCTAGCTTCGGCGACCCGCTCAAAATGGCAGCAACGCGGGGTGATACGGGGTGACGCGGGGGATCCAAGCCTTGGACTGGCTCGGCGGACCTATCAGTACCTTGCATGCCCTTCGACCGGCCGGAACAGGAACATGTACCCGTGATTGGGCCTCGGAAATAATGTAGGAGAAAGGGCTACTTAAAGGGCCCCCCGCCGCCGGAATTTCCTGAGACTCTCTCTGCACAAAAGACGCTCAGCTCTGAATTTGCGGTGGGTTGACTGGCCTTCCGTCAGAGTCAGGCGGCGAGATACACGTGAGCCTTGCATTTGCTTGAGGAGCACGTGAAGCAACCGGGCTGCCGTCTAGGTCCAGCATTCAGTAGCCCTACAGCACTGAGCACTTGGAGCCTTTGGTAGGCCGGAACAGGACATATCGGCCGTGGCAGCTCCATTCCAACGATAACGTGGCATGTTTGAACTCCCCGAGGAAAAATGAAGGCCCAACGACAAGAGCGACCAGAGCCTTCCCGAAATGCATGTCCCGAGTGTAACGCCCAATTTGCACGCTTGGAGCACCTGAAGCGGCACATGGTGTCTTTGCATAGCTCCCAAGATGCAAAGCACCACGCGTGTAATCTCTGCGGGAAAAAATTATCCAGGAGGTCTGTTTGTCTTTTGCCCCGAGCTTCGGTGTGACATCTCGCCCTTTTGACGTTAGACACTCACTGCACCTAGAGACGTCTTGCTCCGCCACCAGCAGTGCTGCCGGGCGGGCAAGCCCGACGGTGAGGGCGCAGATTCTCAGCAGGGATGGAAGAACCCCAGACGATCATGCCAGATTTGTGGTATGTGGGAGTGTACCTGTGGTGTCACTGACCAGACCGCCAACTCCGTCAATGGTGCTTTACCTTCACCACCCACCGACATCTCCCAAAGAAAATCTGGCAGCGCCTCTCAGCATTTATCTCCAGGTCACCTTGTCACTACCAGCCCAGCGGAAATTGTGCAGGTGGTGGGAGGTCCGGTAGTGGGATCTGGCGAGAACGCTGTGTCTGGCTCAGATAATCCCAAATTTACATTACCCGGGTCCGCCGAGAAACAGTGGCAAGCTTGGGCCAGTCAAGCAAGGCCGGTCTCCGCCACTGAATCGTCTCCCCTGGGCGGAGTTAGTCCTGGTGATGCCATTGCTCAAGCAACTGGAGACGCGGGGGCCGGGGACGGGACTACAAAGGAGAGAAAGGCGGCCAATAAAAGAGGCAGATATGTCCCACAAGCTTGGTTCGAGACCCTTCCTCTCCTGTTTAGATCATTCGCTAATACAGTTCTTATAGTATCAACTGCCAAAAGCGAAAGATCAAGGTAAGCGCGCATGTCAGACCTGAAATCCCTATGATTGGGTGGTGCTTATCAATATCATAGTGCTCAGGAGAGGAGACTTGCCAGCAGTGTCTTGCAGGGGATGAGATTTGTATGTATCAGCCGAGCAGGAAAAGACGCTCTAATCTACTTTCAAAAGGCGATAAGCCAAAGTCAGCTAATCATCCCTCGTTCAAAATCCTTGGATTAACTGACCAAGGATGCAGGTCTGTTGCTATAAGCCGGGTGTCTATCGGGTCGCACGCGCCAGCACAAGAGGCTGCTCCAAATAACTCACTTGGGGATGTCCTGGCGCGGCTTACTGCCGTGGAGAGAGAGCTGAATGTCTTTAAGAACCATATCGCTGTGCACGATAAATGCTCGCAGGATGATAGCCCAGCACAGACACCATCAGAAGAGGATAGAAACGCCTCCGACTTGACAACGCCGATGAATGAAGTGCGACTCCCTGGACCCGGCACGATTCACGGGCCCACCTCAATCGTCCAGTCAATCACCGCTCTCAACAAGATCGTTGACAACGGGGAGGGAGAAAACCAAGCGCACGCTCCAGTGGAAGCCAGACCAGTAAGCCCCGCCCAAAGTGTTGGGTGGGAGAGGCTTCCGCGAGCTCGAAACAAAAATATTGCGACCCTGGAACGAGAAACGAAAGCTCTCGATCGTGCCGAGCTCTATCGCCTTGTGGATGTCTTCTTCGAGTACCTAAATCCCCACTATCCCTGCTTGAACGAATGTCAGTTCCGCCAACAGCTCAACCGCTTCCTTATCAGCGAGCTTAATGAGAATCGAGATGTTGATCACATCCAATTCATCGCATTGATCAACCTGGTCTGCGCTGAAGTCAAGATCTTGGACGACTCGAACTCCGACTCCGAAAATGTCCCCGGATGGGATGAATTTTGTCGCGCAGACACCGTTTTGGGTAACCTGACCTGGCTCGGAAATGGCAACCATATGACTGTGCAGTGCCTCATAATCAAGGCTAAGTATCTCCTTTACGCGGAGCGCAGTGAAGCCGCTTATGACACCATCGCCCGGGCGGCGCGTCTCTGCTTCAAGATGAAGTACTCGAATCAGGACGCCTGGGAGACATGCACCCCCTTTGAAATCGCCATGAGACAACGCATCATGTGGACTATCTTCTACTTCGAACGCAACGTTGCTCTCAACAGTGGCATTCCATACCTCATTCGAGAATCCGACATCCGGGTGGACCTGCCCAAAAGCTATAATGACCGCGAAATGGATCCGGACAAACCGTTGCCCCCAGAAGACCCGGTGCACTCTTATGGACCATGCCTCGCTGTCGCGGTGAAATGGGGCAAACTCTGTGCCGAAATCTGGGATTCCATGTTCTCGGTCAGCGTTCAGACGCCCGTCAACCAAGAGCTTGTTGCCTCCCTCGATGCGAGAATCCTCTATACTGTGAGTCAACTGCCGCCTCACCTTCGGTGGCATGAGCATGCGCAAAGGCTTCATGAGATGAATGATCACCAGCCTTCAACAATACGGCAAAGCATCATCTTGTACCTAGTAGGTGACCACTCTTTGCCCGTCTAGAACAACTAACTAACGTGGACTCAAGAGGGTCAATCAACTTCGGTTCCTCCTGAGACAGGAGCGGATGCTGAGTTTAGAGTACGACTACCAGACCGCAGTGGAGTGCGTGTCAATCGCTATAGGATCAATCAACGCGATCGGTCAGTATATCAACTCGGACCTTCACCGCCGCACCGATCGATTCTCGTCGGTGCTTTACGTCCAAGGCGCCATCTTGAGCCTCGTCTGCATCATCATCAAGAGCGGCAACCCTCCACAGCTTCGGACTGACGCCATCGAGCAATTCAAGAAAGGCTTGCAACTGCTCAACCAACTCCGGTCTGATTATCCACTGGCCCGCCATGCGCTCAGCTCCATAAGTCGAATTATCCACGAGACCAACCTAGCCATCTCCCGACACAGCGACGGGGACATGGCAACCCCGGACCCCCCTGCCGATTTCCAGATGGCGAATATCAACTTTGACACGCTAATAGACGAGTTCCCGTCAATTCGAACCCCACCTCGGCAACCGGCGGACGAAAGCATGATGGGCGCCAAATTCGACGGCTCGTTCTCCTACACCCTGATGAACCCATTAGCTCACGACTTATCTTATACGACACATGAACTGGACGAGCTCTGGTTGCAAGGAGAGTTCCTGAGCACTCAGCAAATGGCGTTTCCAATGAACCAGGAACTAGGCTCATGGCAAACATCATCTTGAGAACTTTCACGTCTGCGTGCATATGTGCGTGAGGGATACATTGCCGCCCTTCATTGTGCTTCCCAAGGGCACCCGCGTTCTATTTTGAACTCTGATAGTTATGTCTGTTCTGGCTTGGAAGTCTTGTGCCTGTCACAAGGAATGTAACACATAGTATTTTGGGCAGGGCAACGCCCCCAGACTAATCATGGCATCGAGATATTTCCGTTCTAAAAAATTGCCATTACGTTGGCTGGACTTCCCACTAAGCCGTCGACGTTGAGAGGCATGCTTGTCAAGAAGAAGGAATACCGATTTTGCTTTCGGCATTCCTCGCCGAGTGCGTCCAGACTCCACATTTCCCCTGTCAATCATATCAGCACTTTTTTGGGGGACACCAGCGGAAGGGCCAGCTTTTGGACCGTACCTATCGGCATGCCCCATCCACTCAGAATGAGTTCGTGTAGAAACAGATCGCCGGGGATCGAAGACTGCTTCGGCATCCTCTCAAACGCAGGGCTGTCTCCGGCACATGCGCAGAACCCGGTGTCCCATAGCCACCTAGCCATTCCCAGGGATGTCTCGACCCCGACGTGTTTCATTGGGCTTCCATAACTCCATGCAATTTTCTCCTCTTCACTGAGAGCCTCGTACCCAGCATGGAAGCCCGTTCGGATGATCAAGATGTCGCCTTTCTTGAATTCCACCTTCTGGAATTCAGCCACCGCCTTCAGTTCATCAACGGTCAATGCATGGTCGCCGAGGAGATCGTAGTTCTTCCCTTGTGATCGTGCCCAATGCAGATAGTCTAGAAATACACCACGGCCAGCAATCCCTTGTCTGCACCATGCTATTCAAGTTCAACCGAAAAATTCCCCTTGTGTCGATAGTGGCAGAGAGAAACATGTCTCAAAAGGACTGACCTTGGATTCCAAGCTTCGAATCAGCTTTGACCCCGGAGAGATCTTCCACTTTTGCTCCGTTGTAGAATACTTTGCGCTCCTGGTAACCGAAATGTCGGAAACCATCCCACTGCGCGGATATCTGATTCGGGTCAGACTTTTCGCTGGATGAACGACCACCGACGCAGAATCAGAAGGGTCAACAGACCTGTGAATTGAAGATGAGCACGTCGTCGTGCACCGCACGAGGTTCTTTGTGAATGATGGTGTGAGTCAGGTTCTGACGGTTATGTGGAGCTCGCTTCAGATAGTTGAGAGGCCCATCCAGCCCAATTCGAATGCCTGTCTGAATTTCTTTGGAAGCTTCTTTGACAACTTCAGGGGTGAGGAGATTCAGACACCCAAGTTCATCGTCTGGTCCATAAAGACGCCACGCGGAAAAGGGGGGATCCTCCTCGTGGAGAGGCAATTCGTCGAATCTTGGCCGTCTCATAATGAGCCGAACGGTGACAAGGAAGGGGAGCTGGGCTATTTGGACAATGACATTATTAGTTACTGCTTGGTATGAATGTTTCTTTTTGTGGTGCACTTTCCGGAATTATCACTTCCATGTTTTTCGGAATCAATCAGCATCATGTATTGTGGGTGGATTCAAGGACAGGTCTCCGCATTCCAGTTTCTATAGTAATTCACTCAGGGGTGATTAAACAGTGATTCAGTCTCAATATCATACACTTTGCCCGGTTACAACAGACATAATAAATTGTCGCTATATCATCTATTTTCGAGCGAAATTCTTTTCGCCGATACAGAGAACCTGACAAGAGCTCGGTATGCGGTTTTGTCTTCCCGACTCGGACTGCACCATGTCAATCCATCGTTTGGCGTGGGTTTGGGTGATGAACTCCTATGATTTGTCGTTCCGTAGCTGGACGTAATCCTCATACTTTGGCCACGCCATTCGCCAAGCATAATCATAGCCGTTAAGGGGACTCCAGAAGGTAGGTTCACTCTTTGAATTCTGGAAGACTTGGTCAGGAGATGGCGCCAATAGAATGAAAGGGGATCTACCTTATAGTAGTTTGAACAGTTGGGTGACAAGATGGCAATGTTACCCATGTTCGCCTGAATCCAGTCGTTGTAGGCCGACTGAACTTCGGGTTTGATGTACAGTCCATATGGACCTTTGTTGATCTGCTTCTTGATGTGCGCCACCAGTTGACAGTTGTATTTGACCTGGACCTGGACTAAAAATGGAATGTTGGACCAGAAATTTGCCGCATTAGGACCCATGAGGAGCATAAAGTTGGGAAACTTGCTCACTCCCACACCTAGAAAACAGTAAGCTAACAGAGGCTTCATTTTGAGGTTTCATCACGTACTGTAATATGCTCTCGGGGTGTCCCCCCATACCTTCTCCAGGTTAATGCCATTTACACCGTAAACTTGAAAATGGCTACCCTGAGCATTCATGTCGAAACCTGGGGCGAGTAAGAAGATGTTTTGGTTTGCAATCAATGCCGATGCGTGAACTCACCAGTGCCCCAGATTATAACGTCAGCCTCTCTCTCGGTCTCTACAGCCTCAGGATCTTCATTCCTCAGATCATAGGCCCCGGTGGGCAAGCCCTGTAGCTGATCTTTCGTAAGTTCATGCGGTGGTTTCGAAATAATCCCTCTCTCCGTGATTCGAATGGGTTTGTCGGTGATCAATTCGACGTTTGGCTGGTTGAACATTGCATACCAGTCGTCAAGAACGAGTATTCGCTTGCACCCGAATTGGTTTCGCGGCGTGAGCTTTCTGCGCACCACGGGGTCCTTCACTTGGTCCTTCAGATGCTTAAGAGCAAAATCACCGGCTTGTTGATGTCGTTTTGTTCCAGAAAGCCACATGGGTTTACTCATTTCAGTCTGCAGTCAGCCCGAATTAGGAACTAGATACCCCATTGAAGAAGAGGAGGTAGAAACCATACATCAACATACCACCACATGTGATACAACCAAAGAAGACCAGGAACCCAGCCGAATAGTGTCTTCTTCCAGCCAGGCACTGGATCATCCCCTCGAGGCATCACATAGGTCGCACTCCTCTGATAAACATTGAGCTGCCTGGCAATCGGCTGAATCTTCGGTGCTACTTGAGCTGCACTGGGGCCCGTCCCAATCAGGGCAATGCGCTTCCCATGCAAGTCAATATCATGTCGCCATTCTGCAGTGTGTATCTGTTCTCCTTTGAAGGTTTCGCGCCCGGGAATATCGACGTATTTAGGCTTCCAGAATTGACCGCCGGCATGGACAATGGAATTGGTTCTCCATCTGCTCAGCTTACCCGTGGTGACATCCTCCACTAAAACATCCCAAATGAGATCGGCCTGGTGCCATCGGGCCTCGACCACCCGTGTGTTAAACACTGTATTCTGGCGCAGTTTATGGCGTTCTGCAATTTCCACGTAGTACTGTTTGATCTCTTTTTGAGGGGCGTACTTTCTGGTCCAATCTATCTTTCAACTAAGTATCTCGGCTCATTTTCCTGTAGAGAGGAGACTCGCTACATACCAGCTTTTAAAGAAAAAGGCATAACGTACGCATGGCTCGGCACGTCGCAAGCGGCGCCGGGATATGTGTTTGCCTCCCAGACACCCCCGTAATCGGCGTGTCGATCGACAATGAGGAACTCCGAATGCTTCAAAACGCGCTGTGAAATCAGATGAGCACCCATCGACACGCCACTCATCCCACCTCCTATGATGAGACATATGACGTGCTTCGAGATCTCATCATGACCTCCGAAAGACATTGTTGTAATTGCTGGCAAGCTGGCAGAAAGAGCTTCTGTGCAAGGATCTCATGGATCAGACGGCGAGATAAATCCGTCAATTTAGTTCAGCCCTTTGTTTCCGAGCTGTATTGCTGACTTTGCAGGGTTCCGAAAGCCGCCAGTATAGAGGCTTCCAACAAAGTGAAAAATGCGATTCAACACCTAATGGACGGCCCACATTACGAGGACCTTCCGGTTGAAGAGGTATGCCTCGCTATTCGTCATTTGCGAGAGTGCTCAGTTTTGCGGGGGCGGGGGCCAATGAAACTATCGGCTTTGCAAAAGACGAAAACGCCACGCACAACCTTTGTACATTGATTTGCCATCGGCTTCACCGATTCCACAACCATGATATGTAATGCCGTCCGTACACAAAGCCGTCGAAAACACATTACGCACGATTGAACACTGAAGTAGAGCAGCGAGAGAAAGGGTAAAGACAAAATAGTTGAGGCACAGATTCAGGGATCCAAAAACTCAGGATCTGTTTGCTAGAAGCAGTTCAAGGTTACAGCTGACGATTTCAATCGTATTCCCCCATGGATCCTGCAGGTAAAGCGCGCCGTCCTTGAATCCATCCACTGAGAGTGGAAATGGAGAAACCGGTTTTCCAATCTTCTTCCCACCTGCTGCTATAATCTTTGAGCATAGTTCTTCCGGGTGTGGATCGGTAACAGCGACATGGAAAACCCCTCCACGGGTAATATCAAACGCTGCAGCCTGTGTCATCTTCGGGTCAATAAACTCGAAGAATTCCACACCGACACCGTTCCCGGCGGTCATAACAGCAATTTTCGCCTTCCGTAACTCTTTAGGATAGATGTCGAAGATGATGTCGGCTGGATTCTCCTCCCGATCAACGCTCATACGCGTTATCAGGCGAAACCCCAGTATACTGCCATACCACTCTACTGCACGATCGCAGTCTGGAACCGCAAAAGCAATGTGGTTGATATTGTGATTGAAAGTCCTGGATCCGAGCTAGTAGTGAGAATGCTGTTAGGGCGCCATTACGCTCATTGATTTAATTGCGGGAGTGCTACCTGAGTCATCTTTGATGCCAGTACCGGGGAGATTGCTATGGTGGAGAGATCGAATAGTGGCCTGCTCCTTCGGAGGGTGCCTCGAGCTTCTAGATACTTATTATTTTATGTGATGGGCTCATGGATCAGTATACAAAATTTATACGACTCATAGTAGTTCTGGGTCTTCTAGCTTTCGGAAATTACGGATACTTATCCGCTTACAGAACGATCAATGACTCGACACCACTATCACGCGATATGCGGCCGTGTCCATTAAAATTACAGTCCATCTTTCGCTGAGTGTCTAGAAATTCCGAAGGAATCGGAAATCCCGAGTTCCTAAACAGGGTTATGACACAATTTGAACCTGCTCTAATTAAAATGATGACCATAGACGGATTATTCGAATAATTTAGTTTTCTGAGTTCGAAAAGCGCCATTATTTTTTGAATAGGACAAACTATATTGGCAATGGGAAGCGTCGCTAACGAAACCACCCAGGGCTTACCGCCTCTTTGGGAACACTGCATTGACGACTATCGACCGATCAAAGTCATTGTAGTCGGGGCAGGGTTATCGGGAATTCTTGCTGGCATCAGATTCCCTCAACGCATTCCGAATCTTCACTTGACTATATACGACAAGAACGAGGATGTGGGAGGTACCTGGTGGGAAAATAGGTAAGCAAGAGGTGGTTTTGACCGCCGGCAAGTACAAAAATGGACTCCCAGCTGATATCGCCTTTGCAGGTATCCAGGAGTCAGATGCGATGTGCCAAGTGCGGCATATCAGTATACATTCGAGAGCAACACACAGTGGAGCGAGTACTATTGTGAAGGTGCAGAGATTGAGAGATACTTTCAGCGGGTTGCACGAAAGTATGGGGTCTACAGGTTCACTAAGTTCCGCCACATGCTCCGAGGAGCAACCTGGCGGTCTGGCGCGGGAAAATGGGATCTTGAATTTGAAAATTTGGACACGGGAGAGGTAAACTTGATGCCCTAACCTTTCGACTTCATTTGTTGTTGATAGATTCTAGGTTGTCGTTGATACCTGTGATTTCTACGTCTCAGCGACAGGTATCCTCAACAAATGGAAGTGGCCGGACATTCCTGGGCGCGAGTCATTCAAGGGCAAAATGGTCCATTCCGCCCAATGGGATCCGGAGCTCACCCTCGAAAGTATGAAGGGCAAAGATATTGCCTTGATAGGAGCCGGATCCTCTGGAATCCAGATCCTTCCTCAAATTCAACCCGTAGCCAAGCGAGTGGACCATTACTTCAGTGGGAAAACATGGATCTCGCCTATTGGTTTCGGGAGTGATGAGCTTAAAATCCGTGGCGTTGTTGGGAATTGTAGGTGTGAACCAGTCGACTTTGGTCGATGAGACTAATGCCTTTTCACAGTCAGACATTCTCAAGAGGAGTTGGAAACATTCAAAAAAGACCCTAAGACCTACCTAGCGTGGAGGCATAAGATCGAGAAAACGGTTAATGGGGCAGCTCTCATCACGATTTTTGGTACTCCGACCCAGAAAGAATTTCAGCTTATCAACCACGAAGCCATGAAAAAGAAACTGGAGAAGAAACCAGAGATCATGGAAGCACTCGAGCCTTCCTGGCCACCGGGATGCCGCCGCCTCACTCCTGGTCCAGGTTATCTCGAGGCTCTGGTTGAAGACAACGTGAATTTCGTCCATACCAAAATTAAACACTTTACTCCGAATGGCATCGAGACGATAGACGGTAAAGAACGGAATGTGGACATTATCATCTGTGCTACTGGATTTGACACCACGTTGAAGCAAGACATACCAATTCTTGGTCAGGATGGGGTTACACTGAACGAAGTGTGGGATCCAATCCCCGAAGCTTACTTTGGAATTTTCCCCAACAAGATGCCCAACATGTTACGATTTATCGGACCAAATGGTGCGCCTGGCACCGGTGGTCTTGTTCATTTAGTCGAATGTGCTTGTGAATATATGATCAAAGCTATCCAGAAGGCACAGCGGGAGTACCTCAAAGCCATTTACATCAAGCCAGAGGTGATGAGGATGTTCACCAACCATGTCGACAAATACTTTACCAAGACCATCTACACTCAACCTTGCAAGTCGTGGATGAAGCGCGGCAAGGAAGACGGCCGAGTCATCACCATCTGGCCTGGATCCTGTATTCACGCTGTTGTGGCCTTCGAGAATCCACGATGGGAGGATTTCAACTATGAATACCTCCCCGAGACTGCGGAAAATATCTTTTCATGGTTTGGGAAAGGCTTGACGCGAGCGCAGGAAGAAGACAAAGTGACAACAGAATATCTTGACACAGTTGATAAGCCCCCCATCATAAACCCTGAGGATGAAGAAGAGACGGAAGCTCAAGGTCAAGTCGTTAATGGTGTTTCGGTGCCAGTTCTACTCTGACTGGAGATATTGAGGAGCAATAGATCAGAGAGTTCATAGAAGTACCTGCGTCTTAGTGAGGGTCCTCATCACGAGGATAGTTCGCCATTTCCTTTTATGCCAAGACTGTATAAAGGGAAGCAATATCGAAGTTGAGTGCGCACTAGAAAAAGCGTTACGAAATTAAGGGGTATCCAAAGGTTGCCTCTCATCGCCCGAAATGGTGTTGCTGCCTGGTAATTAAAACCGGCGAAACCACTTTCCTTGCCGGAATATGACTGCGGGGGTACTGATAGGTCATAAGTCGACTGATTTCGTTTGCAACGTCAGCTTCGCTCTGTTGTACGCTCTTCGGTCAACTCTAGATCACACATATTCACCATGGCCCAGGCAACCATCGAACTTCATAATGAGGCGGTTCTGATGGACGACATAAACAGCCTTGATCTCAGGGAATATCCTCTCATTCTTCCAGCGTCGGTTAACAAGAAACCAATAATTCCCTCTGGATCGGTGTTGGTGCGGGTGAAAGTTACTGGCATTTGTGGTAGCGACGTGAGCTCCAAATCTTTTTCCCCGAGAACTTCTCTGACTGTTTCGTTGGTTCCAAAGATGATCAGCTGGGGGAAGTTTCTGGTGTACGCACTTTCTACTGGTTAACTGACAAATATCGAGAATAGATCCATCTTTGGAAACATGGAAGCGCACTTGGAGTGAAAGCACCAAGCCCCTACGTAATGGGTCATGAATGCGCTGGCGAGATCATAGGCGTCGGTCCTGATGTCACCAGCTGGCAAGAAGGAGACAGAATAGCAATCAAGCCTGGTCTGACATGTCTGAAGTAAGTGTCTATGCAAGACGCCAGCATTGGTGGGCAAAAGGCTTGAGAAAAGGAGCTGAAGCTGTGAAGGTGTCTAGATTGTACCAGAGGTCGGCCCAATTTATGCCCCAATACCCGGTACAACGGTACACCGGGTGTTGATGGTGGCTGCGCAACCTTGAAAGTTGTCCCCGAGATCCAGCTAGTCCGCTTGACACCTAAGATCTCGTGGACGGAAGCCGGTTTGATCCAGCCCTTGGCGATATGTTTGCAAATGTCCCAGCAAGCCGACCTCAGGGCACTTCAGAATGTCATGATCCTGGGCGGAGGCTGCATTGGTCTGCTTTTGGGAGCTATGGCCAAGGCGTACGTATACTCTTTGCTCAATGCAACGGACCCGCGGGTTGTCCACCACTGCTGACAAAACGCGTGAATCTAGATACGGCGCTGCAAATGTGGTGGTTTTCGAGAAGCAACCTCACCGAGCCGAGTTCGCGAAGGAGTATTGTGCCGACTTCGTCTTTCAGAATCCACCTCGAGATCCGGAGGAGAGCAACAACGCATACGTCAGTCGTGTGAGTAAAGATATCCTGGAATCTGTGCCAGGCCTTCACCGCGGATTCGACGTCTGCATTGAGGCAGCAGGGGCCGAGGAATGCATGCAGCTTGGTATCAAGCTTTGTAGACCTGGTGGAACATGTGTGTATCCCCTTGTGTCTTTGTGCCCGGTTATAGAAACTGACGAGTGATCTTGTAGATGTCCAAGTGGGCATGTACCGAGGAAAGCACCCCGAAATCAACATGATGGAGGTTTGCATCAAACAACTCAACGTCCGAGGTATTCCTCACTTCCATGTTCTGACTTTCTTCGATCTGCTAACCAGGCCGCACCCAGGAACCATCAGATACACCGCGAACTGTTTCGAAGAAGCAGTATACTTGATAGACAAAGGGTTAATCGACGTGAAAAGCCTTGTAAGCCACACTTTTAACTTCAAGGATGCACTTGAAGCATTCGAAACTTGCTATAACTTAAAAGACAAGCAAGGCCGGAAGCTCTTGAAGACAGTAATCCTGCATTAAGAGGGTGGTTCTTATGAGCTTTTTATCTCCATAGTCATCTTTGCCTATAGTACCTTACTTCGTATAAACGCATACAGTCTAGATCACGTCTTCATTGACTTCTGGCTTTTACTGTTCGTCTCCTGGATGCGCCGTGTCAAAAAGAAAAAATTTCCTGCCTATGTAATGAGCTTTTGGCGCGGTTGCGTATGGTGAATCGCAGATAGGCGCTAGTACGATCGTGGACACATTTAGTCCGAATCAGGTATTAAGTGGCACGACATGTGACCGTATGGGGGCGGGGGCGGGGGCGGAACAACATCGGAATACAGGTAGATTTAGGCGGCCTCAGCCTCGCACGTGAGTGATCTGCTTGATGGGAATCGGTGAATTTGGCGACTGGATAGGCATTGTAATAGGAAGGGCATTCCAGAGCCCAGCCATCTTTCCAAGACGTGGGCAATTCACCAATGTCACAGAACTATCGTTCTAGAGCGGATTCCGGAACACATTGATCAACATTGCCAGCTGTAACAGCCTTGATGATTTAGGCGATTTCTTCGGCGTCTGAGCGTTCACAGAATGTTTTCTTCGATAATCGTTATCTCGGGCGCCTTAGGACCAATGTATACGAGACACACTAGAGGTGACGCTGGACTCTGTTTCCTGCTGAGTGGGTAATAAGATAGTCTAGATTTTGACGGAAGAGACAACAAATTGGAGTCAAGATTCGATCATTTTGACCGCATTCGTTTCAATCCCTCGATTTTCATCACATACTATAAACGCTTCGCGAGGCTACGCGAGAATTGCCTCAAACCTAGGCACCGATCTCGCCACCGTTGGCGGCCAAAATAGCGGCAGTAACGTAGCTAGCCCGACCGCTTGTGAGCCATACCAAGCACTGGGCAAGCTCCTCTGGATCTCCAAACCGATTCAGCGCATTGCCAGCATTTGATGAATCAACAAGAGGGGCTTTCGAAGGATCATTGCCGGAATTTGCTAGAATAGGCGTTGCTGTGGCCCTGGAACTCGGGTAAGCAATTCCAGTAACGTCCCACGGAGAGCATTCAAGGGAAAGTCTCGTGTAGTGAACAAGAAGGCAAAGAAGCTTACCCCGGACAGACGGTGTTCACTCTAATGAGGTGTTTTCCGTAGTATAATCCATCCTTAAAATGCGGTCAGGCTCGGCAGATTTGTCTCAAACAAAATGTGAGGCAAAGGTCAATCCTACCGCTTTGGAAAGACCTACTACACCGTGTTTACTCGCGGTGTATGCGGGAATGTCCTTCATGCCAACCAACCCGGCCATTGACGCCACATTGGCTATGGCACCTCTCACTGGGTACGTGGTGTCTCTACAGATTCGTTAGATTGTGCCGGCGTGCAAAGAGGTGACAAACCTTGAAAGTAATGGTTCCTGTCGCATCATTGCCCGTAATTCCGCTCTTTCACAGAAGAACAGCCCCCTAAGATTCACAAGGTAATCTTTCTCCCAGAATTCTGTTGTCATATCCGCGGTTCCTGGACCAAGGACAGTAATTCCAGCGATATTTGTAGCGTAGTCAATCCTGCCGAACTCTTGGATCGTGCGGTCAATGAGATTCTCCACAGACGCTGCATCCATGTTGTTACAGACTGTCATTCTGACCGTCACTGCCTTTGATTCCTTTTCCATCAGCTGCTTTGTCTCTTCGAGGCCTTTCTCATTGAGATCCGAAATACTGATTCTCTTGCATCCCTCTCGAGCATAGAGGATAGCTGTAGCTCGTCCTATTCCTGTTGACAATTAGCTGCTGAACAGGATTGGCAAAATTCCGCGAGGAGATAGATACCCGAGGCAGCGCCTGTCACCAATGCTACGCCAGGAAAGTCGTATGTCATAGTTGAAAACAAATGTTTGAAAACAATGCGGACAGTCTTGCTCAAACCGTAAAGTTGACCAGGCTGATAATCACTTATTTGTTGTTCTCGAAAGTGTATCTTATGACGTCGGAACTTCCATCTTCGTCTTTCATCTCTGGACTAGGTTGCCTCCGCATCCTTGCGGAGACACCAAAAAGAACACCGCCGTCGGAAAAGTACGAGCTCCTCCGGAATATTGGGTCTTCCGTGAGCCGATACTACGCTGTAATTGATCGACCGATAGTATAGTGTTGCTATATTTCGGCCTTCAGGGACGTGTAGTTCTTGGCGAACAGGTCGAAAACGGGCAAATTCAATCCACATGGCCAACATTCCAACATTTGAAGAACTCCCAGAAAAGCCCGGTTTGCCAAAAGGCTGTGCCTGGGGCCTTTGGGACAAACCAACGGCACGCGACGAGCTCGGCAGCCTCAATCTACTGACGGATGATACAGTACGTGAAGCTGCGGCAGAAATCCGCCAGGGATTCAGTGTGACTCTAAAGTTGCTCAAAGAGGACCTATATGTTTTTCCCTAGACTAACAGGGCACTTAGTTGGGCTTTAGACAAGCCTCGCGTTCCTGTTTTCGATCGACAGCCCTTGGATCACGCTATTATCGACAACAGTACGTTTAGCAGCTCGTTAAGTTTTGACGATACATTGTCGTTCAATACTCAATCAGGGTCGCAGTGGGATGGACTCCGCCATGCGATCCACAAAGACACCGGAAAGTTGTACAATGGCGTGGACAAGGAGGAAATCATCGGCCCACATGGTACAGACGTGCTTGGAATCAACAGTATGACTACGAGGCTGGTCCCCGGTTGCAGGCGACCACCCGTCAGCGTGAATACTGACTATTTGCAGAATGGCATGAAAAGGGAGGTATCGTCGGTCGGGGCATTCTCATCGACTTTGTGGCTTTCGCAGAGCGCCATAACATCAAATACTCGCCTATCAGATACTATCCGATCAGCTATGGTGATTTAGAGTTGGCAGCCCGAGAACAAAACTTAGATTTCAAACAGGGCGACATCTTGCTTATTCGGTCTGGCTTGGTCAAGTGGTACAACGAATGTGTGGATCTAAATGAGCGAGATGCCTTTTTTACGGACCCTAACAAAGAAGGGGCAGGGGTTAGCCCAACACCTGGCACGGTAACATGGGTTTGGGACCATCATTTCTCGGCGGTGGCAGGTGATGCTCTAGCTTGGGAGTCGATGCCCTACCCAAAAACAGGTCTATGTAAGCCCAAAATCTCCCAGCGCAGCGTCCTTCGCTAATTCATGCTTGATAAGCATTCCATCAGTACCTCCTTACCATGTGGGGGTGCCCCATTGGAGAACTGTGGGATCTGGAAAGGCTGGCAGAGACCTGTGCAAAATTGGGACGTTATTCCTTTTTCCTCACGAGTTGTCCATTAAACGTGCCTGGGGGAGTGGCGTCGCCACCGAATGCTATAGCAATATTCTAGCCATAATCGACACTACATGGGGCAAAACCCTAAGATGGCAATGGTCGCATAAAGCCAAACTTGAACATATATCGAACCAGAAGTCGATAACATGCTGTCTCCATGCGCTCCAGATTTTGATAAATGTATAACCAAGTCCTCGTCTATGTGTTTTCAGAAACAGCTCAAGGGTTCGACAACTCATCCTCTTTTGACCTTCGAGTATGCTCAGGAGAACAGCATCCCTGGAAGCAAAGAAAACTTAGGTCGGACTCAATTCAAAAGTAATCGCTGATCTTGACTTACCTCCATCACAGATGATAGTTTGACCGGTTATACGGTTGGAGTCCTTGCCCGCCAGAAAGCTCACGAGGCCAGCTATGTCCTCTGGGAAGACCTCTTTGTTCAAGGCGGATTTCCGGTGTGAAGAAGATTTGTATGCCTTCTCTACATCGGATTCGCCGGTTTCCTTGGCCAGTCTGGAAGCAAAGACCATGGACATATCCGTCTGGACAGACCCGGGGCAATATGCGTTGACCGTGATGCCGTATTGCCCGAACTCCATGGCCGCTGTTTGGGTAAGCCCCCTGACCGCCCATTTGCTTGAGCAATACGCTGGAGCTTTGCCGCTTGGGCGATATCCGGAGATTGAACAGGCCCCGATCAGTTTCCCGCCGTTCCCTTGCTTGGTCATCTGGCGTGCAGCAAGTTGGTAGCATAGCATGATTCCACGGCAATTGACTGCAAATACCTTGTCCCAAGTCTCGACAGACATATCAAGGAGAGGCGACATGTCAAGAATCCCTGCGTTTGCCACCATGACGTTGAGCTCCCCGAATTTCTGGACGGTCTCCGAGATCATAGTTTCGACTTGCTCTTTGCTACTGACATCTGCAAGAATTCCATACGCCCTCTGTCCCTTGGCCTGTATTTCGCCGACGACTTCATCTACCCCTGCTTTGTTTGCCTCAATATCGTTGACCACCACATCAAAACCATCATCCGCCAGTCTCTTCACAATTCCACGGCCGATGCCTCTCGACGAGCCGGTGACAATGGCAACAGGCATCTTTTCGAATCGCGCGCCAAGAGTTGCTAGAAGAACTCACGTAGGACGGTTAGAAAATGAACGAGACATTTATCTGCATCTAGCTCTCTGTTGTATTCACGATCGACCTTTCTGGAAAGCTCTCCCGTGAAAGATCTCATGCGACCTGGCCCACTTTTGGGCCAGGAGTAAAATTCCGAATTCCGCCCATGAGTTTTTTGAACAACACACTTGTGGATTTTCACGTGCAAGTAATTTGTCCTACTCAAAGGGAAATAGTCATACCTTGAGATTGCTAATTTCCGTAACTCAGGTTTGGTCAGTTGTACTTGTATGTAACAAGCTCCTGCAAGGGTGCCCCGCATCCAACGACCAAGGTGTGCGAGTCTTGTTCTCTGACAATGGGCCTAAAAGTCCCCAAATATCACGAGCTTCCCATCAAGCCGGACGCTCCACCCAGTTCGTCTTGGGGAGTGTTCGACAAAGAGAACAAGAGGGATACCCATGGTACCCTCAACTTCATCACTCCCGAAGCAGTGGTGGCGGCGCGAGAGGAGATTCAGACAGGAGAGTCTGTTGCATTGAAGCATGTCTACTACGAGATAAGTGGCAATGAAGACTGACAACAAGCCAGTCTCCCACTAACCCTTCCCCATGTTCCTTGCCCCGGGCGCATCAAGTTGGAACATCGCTTAATTACGGCCGAGATGCACAACTTGTTTGGCTGTGACGACGAGGTGATATTGAACACACAAGCCTCGAGCCAGTGGGACGGTTTGAGTAAGTCGACCGTACTTGAAACACTGCGATGGAAAAGTTGACGCGTGATTCTCGGTACAAGTGCACTATGCACACCAGGAACGAAAGGAATTTTACAATGGCGTCAAATTCGCCGACGCATGCATATCGAGGACCGATAAAACACTTGGCATTCAAGGTAGACCTTCGCGGCGCTGAGTTCATCTCTACCAATCATCGTGAACTGACAAATAATGGGGATTGCAGCCTTGTCGGAGCGAGGTGGTATTGTTGCTAGGGGTGTCTTGGTAGACTTTGTACGCTATGCAAAGCAGAAGGGCATTGAATACGACCCACTCAGTAACTACGCGATTTCTCTCGTTCAGATTCAAGAAATTCTTCAAGAAGAAGGCGTCGCGGTCAAGCAAGGAGATGTGCTCGTCATTCGCACCGGCCTGAGCAAGTGGATCAAGGAGTCGACACCGGAGTCCATTGGACCTTGGGAGAGGGATCAATATATAGGTGTGGACCCGACTCGAGAGTTCCTAGAGTGGGTGTGGAACAACAACATTGCCGCATTAGCCAGCGACGCCATCTCTGTAGAGGCAATTCCAGCGTCGGATAACACAAGTGAGCAACCATTCAAATGCCATTTGACCGGTCCTCTATACTGACGAAGTGCTGTAGGATTGCGACTTCACGAGGCCTGCATAGCTGGTTGGGGGATGATGCTAGGTGAACTTCTCGATCTGGAGGCATTGGCGAAGGTTGCGGAGAGAGAGAAGCGGTGGACATTTTTCTTAACGGTATCCCCGCTGAATCTGGAAGGTGGCGCGGCCACAATAGCCAACACGCTCGCTGTATTTTGAAGCAGAAAAGAGCATCAAATGTGTAGCCACTAAAAGCCCAAGTAGATTCAGTCCTGGCAGACTATTGACGTATCATGATTACCAAGAGCCGCCCAAACATGTACTTTGAATTGAACGAAATGAAAACATGGGTTGGAGTCAAACTCTACCAGTGTGGATGCGCACAGGAGTTGAACAAGACTGTAGAGCGGGAATCGCTCCAGCTTCCTCCTTATTCTGGTCTGTCTAGATCCCGTCACAGCCGTTACTCAAGTCTCGTCCTAACAATAAGCAGCCGGGAGGGAGTCATTTGAGGACAAAATCGTCAAAGTTTGGCCTTATGATGAGTCGATGATACTCCGCCGTTGTCCAGGGCATGTTCACACATTGCCTTCCGTGCTTGTTCACGTAATAACCAGAATCGTCGGACTCCCAGATGATGCGCTTGTTGGCTTTGTCCAATTTCTTTTGGTATTCGTCATAAACGCATTTCTTCACTTCCATCGACCGGACTCCACGCTCAATCATCCCGACGATAGAGCAGACAGCATATCGAGCCCACATTTCTCCGGACGAATAAAGACTGCCTCCTCTGGGTTGATGATTGGGACCGTAAGATGTAAAGAGGTTAGGATAGTATGGCATCACTTCACCGAGAAAGGATCGAGCGCCGTCCTTTTCCCAGGCTTTTTCCAACGTCATCCCCTCTCTGCCGATGTACTGCACCGGCCATAGGTATTCCGAACACTTAAATCCACCCGCAAGGACAACGATATCAAATTCGCGCTCTTTACCATCGTTGGTAAGGATTCCTTTCTCCGTAAAGCGGTCGATTCGTTCGGTGACTAGTTCAACGTTATCCCGCTTGAGGATATCATAGAATCCATTGTCAACAACCAATCGACGAACCAGAGGCGCGTGACGTGGCATGACTTTTGGAATCAGGTCTTGCCGATCTTCAAACTTGGAATGAATAAATTCGGTCAGTGCTCGGCGCAGCCCGTCGTTTCTTCTGTTGATCATTCCCCCTTTCGTCTTCCACTCCGCATCATGATATTGAAGCTCAGCGATGTGAAGACTCCTAAAATAGGCGGCATAGCAAAACCAATTCCAGTAGAACGGCATATGGTCGCAGAGCCAGCGGACATGGTCGTTAACTGCATTTCTATACCCGTCGATCTTAACAATCCAATTGGGTGTCCGCTGATACACAGCCAAGGACTTGACATGTGGTGCCAGCCCGGGTGAAACCTGAGTGCCAGAAGAGCCGGTTCCAATGACTGCAACTCTCTTTCCGTGATAGTCGACATTGTGATCCCACTGCGCGGTATGAAAGACATTGCCTTTGAAATCCTTGATGCCTGCGATCTCGGGAAGATTAGGCGTACTGAACAAACCACTCGCGCTGATGATGGCATTATAGTCGCGCTGCTCGTCTTTGCCATCTTTGTGCTGAATGTTGACTTGCCATTTGGCGTCATGCTCATTCCATGTTGCGGCGACAAGTTCCCTATTGAATTCGCAATTCTCCTTCACATTGTACTTTTTCGCGATGTAGTTTAAGTACTTTTCAGTTTCGCCCCGGGAGGCAAAGTATTCGGTCCATTTATAATTCTTCTCAAACTTGTACTGGAAGAGAAAACTGAGGGTGTCGACGCGAGCTTCTGGGTAAGTGTTGAGCAGCCAGGTTCCACCAACACCGTTCTGGCGTTCAATAATATCAAATGGGATACCCAACTTCTTGAGAAGGATCCCGGCAGCGAGGCCGCTAATGCCGGCCCCTACGATGAGGATCTTCCACCTGTTGATTTCGTCAGCTGGAGGCGGTCCCCCGCTCCACTGAACGTCTCGAGGGAAGTCTTCTACCGAAAGTTCTTCGTATCCCTCTTCGTATTCGAAAAAATCCTCGGCCATGTTGCTCATGGGCTCGTCCGAGAACAGATCCATCAGGCGAAACGCCTCTTCCTTGCTAGGGCGCTGCGGAGGCTCCCGTGGACCTTGAAGCAGATACTCTAAGGCTTTTTGTCGCACCCGTTTCTCGTTTTCTTCGCTAAGGACGTAGTCATAGAGCCATCCATAACGGATCTCCTTTTTGGAGACCCGCATTTCTTTTAGTTCTTCGTCCCCGGTACACTGGTACAGGGCAAGCCGCAGCGCATTAGGTCCCGCTTGTTCGAGTGCTTCACGGATGAATTGTTCATTGACTTCGTACCCGGCGACATGGTCAACCTTGGAGGTGTCTTCAACGCCGGGGTTCTCGCCAGCATCGGGCAAGGTCATGGTGGGTGCGGTCGCCATCCGGCTGGTTGTGATGGCAGTTTGTTAGACAACGGAATGTGTACGATTGTGCTGAACGGAAAAGCGGACTTGGAATGGCAACAGATTGTATTTTCTGTCCTTTTTCTTTCACTTTATCTCTTCTCTTCTTGCCTAGTCTCTTCAGCTTTTTGGTTTTGATGTAGACTGGTCTTCCACAATAGCTCCATTCCGGCCAATTGCGAAAAATAAGTGGGGCCGCCGAGCCTGTGCATGACCCATTTCCGAATCCCGGGTCGCCGCATTGTATGATTTTCTGGATTTTGGCAATTCCGCCAGGTGGGCAAGAGAAAAAGTGTCTCGTGTTCCTCAGAGAAGCTGATGCGCCGATGTCAATAGCTCTCACAGTCTCTCCACCTTTGTTCTGACCACACGGCCAGGAGACGGCAGCGGTGGGAAAATGGACTTCTCAGGTGTTGCCTTGATCGTAGGTGCAGCCTCAGGTGAGGTGATCAATATCCTTAGGAGCATCTTGTGGGCTCAATCTCAAACCTTTAGGCATCGGCAAGGCTGCGGCGTTTCGATACGCTGCCGATGGCTGTCATCGGATTGTGATAGCTGACATCAATATTGGCCTGCTTCAGGCCGTCGACGCTGAGATACAGAAGAATTGGCCGGATGTGAAGACGCTTGTCATCAAGGTTGACGTTCGAAATCAAGAGTCTGTGCAAGCGATGGTCGACGAAGGTGTACGCGTGTTTGGCCGACTGGATTATTGCGTCAATTCTGCGGGCATAATTCGCCAGGGTGATACAGCTGTCCTGTCGGTCGATGACTGGGAAAGCGTCTACCAGATCAATCTCCGTGGCATGTTCTTCTGTGGGAAAGCTGAAATAAATGCAATGCTGAAGCAGGAGCCATTGAACTGCAAGTAAGTCGATCGTGTTCTAGCCTGCGAGAAATTCTCCGAGTCATACTGACAGGTCTCTCATTCAATAGAGATTCCCCATTCTCAGCTAGAGGTTCCATCGTATATGTCGCTTCACAGGCAGGCCTAATCGGCAACGGAGATCTGCCGGCATACGTTGTGTCTAAACATGGGGTCGTTGGTCTGGCGAAATGCGTAAATCACTTCTCTGGAACGGAGCATTGCTCTGTACACTCACTAACAAGAGACTA